TGGTTATCTTATTGTTTTAGAAAGTGTGAATTTAATGAATTCAGCTTTAAATATGAACAGAATCCAAATTCTGCCCCATCACTAGTGCAGAATGAGACAGCTAGTCTGTTAAGTGGTGTGTCTTAAGGGATGTAACTCGTAATTATACAAGACAAATTCATGCATAGATTAATTGTAGATAAAGCTATCGAGGTAGTCGGAGCCCACAAAGAATCCAAAAAGCAAATGCAAGTAACATACAGGTGATACACACTATAAAACAAGGCAGGGTATTAGCCACAGAAGCACAAAAAGAAAGATGAATACGTTACAACATACAAGAAAAATTGAATGTCCAGCGCTAGAGTTGATATGCAGGAAGTGTCAGAAAGAAAATACCTGCTCAAGAGCATGCAGTTCATTTACCTTATTCAAAGAGAAAGTAAAGCAAAGGGCATGTAATGCCATACAGTAATGCATTTCTAAGATGATGTCAGTGACTCAGCTGCGACACTATGCCTATTTACAACACGTAAGCAGGAATTCAGAAAGGGGAGATATTTGTTACAATTCACAGAGAACACAAGGAAGTAACGATGACGTTTAAGACAGGTACTGTATAAAAAGCAAACTCACCAGTAAGAGAGAATACATGAGAATAGCCACAAACATGGAATCTTGTCTCTATCAGATAAACTAATGGGAAACAGCACCAAATATACCATTTATAACGTAGTGTTTCAGAAAAATGGTCCTCCACATAGGCATCTTCCAAAGAAAAGTGCACAAAATCTTAGAAAAGACTGGATGATATCACTGACTTCCTACTACACATAAATTCCAGCAAGTCTCACTATCAAGATAAACAGAGAACAATGTTAAGTCAAATGCCAATAAAATAGAAACTTCTGTGGAACAGGTGATAATACTTTTATTCATTCTAGAATTGGAAGCACTATGCCAGACACAAAGTAGAAGTAGGTTTTGGTTTGTTTTTAAAGGCACGCTAAAGGTATTGTCCACCCACCTGGAACTTATCCTAGGGATTATGACCTATTGCAGCCCTCACAGAATAACAGCAGGCCTGTCCAGTTACTCAGTAGAAAGCTTAAATCTGTTAAAAAAGTAAAGGAAACATTTCTGTCCCCAAAAGTCACAGATCATGAGAAGATGAATCAGAGCAAAAGAGAAGAGAGATGAAAAAACACAAAATACCTTTTCGGACAGAAATGCAAGATCACCTACAACTCTTGGAAGATACTTCAAAGGGAGATGAAAAGTTCCTAATGGGACGACACCTCAAGTCATAAATAGTATACAGAACGTAACAATGTTAAAGCACAATCTAATACATCACATGTATATGGCTACATCAATGTATCCATTCTTAAGGAAATCAGCCCTGAGTGCTCACTGGAAGGACAGATCGTGAAGCTGAGGCTCCAAGACTTTGGCCACCTCATGAGAAGAGAAGACTCCCTGGAAAAGACCCTAATGTTGGGAAAGATTGAGGGCACAAGGAGAAGGGGACAATAGAGGACGAGATGGTTGGACAGTGTTCTCGAAGCTACAAACATGAGTCTGACCAAACTGCGGGAGGCAGTGGAAGACAGGAGTGCCTGGCGTGCTCTGGTCCATGGGGTCACGAAGAGTCGGACACGACTAAACGACTTGTTTACCGGCAAGCCACTCCAGTATCCCTGCCAAGAACACTCCATGGACTAAACGACTAAACAACAACAAAATACATCACACTTAAATGTCAGAAAACAGAGGTGACTCTGGTGCCTTAGAACCAGAAGACAATGGTCATGAACCCCCATTGGAACCATACAAGGAGCAAAGGTACACTCCATAAGCACAGGTAATATCTTTTTTAGACAACACAGCAATTAAGTAGAAGCCCTAAAAGGTAAAGGTACCCCTGACTGTTAGGTCCAGTCGTGGACGACTCTGGGGTTGCGGCACTCATCTTGCTCTATAGGCCAAGGGAGCCGGCATTTGTCTGTAGACAGTTTACGGGTCATATGGCCAGCATGACTAAGCCGCTTCTGGCAAAACCAGAGCAGCGCACGGAAACGCCGTTTACCTTCCTGCCGGAGTGGTACCTATTTATCTACTTGCACTTTGACATGCTTTCGAACTGTTAGGTGGGCAGGAGCAGGGACCAAACAATGGGAGCTCACCCCATCGCGGGGATTCGAACTGCTGACCTTCCAATCAGCAAGCCCTAGGCTCAGTGGTTTAGACCACAAGGTCCCTAGTTGAAGCGCTATACATTCCAAATAAGGGAGATATTTCAAGCCCCAAAATTGAAGGACTAGGATACAAATGGCTAATGTAAACAGAGACACCACCAGAAACATGCTGCCCCTTTCCTGTTAATAGAGACATGTATGCTGCACAGTGAATTAATAGTACTCTATCTCCTCAAGTGCCACCCAGACTCCCTGCTCTTCCATTGGCTATCTGTGATCAAGAGCTGCATTCCACTGTTAATAAAAACCAGTTGCCATTACAGACACACAGGTAGAGTCTGGCAAAGCCACTTCCGACGTAGAAGGAGGTGGGGTTGCGGGCTTCACCCTCCCACCATGCGCGCGGGGGCTGGCTCTCAGCCTTTGCGCGATTGAGGGAATCCCGATCGCATCATCCCCTGGCCAGCCAATCAGCTGGCCTGGGGGACGTGGCCTGCTCCATTTAACACAGGGGCGGCCTGGGATCTCCCTCTTTGCCGCTTCCAGCTGCTCCAGTTTCCCACCCTTTAAGGTTTTTTCATCTTTGACCTTGCTATGGACCTCGGTTGGTTGCCGTTAAGGGGCCTGGTAGGAATTTTTCCACTTAGCAAATTGGCACCAGCCACTTGGTTTTTCGCCTACCTCGTAGCAAATCATCACAACTTCCTTGGCATTGGCGGTTAGGCATTGGCATTGGTATTGTTATGTAGATGGAAGGGGGTGAGGAAGCGCCATCACCTCCCCTGCATATTGAAGGGTAGTCCGATAAAGGATTCCGGGGGGCGTGGCCCTGTCCAAAGCCTATGGAGGTGAGGACCTAAGGCACTCCCCCGAGCGGTGACCCTGGGGGAGTTCCTAGTTGATGTGCATCAGCAGGACTCCCCCTACTGGGGGTTAACCCTTCCCAGACTTCAAGCAAACAGGCTGAAGCAGGATAGTCGGTTAGGACCAATGCCTAAGCCAATACCGCTCATCACCTGTAATAACCAATAAAGTTGTGGTCATATTTAGCCCATTAACCTTAAATATCTGTGTCATGTGTCTTTATTTCCACTGGGGGGAGGTGGGAACTCGCCACGCAATGAAGACCCCTCGGAGGAATTAATTAACAGCATCTCGGTAATTGCTGCCGCCGTGTCTCTGGGTCCTTGCTGGCATCAGTTTAGTGTCCACAGGATCTCGCTGCTGCTGGATGCCATACGCAGTTCTTAAAGTGATGCAAAGGTATTGGAAGACACAAGAGCTACCCACACTGGAGGAATGGCAGATGAAATTGATGGACTATATGGAATTGGCGGAAATGACTGGCAGAATCCGTGACCAGGGAGAAGAGTCGGTGGAAGAAGATTGGAAGAAATTTAAAGATTACTTACAGAAATATTGCAAAATTAAAGAATGTTAGAGTGATGTTGGATTGAAATTAAGTGGCTTCTAGCTGTACAGGCTTTAAAGTTAGATATAGATCAAGATTAAGGATTAGGATTAAAAAGGTTAAAAGAATGGAAAATTGGTTTTTAATAGGTAAAAATTTAATGCTATATTATATTAAGATTAAGGATTGGGATTAAAAAGGAGGGAAAGGAATTGCTGGACAAACAAACTGAATTGGAATACAAAAGAGGGAGGTATGAGGAGGTCCAGGAAATAAGTAAATGTAAAAGTCGTGATGAAAAGATGGAATTGTTTTTAACTGTTTTTTCTTTTTTCTTTTTGTATTCTGTATTGTGTATTTTTCTTTTTCTTTTTAAATTCTTTTTTTTTATTAATGTGTTTCTTTTCATGTGAAACTTTAATAAATATCATTAAAAAAAAAAAGTGATGCAAAGGGTGGGTCACCCAGATACCTTCACAACCCACTCCTTCACTAAGTAGAACAAGGGAGGAAAGTTTCATGCCACCCTAACTTGTTCCTTACTATGGGGTGGCCGGGACAGGAAGGCACCCCCTTCCTGTTTTAATTCTCTATAAGGACCAGGCATAAAGCATGAGAAGTTATGCAAACCCAAGCCAACTGAGATGAATTAGAAGAGCACTCCCAAGCAGATCCTGATTATTTTAGTGGGACATTTTCATGTAAACTTCCCAGTAGATTGATGGGAAGGTGAGACTGCTGTTTGGATTTTCCTGTCCAGGCACCAATATTTTTAAAATCAAACCCAATGAAAGCACATGTGTGTGTAACTGTGTGTGTGTGTGTGTGTGTGTGAGAGAGAGAGAGAGAGAGAGAGAGAGAGGCAGGCTTTGTAAACCAGGCATGGCCAAACTTGGCCCTCCAGCTGTTTTGGGACTACAATTCCCATCATCCCTGACCACTGGTCCTGTTAGCTAGGGGTGATGGGAGTTGTAGTCCGAAAACATCTGGAGGGCCAAGTTTGGTCATGCCTGTACTAAACAGACATCTATGAGTATCTCTCCTTCATTGTTCCTATTTAGGGAGAAGCAGCATACTTCATTTTTGCTTGATGCTTCTTTGTCAAGTGCTATGTACATTGATGGCACTATGCTGATCAATAATAACAATCCGGAAACTCTTACAAAGAGGCATCTCATGGACTCCTCCCTACAAAGTATTGGTGTGTTTCAGTTTCCAGTCAACTGAGAGATAGAAGTCAGTGACTTGCCTCCCAAGCCTCTATCGCGCAGCTTTTCTTTGTGCTCTGTTTCCCTCCCTCCTCTCCCCACCTGGCTTAGGAGTCTCTGTTTCCTCACTAGACTCTGTACTCTGAAGCAGACCAATCAGCTTGTGGCTCTCCTAACTTCCTGTCTTTCCCAGCTCAGGAAGGTGTGCTCATTTGTACTCACCTGAACAAGTTAGACACAGACAAAAATACCTCCAGCCTCGGGGAAACCAGGAGAAAAAACTTTAGCCTGGCCCCAGGAGCAGCAGCGAGGATCCACACCAGATCTACAGGAAAATACCCTTTTAAAGTTCAAGATGTGACACCAGTCAGGTAAGGGAATTTGATCTTGTCTCTAAGTTACGATACAAGGAGGGAAACTGCTCTGTTGCAACATTCCTGGGAGAAGAATAGGAGAGAAGGAGAAAGAGGGAGAGAGGCTCCCGTGGGGCCTTGTACAGGAATTCCAGCTGAGCTGTGTCACATTTAATCAAGACTGTAATGGGGTCTGACAGGCAATTACGGGAGAAGAAAAGGACCCACCATTTTAAAATGTAGAGTGAAGTTCATTACTTTTTTTTAATCTTGCTATCGAGTGACTAATAACTCTGGACTTGGGTTTGATCTTTGTTGTTGTGGATATATCCTGTAAAGGTCTTATGGCGTGCTGGATTTGTTTCTTAGCGTTCCTCTCTGCCAGGGGCATCAGGTGGGTCCTCGTCTCATCTACCTTGAAGAAAATTGGCAGTCGGGAATAAGTCACAACCTTTGTCTTTCCGTGTAGTAGCTACGCTGCTTGAGCTCAGCCTCCTGTTAGCAAAGATTTGTACAAGAAAGGAGTCGGATCTAATGATAAACAAGTTTCCTGGGACTAATGCAGTGTTTGAAAAGTTTGGGTCCGGTAGTTGCTAAGTAGATCCCTTGTCAGCCTCTTGTCCCTAGACAGGACCTGAAGTTGAGGCCTGCCTGATCCCCACATCAAAGTGGATTTCTTCCTACTGGGCAGCAGCTTCTGGCCCCAACTGAAGGGGCTGCTGAGGACAACAGCCTCAGGTCAAATGGACTGTCTGAACTCTGGACTTCTTCCCTTGTTTCGTTTGTGAACATCTTATGACTTTTATGGTATGCAAAGGTGATTACTGCAGTGACAAAGAGGCAAGGGGTTCATCCCACCCCATATACTCACAACCACCGTGAGATAAACATAAAGTGCAGTTTATGGTTTCTAAGGTATTCTGGTTTCAAAGAATGGATCCCCAAGCCACCGTGGAAGAGAGAGATCCGTGTGCTTGACCTTTGTTGGCTGTTGAAGTATAGAGATACAAGCATTTGATAGGTGACATCTGAAGGGGCCATTCAGAAAGAATAGCTTTGGGGGAAACCCGGGATGTTCGGCAGCTGAATTGCACCGAGATGTTGGAGGGCTATTCCAGAAATTTAGCTTGATCCAGCAAGAGAGAATTGAGTGTGCAGGCATTGCACATCTGTATTTCGAAGTTCATCCAGCTTCTCTTAAATTGAAAAATGCATCTGGCAATGCAGGCAGATACATTTTTCTCCAATCTAAGGCCAGTTGCTGTAACCAACGCACAAAACCAGTGATTAATTGCAGCCAGTGTATATTATTTTTAGCACTAAATATGCACTTTTCATTCACTTCCCCTGTAGAATTCATGCCATCATGGCTGATGAGTGATACAAGGCATCACTTTGTGCCTGTCATTTTGTGAATTTTAGAAAACGTGTATTATATATATATATATATATATATATATATGGGTTCCACCTGAACTGGATACACACACAGTAGTGAACTGCTGCATGTGCAGTGCTTGACATTAAGAAGACAGTATTGTGCATGTGTAGGTCCTACATGTGATCTAATAATAATAATAATAATTTATTATTTATACCCCGCCCATCTGGCTGAGTTTCCCCAGCCACTCTGGGCAGCTTCCAATCAAGTGTTAAAAACAATACAGCATTAAATATTAAAAGCTTCCCTAAACAGGGCTGCCTTCAGATGTCTTTTAAAAAGAAGATAGCTGCTTATTTCCTTCACATCTGAAGGGAGGGCATTCCACAGGGCGGGCGCCACTACCAAGAAGGCCCTCTGCCTGGTTCCCTGTAACCTCACTTCTCGCAATGAGGGAACCGCCAGAAGGCCCTCGGTGCTGGATCTCAGTGTCCGGGCTGAACGATGGGGGTGGAGATGCTCCTTCAGGTATACAGGACCGAGGCCTGTATCTGTTAGAGGGAGACCCAATCTAGTCACCTTCAGTGAACATCTCTCCTGGTAAAAAGAAAAGAAATGGCAAACTTAAGTCCAGTTGTCTACCACAGCATAAAGAGTCCTCCATCCATCATATGTAGATAGGATATGATGCACTGGGACTCAGTTGACTGGACATAATTTACTGGTCGGCCCTTTGTCAAAACTAAATGGGTAACCCAGTTATAGATAGCATGGTTCATCCTTCAGTAATGAGTAAGAATGATGGCTTTGGTGGGAACTAAAAACACTGAGATAACCAAAAAGTTGCAGATGTTTGCACCAGTTGTTTCTCAAATTATGTAAGGCGTTATTCAATTTAAAATGTTTTATTTTTGTTACCATGCATTACTGATCCAATTTTGTCATGTTATCTTACATGGCAAAATGTGTTAATTGACTGATGTGTATTTAGCAAATTACGTCCCTGCATTCCTCCTTTCCTACACGGTGTCATTAGCTGCTGGGGGCAGAATAGCACCCAATGTTCTGAGAGGGGAGAGGGGACACCTTGGTGCAGGTCTGTGTTTACCGGAAACGTGGACTGGCCCTGAAATGCGTAGTACCAGCCTGAGTAAATTTACTTATATTTGCCACAGGCCTTGGCGATAAATCCTACCATTTCTTTCATTCCTATGTCCCCCATAATAAAATGCATTTCTGCTCGTATTCAGGTTCATTTCATAGCTGTGCTTCATTCCATATTTAGTGCAATAGGAAAGAATTTCCCCTCCATCATGTCTAGTACAAATGTCCTAATACGATATTCTGCGTTCCCCCATCTTGGCTCTGTATCAGTGACTGCAGCTAGTTGCGTATCAAGGTCCCCCAAGCCACCCCTAAATAAATCACAATTCACACAGAATGTTTGTTTTTGGCATAAATTTGGCTGTATTCAAATACATAAATGTGAGTGGTTGCTTAGGCATTGGTTCCGAGATCTGTCCCCGCCCCAGGACAGAACTGACTTCCGGATTCCAGCGAAAGACAGTAAGGGAAAACAATATTGGGGAGAGCATGGAGCCAGGCACCAGACCCTCACCCCCACTCATGCTCCCTGGGGCTTGCACGGCCCTAAGCCCCCTGCAGGGGTATGGACGAAAGAATGGAAAGCCCCTGGATTCCTTTAATGGAATTCCCTTTCCGCAGCAGCACTGGAGGGGCAGGCACCGCCAATCCTTACCCCTCCACCAACCAGTTTTTAAACCAATGCCTAACCTCAACCTTACAAGTTGTGATGATTTGCTACGCAGTAGGCAAAAACCAAATGGCACCAGCCAGTCAGCCAAATGGACAAAATTCCTACCAGGCCCCTGCCCCAAAAGCAGACAACCCCATGACAGGCATAGCAAGGTCAACTCAATAGCCCTAAATTAGGGAGGGTGGGCGGGTGATCCGATGCACACAGCAAAAGAGCCCAGTCAGTGCTGCGTGACCTGATTATATAACCTTTGGTCCGTCCCCCTAAATGGCAACACCAAGATTTCCCCAGTAACCCAACCGCCCAATCACTGCGGATGGTCATCCAAACTATCCCGCCCAGCAACAGAGGGGTGGCCTGTCAGACCCCACCACAACACGTGCTCTCCATGAAGAAGAACACACTTTGCAGAACATGTGGCATCAGGTTATCCCATGTTGGTCTTCTTCAACTTTGGGTTCCCAGAGATTGGAATGCAACTCCCACAATGCCCAGCCAGTTGAGGCAATGAACGAGAGTTGTAGTCCAACAGCATGTGGAGACCCAGAGTTGAATTACACTGTCCTAGATCATCCTCCCCCAGCTTGGGACCCATCAGATGTTTTGAACTCCTGCTCCTCATCAGCCCCACCCAGCTTGGTTGTGGATGGAGAGAGGGAGCCAAGCGTAGGGCTGCCATTTATGTTCCGTGCAGATCTGCACAATCTGTGACTGGCCAGCCTGAATGCGGTTCATTAGCAGTGTGCTGTGGCTTGCTGGCTATTTGACATTGACCTTTTTAAATACAGTACTGTCCCGGGAGATTTCTGAACTCATCGATTCCTAATGCCTTACAGTGGGCTTGGTGCGTCACAAGTTGCACAAGGCAGGTTTTTAGCCTAGCATCTACTTTGGTCCTCAGAGCTGCTTTTCAGGCATTTAAGGTCTGAAACTTGACCTGCACCAAGAGTGTAGAACTACTTGTATACTAATTACTTCATGCTGCAACTGGGATATTGTATGATTGAGTGTTCCTCCATATCAACCCCTCATTTTCCCCCAACCTCCCTAGCATATCAGGGAAAAGGCTAGACTGCAGTTCTTTTCCATCGCATGAAATTTCCAATGTATTTTCTATCTCTTTCTCTCTCGTTACACAGGCCTTGTGAGAGCTACTACAGCATTGTTGCTGTTGTTGTTAAATTTGTATACCGTTCTTCATTCGAAGATCTCAGGGCAGTTCACAGCATAAAAATACAAGAAAAAAACACAAAATACATGTTGTGTCAAAAATCAAAATGCACCTGCTGGTCTAAGAAGGTTGGCAACCCATGCTCCTCTCCAGTGATGTTTTGCAACTTGCAAATTCTTTTTTGTATTCAAGGAAGGTTTCTCTGAATAAACAGGCTGCTTAATGCTCCTATCACTTTTGGTTGGCTTCACAACCAATACTGCAGTCTTTCTAACCCCAACGCACGTTTCTAATTCACGTGCTGCTGGGGTGAAAGATCTGAAGCTGCGGCCAATCCATTTGTCTCATTCACACATTACATTTTAAGTGTTCATGTACAACATCCTAGGTGTAAGCCTAAACTGCAATGTTTGGAGTAGTAACTCTTTAGTCGGTGGCTCTTGTCCTCCAAACTGAATGAGCCAAACTTACCAGACAATCGTACACAAGACATGAATCCCTTTGCTCCAAAAAGGATGCCTGTCTTGGGTTGAAGATATTGCTGTGGATAAATTGAGGTATATAAGCAAGAATACAGCTAATATAAAGACTTAAACTGCAAAAGGAGTGTATTTTTAACTTTGCAACAAAATTGAATATTTTTGCATTTCACTGAAAATTGTGTTACCCATAGGTTGCCCCTGATTTCTTGGCTAGTCTATTTTAACAGAGAGCTGAAGTCCTCGGTGACTTCAGTCCTCTGCACTCTTAATTTGAGAGTAAGTCCTATCGAAGTTGGAGACTCTTCTTTCCAAGTAGAAAAACTATACTTCACTTTGCTTCCATTCACTACTTAGGAAAATTAGAGCAAGGAATGAATCCTGGTAGATATTTATCTTTGCAGAGAAATACTGCTTCATTTTCTTTTTTTAAAAATCCTTTAGGAGCCTCTGAATGCATGAACAGGATAGGAATGAAACAGGGTGTCTCCAGATTGTCACTATTTTGCGGGAGGGAGTTAAACACATACTGTAAGTTTGGGTCAGCACATCTGACTCAAGGGCTTTGTCATCCAAGTACAATGCCCACTTTAAAAAAAGAACCTGACTTTTCGAAGTTTGGAAAGTGATCAGGAAATGCACTGAAAAGTGTGGGATAAAGGAATGATTAATAGGAAGACATATAAACACCTTGCAAGCAAATTACGATTAATACAGGATGAATGCTCATAGTTTGTATAACCTCATCACAAACAAATCAGAATGAGTGCTCAATAAATAGATTGTTAGGGGGAACCCATAGTTGCTAATGAATAGCCCTTACTACATTGCCCAAAGGTGAAGGCAGACTGGTAGAGCAGTGGGTATAGCTGGGAAGCGCCCTCACTGGGTTCAGTGAAAACATAATGTTTTCACCTCTGGCACATGGTTTGAAGAACTCCGCTGTGCAGCTTTCGGTTTGTCTCCATGGCAAAAAGCTGGATATGGATGTTTCTCATTAGTTGCTAGTGTTTTTCATGACAACAGAGCCAACCTCCAATACTTGAAAGTTTAAAAATTAAATATAATTACCATTCAAAACACAACCCAGCCAGTTGGACGGGTTATAAATAATAAATTGTTATTGTTTTGTTATTATAATTATATTATAACCCAAGTCCAAAACATTCGGTTCAGCAAGTATGATCCTCAAAGGCTCTTGAGGCCATGTTCAATGCTTGCCTGAGTGGATTGCCATAGCCTAGGCTTTCTCAACCTCGGCCCTCCAGATGTTTTTGGCCTACAATTCCCATGATCCCTAGCTAGCAGGACCAGTGGTCAGGGATGATGGGAACTGTAGTCTCAAAAGATCTGGAGGGCCGAGGTTGAGGAAGCCTGTCATAGCCTCAGCCTTTATTCTATCTTGCCATTCTACTTAAGGCTGCCATCTGCCTGGGAAAAACTAACCTGACCTAAATTTTACGTGTTCATCTATGTAAATATATGTCTTTGAGAAACTATCACTCAGTCTGTAATTTGCCATTATTAAGGAAGGTGCTGGAGTGGGTGGTGTTTTGTTAACTCTTGAGTTAACTTTGAATCTGGCTTCCATCATGGCTTTGAGACAGAAACTGCCTTGGCAGATGATTTATTTTATTATTATTATTTTTTTATAATTGATATTTATTAAGTTTTCAAAGAATAACAACAAAAATTTCCAAAAAAATTTGAGGATACAAAAAACAAAAATAGTACATAAACAAAAAAGAAAAGAAAACCCAGCCGCAAAGAAAAAAAAAGAAAAACAGAAAAACAAAAATATAAAGTCCTTTACAATCTCTATTGACTTCCTTTCTAGACTTCCTCCTCCTCCCCTCTCTTGTTTCTTAATTTTTGATTTTTACAGCAAATCCTTTCTGTTTTTTCATAACAATCTGTCATTACGTTTCCTTATTCTATTTTCCCTCTTGTCATATAAAAACTTTAAGACTCATAGCTTATATTCAATATTTACCAAATTCTTACATCATTACCTTTTTACGAATCATTTACCAATCCTTACTTAAGCCATGTAATTTCATTCAACATCCTTCAAACATTTATAAGCATTCCCGATATTAAAAAATAAAAAGGAAAAGATAATAAGTCAAATTCAGTCCAGTCAGCTTCCAACCTCCCCTCCCCTGGACCCGGGATTGTCAGTCCTTTTAACCTCAATAATCCGGCTCCTTAACCTGGTTGTCTCGTATCCGAGGCCCTCAAGTCTCTTTCTTGCCCCTTTCGCCACTCTTGTTGATGATTCCCTTCCAGTCGTGGATGCTCCAGCAAGAAAATGCTTTTGACCCTTTGCAGCAAGTCCATCCCAAACCCATTGCCCAAGCCAGACAGCAAATAATACCACTTCAAATTTCCACAAAGCTTGGAGACTTCGGCTACTCCAATCCTCTGATAGCCCATCACTAGACTCGGAAGGTCCAAATAACCATATGGAGGGGGGTCGATCCATCCCCCCATTTCCAAATCCGACCACATTTCATCTTTCCGAATCTGGTTTGTCCCAAGTTCATTTATCAAGTTCAAAGGCTGATCTTGCCCGTCCAAAGGTCCCTCCATCTCTGAAGCCTCCGTCACTACAGCAGGTTCATATGCTTGTATAGCCTTTAACTGAATTTCATTTGTTTGCTGCTGTGCTCTGGTAACTTCCATCATCAAGGTCGTCTCCTGACGCATCTGGTCCAGCTGGGCACTTAGTTTTGAAAAACCTTCCAGGAACAATTGTTCAAGCCTTTGTACTAGCATTGTCCTTCAAGGTCGAAGAAAATTCTTTCCCACGACAATAGTCTAATAGTCCTTCTCTTTTAATCTCTCTGCGTTGCAATTTCACTAAATTCCACTAGATGGAAATTTTTTTTTTTTTTTTTAAGGAATAAAAGCAACAGCAACAATCTTTCTTTTTCCAGAAACACTTTATCCAAAATTCCCCCTTCCGAATTCAAGAGGCAACAGTAGAATCAAAATGTTACCCTTCTTTTAACTAACTGTCGAGCTGGATAAACTTCAGAACGTCAATTCTGACAGCCCGCTCCTGGTTCAGGGCGGTGGAAAATTGCTTTATTTTAAACTCACTTCCGCAGGATTGAAAAGTCCAAATACAACCCCCTTCTTCTCCTGCAGTCAAAGGGGGGGTTCAGAAATCTTAGATGTTGAATTCTAGTTCTCTTAGAATTTAATTTTCAAGCTTTAGTATATTTTGTCTTTGCTTTCTTCACGTAACAAAAGAATGGAAGGCGACTTCCTGTTTAGACCTTCCCGTTCCGAGTCCCAATTAAGTTCAATTTCAAGTCCAATATTATTTGTTTATTCACCAGTCTTAAAAGTGGTTCAACTCTTCCAAGATCAGGTACTCACGGATAGATATTTTAGATGCCAAATTGTCCAGGAAAAAGGCAGCGCTCTCCGATAACGGCAGTGCGGCTTTGCTGCACGGAGGAAGCAGTCGACTCACAGCACCACGCACCTCCCACTCCGGAGCCCGTTACCGGGCTCCTGTACAAGGGGAGAGCGCTCTCGGTGCCCGCCGAGTCCCACGTCCACAGGCTTCTTCCGCCTGTGGTTTTTAAGGGTCCCCGCTGCGCCGTAGCGGCAGGACCCAAGCCTCCGTGCAGCGGGTTCCCTTCAGTCCGAAGGGAATTCCGCCATTTTCCGGAGGCGCCACCCCGGAAGTCCTGCCTTGGCAGATGATTTAAACTGGGGAATGGATGGGAGGAATGTTCTCCTTGACTTCTCAATGGTTTCCAGTACCATTGTGTTCTCCTTCCAGAATATCTCTCTGGGATGAGGCTTGAGGGCACCGTACTGCAGTAGATCTAATTCAGTGTGGATGATGGTTCTCAAGAACCTCTCTTTCCTTTCTTGGCTACTGGCCTTTAGAGTGCCTCAAGGCTCAACTGACCCTCCAAACATTTCAACACCTACATGAAACCAGAGGGCAAAGTCACCAGGAGGTATGACCTCCTGATAATAAATATGCAGATAACTATCTACCTCTCTTTTTCACCATGGTGGAAATCTTAATCTAGGCAAGATGTATGTACTGTAGACCAGGAAATCTGCCGATCCGGATGTGGTTGCCAGCCCCTAAAGAGCCAAGGACAGGGTTTGGGAGATCTCCACATTACCTTTGGGATGTCAGGTGGTATCAAAGGCCAGAATCACTTTTATCAACCCTAGTTGTTTTGCTAGCTGCAGCCTTATTTTGAGAAGGCAGATCTTACCTCAGTGACTCACCCAGGCTACATTACTGCAATGGGTTAAGCATGGGACTCCCTTTTAAATGATTTGGGAACTTCAGTTGGTGCAGAATGTGGCCACTGTAATGCTTGTAGAAACTAGACATTTGGATTATATTTCACCCAGTCTGTGCGTGGCTGCCTGTTTAATTCTGGCCCAGTTTAAGGTCTTGGTTTTATGCTTTAAACAATTTGGGGACTGGGTTATTTGAAGGATCACTTGCACCCATATGAACCTCCTGTTATTTTAAGGTTGGCTAACTATTTTATAATGTTAATGAGATTGTATTAAACAACTGGTATATTATTTTTATATGATGATGTAGGGAACCACCTTGTGAGAGAAGATTCCCGGAAAAGCGAGTTTAAAAAATAAAAATGGAACAAATGAATGAAGTTGTAAGTAGGCCATTTCTCAGTAAAAATGTGATGCTTAAAATAGTTAATAAAGGGGTGATTCCAACCAGCAAAGCCAGTTTAAAACTAGTCTAACAACCTGGGGTAAGTACATGGAATAAGGGTGTAGTCATACATGCACCCAAATGTTCTTTAGACAGACAGATTAATCTCTTCCGATTCAACTATGTAAGGTCACGCTATACAATGTCATAGTGCATAGAACTTGGGGACAGTTCTGGAGGACTCATCTCTATGGCTGGCACTCACAAGGTCGTAGAGGTGCATATTCAGATGTATAAAATATTGTGGCAAAATGAAGAAGTCATGCGTTTTCTGGATGTGGTCTCCTCCTCCACTTGTCAGTAGCATTGCAAAATCGTAATTCATGAGTTAGCACCTTTTTGCGGTTGCACTGGTGGTCTTGTGGAAGACCACCAGGACCACTAGGTCCGGTAGAAGAGAATTACATTATAAATATAGAACCACCTTCTCTAATTTTCCAGTGGAGGCAGGGAGAGCTAAGGGTTTCTACTAGCTAGAGTTGAGAGGGGTTTGCTGTCAGAATTCTCACTTGCAGATTCCAGTGTAAAATATCAACTGGATTTTCTCTGAATATTTCCTCAATATTAGATACCTGCATTTGCAACTGATGTTATATTTTTTCATATTATGGAAGATTGCTGCCACCTCTCCATAGAGCCTCTCCAGATTCCTCACTAATCACAGTTCCAAGGGTACCCCTTCTAGGCAGCAGCCTCTCTACTTTATTTCTTGTTATACACCTGCCTCTCTCTGTCTCTCTTGCATCTTCCTTTCTGGGTGCCTTTAAGAGATTCTGCCCTCCCAGGATGCCTACCTCGCTTGAGAAGGTGGACCCAGCAGCTGGCAGGTGTGCCATTTGCTGAGAGTGCCACCCACCCTTTCCTCCTCTGCTCTGGTACTCCTCTCTATGGAAGATACACCAGTTTGGCTGTCAGGATATGTGTGCGAAGAGAGAGATGCATGCAACTAATGTATCGAAAGCCCAGTGTGGGCAGTGGGAGAGTGCATCTTCAGAGGTGAAGGCAAGCTGTTGGAGAGTTACAGCACCTGCTATGGCTGTAGCGTCCGATATGGAAGAGCAGGCATAGGCAAACTTGGTCCTCCAGACATTTTGGGACTACAACTCCCATCATCTCCCTGACCACTGGTCCTGTTAGCTAAGGATGATGGCAGCTGTAGTCCCAAAACATCTGGAGGGCCGAGTTTGCCTATGCCTGTGAGAGAGACAAGTTCTGTTGCTGCTGAGGCAGATGAAGGTGTTTGTTTGTGCTGCTATAGGTGCACCATGGCATTCTCTCTGCACTCCTTCCACAGTCCTAGTTCTGGGCCTTTGCCTCCCTTCTCCTCAAGGGACTTGAAATTGTCCATAGTTGCCACAGGATGGCAGAGTAAATATGAACAGTGGTTACACAATTTTGTTGTGGCAAACAATACTATGCCAATAAATATTTTGCTTAAGTTTTTGAATATCTTACGTCATGGAACATTAAAGCTGCATCTAATAATGAAATGAGAATAAAACATATCCATGGACCTGCAATCCTGAAGGCCTCTTGCTAATGTAGACTCACTCTGGAGTAATTATCTTTTGAGTAAACATGGCTGATTTTTAAAAGGCAAATAAATAAAAAAGTAAAAAGGTAAAGGTAAAGGTACCCCTGCCCGTACGGGCCAGTCTTGCCAGACTCTAGGGTTGTGCGCTCATCTCACTCTATAGGCCGAGAGCCAGCGCTGTCCGCAGACACTTCCGGGTCACGTGGCCAGCGTGACAAGCTGCATCTGGCGAGCCAGCGCAGCACACGGAACGCCGTTTACCTTCCCGCTGTTAAGCGGTCCCTATTTATCTACTTGCACCCAGGGGTGCTTTCGAACTGCTAGGTTGGCAGGTGCCGGGACCGAACAACGGGAGCGCACCCCACCGCGGGGATTCGAACCGCCGACCATGCGATCGGGAAGTCCTAGGCGCTGAGGTTTTACCCACAGCGCCACCCGCGTCCCTGATGCAAATGAATAAAATCTAGCCAATAAGCAAAACAGCAAGCTGATGGTAACTATATACCCAAAAATCTGAATGATATTTCAGCTTGAATGGGATAAGCATCTCATTGATCATTACTTAAAAGTCCATCCCAAGTCATTCTGCTGAATACTGTTTTGGGACAGCTTAATAGCTGAATAACGTTTCAGTAGTTTGAAGGGAGAGATGCCCTCAAAATACTTGAGACTTAGGGAACTTCTGGAGAGCAGGGAAGTAACAAATGAGGGGAGAGGCCAAAAACACACTCCTACTTTTGACTAGCAAATACAATTTCATACATTAGGCAAAATAAGGTGGAACTATGCAAGTATCTGTATAATTGATACAAGATGCAAACTCCATCTTTTCTTAGCGCAGAACCTGAGTAATCTTGGTGCATTTTTGTTTTATTTATTATTTTCCTTTTTACTTAACAAAATATAAATAACACTTACTAGGACAAAATACCTCTGAGCACTTTATTGCCATGCAGGACACATACAGTTCTGCTGTGTGCTCAGATGGACGCATGAATTTTAAAATGTTAACAATGCAAGTCTCTCACAAGCATTGTTTATAAAGTTTTACATCTTGCATTGGAGGGACAAACAATTCTAAGCTGGAAACCTCTTCTTGAGTTAGCAATAGTCAGTAGTTGTGTCTGGAAAGGCACATGCTCTTAAAATCATGCGCCTAACTTTTGTGGCTAAGTGAACACAAGTGAAATAGACTTGCTTCAGTGTCTGAATAAACTGTAGGCCTACTTTTTTCCCCTTTAGACAATCTTAGCCTACCACCAAGAGCTGTCCAACTTGTTTACAAAGGCCAATCAAAATTTATGAGGTCTTGACTTAATCAACAGGCATGGTGTAAGAACCTCAGCTATAGAAACACGACACTGATGGTTGCTAAAAATGAAACCACTGCATACACTTGCAGAGTTGCAAAGGAATAAGGCAGTAATTAAATCTTAGCAATTACACTGCATTTCATTTTATATGAGCACATTCTTGCAACTTCGCACGAACAGCAGATGTCCCTCTCCCCATTAGTAAAGTGGTAAATGAGCTGACCTTTTCATACCTCCCCCAGCCAAATGATTAAATAAAGGGGACTCTTAACATACTTCTGTTGTGTCTCCCCCCTCACACTAGGCTTCACTGCCTGAGCCCGCTCTTTCTACTTTCCCTCCCACCATTACATATTGCTGAAGTCTCTTCTCCACTTGTTGCCTGAACCTATTAAAGGTAAAGGGACCCCCTGACCATTAGGTCCAGTCGTGACTGACTCTGGGGTTGTGGTGCTCATCTCGCTTTATTGGCCGAGGGAGCCGGCATACAGCTTCTGGGTCATGTGGCCAGCATGACTAAGCCGCTTCTGGCGAACCAGAGCAGCACACGGAAACGCCGTTTACCTTCCCGCCGGAGCGGTACCTATTTATCTACTTGCACTTTGATGTGCTTTCGAACTGGTAGGTTGGCAGGAGCAGGGACCAAGCATCAGGGGCTCACCCCATGACGGGGATTCGAACCGCTGACCTTCTGATCGGCAAGTCCTAGGCTCTGTGGTTTAACCCACAGCACCATAAAACGGGATATCAAATCCAAACTCTTCTCCCTCTGTGTTGTGGGAGGAGGAGGGGGTCGCAACCCTGTTGGTTCTTTTGAACCTCTCAGTGGCTTCCATGGAAACCTCCTAGAGGCACTGTACTGTGTGCCAATGGTTTGACTCCAACTTGGATGGATGTTTCCAGAAGGTGCTGCTGGATAGGAACTGCTCTATCCCTTGGCAGTTAAGCCATGGGCTACACATGGGCTACACAGGGAGCCGGCATACAGCTTCTGGGTCATGTGGCCAGCATGACTAAGCCGCTTCTGGCGAACCAGAGCAGCACACGGAAACGCCGTTTACCTTCCCGCCGGAGCGGTACCTATTTATCTACTTGCACTTTGATGTGCTTTCGAACTGCTTGGTTGGCAGGAGCTGGGACCGAGCAATGGGAGCTCACCCCGTTGCAGGGATTTGAACCGCCGACCTTCTGATCGGCAAGTCCTAGGCTCCGTGGTTTAACCCACAGCGCCACCCGCGTCTCAGAACCTATTAAGCAACATTAAACATCAATTTGCTTTTCCCACGATTGCGAAAGATTCCCACTGAGCACATACTCCATGTCATGCACGGTCAGCACTAAGAGTAGAATGATGTTTAGGCTGATAACTTCCCCATATTGCCTGATGAGTTTCAGCTACTTTGCAGAGGCGCTTTCATCTCCAGTGACGTATCAATGCCCAGTGATAGGCATCTCTTTTCAGCCAGGCAGGCAGTACCTACCTGGTTCCCATGATCTCAAGCACATGCACACATACACAGACAAGGAAAAGGTGGTTTTATAGGTATGGAATATGGTAGGGTGCTTTTTGCAAATGTGGCTAAGGATGGTTCAAAGCTCAGTGGTTAAAACCTTGACTCTACTGTGAGCATCCTGGACAGCCTTTAGAGAATCATTCTTCTTTCACCCCGCCCCATCCCCGCCCCCTGCAATAGTGTCATTTGTGAGCTGGGATCAGTCGTGCCAAAAATCAGGTGAAGTCAATACAAAATCACATTACAATCTGCCTTCTGGATTCAAAATCGCTCCCAGTACCTCAACGTCAATGAAGTCCCCCATCCCCAGCTCAGAAACCTTCATGCCAAGTTTGGTGGTGGTATATACTGCCCCATGCCCACAGGTTTCAGGGCAGTTCACATGATAAAATCAGAATTTAAACCACAAGGTATATAATCAAAATAAAAACAAGAACAACTCAATGACCACCACCACCACCACCCCATGTCAAAAAATGGGTGAAGTCACACAAGAGTGATGTTTCCATCTTGAATCAATATGGCGGCAGGCTTCCAAATATCAACAAAGATCACCACCCGTACCTTGGGAACCTTCCTGCCAATTCATATCTTGAAAGGCAGTCAAATCTATAGAGAACAAATGTACAAACCAATTTCCAAAATATGTTCAATATGTTGCCAGTAAAACTCAAGTAAAGCCTTCCACCAAGCCACCACCAATCGATGGCTTTAAAAGAGGATTAGACAAATTCATGGAGGAGAAAGAGCTACCTTCATAGCTAGAGGCAGCATGGTCACTGCGAGATCAAGAGGCTGCACTAGATGGGCCGTGGGCCTGATCCAGCAGGCTCTAGATCGTATGCTTTATCTAGGTGAATTATCACATTTTCCTGGATTAAAAAACATAAACAGTCGTATGTTCCCGTATCCACCAAGGAGATGCCACTTCCCAAAACCAAAGTGCAAACTCGAGGTAAATTTGAGCAAACGGTGCACCATAAATAGGAAACGGAGGAACATTTGTGCCATAAAAAAACTAGTTGTGTGGAATGAATGAATTGTCTCTGACTGCCAGCAACTCTCGAGTCTCTTGGGTCCTTCCCTGTCGTGCTGCAACCTGAGTCTCTTGTACTTGGAGGTGCTGGGGGAATTTGAATCTGAGACACCAAAGCATGTGTGTGGCCCTTTAAAGAAAGGGTATTTATGGTATTTATTTTTATTTTTAATTAGATTTATGTACCACCCGTCATAGGGATGCGGGTGGCGCTGTGGGTTAAACCACAGAGCCTAGGGCTTACCGATCAAAAGGTTGGCGGTTCGAATCCCCGCGACGGGGTGAGCTCCCGTTGCTCGGTCCCTGCTCCTGCCAACCTAGCAGTTTGAAAGCACATCAAAGTGCAAGTAGATAAATAGGTACCACTCCAGCGGGAAGGTAAACACCATTTCCATGCGCTGCTCTGGTTCTCCAGAAACGGCTTAGTCATGCTGGCCACATGATTGTATGCCGGCTCCCTCGGCCAATAAAGCAAGATGAGCGCCGCAACCGCAGAGTCGGTCACGACTTGACCTAATGGTCAGGGGTCCCTTTATCTTTACCTTTTACTACCCTTCATCTGAGGATCACAGGGCAGTATACTGCACAAGGAACTATTTTATGTTTGAAAGAGAGTGGATGCACTTTTGAGAAATCAATTCTGCTTCCAAGTGGGACCAGGTTGTGCTCACGCCGCCAGGCCCCACCCCCACCTCAGCGTGGTGTGGGATAGCGTCCCGTGTCACGCTGAAAGTGACCCGGCCACGCCATTTGCCAGGCGGCCAATCAGGGCACTGAGGGGGCGTGGCCAGGACCCATTTAAACCGGGGTGCAACTCTGACAGATCCTCTTTCAGCCTCGCACCACGAATCTCCTGCCCTCCCACCCTCTTTTAGGTAAGGTCACTGGCCTTGCTATGGACTTCGGTTGGTCGCCATTGAGGGGCCTGGTAGGACTCTTTTCACTTGGCAAATTGGCACCAGCCACTTGGTTTTTGCCTACCACGTAGCAAACGTCACAACTTTGTAAGGTTTGGAGGTTAGGCATTGGAATAGCGATGTGGGGGGGGGGAGGGGAGGTGCAGCCATCACCTGCCCCTCCATGCAGAAGGGTATTCCGTTAAAGGAATCCAGGAGTGTGGATCTTGTCCGAAGCTCAGGGAAGGGCTAGGGCCATGCCATGACCCCAGCGGGAGCCCAGGGGATGCTCAAGTCGATCCACATTGGCAGGGCTTCCCCTGCTGGTGGTTTACCCTTACCAGACTCCCTGCAAGGCGGGCAGGAATCAGATATAGTTTGTTGATGCTGAATGCCTAAGCCAATACTGCTCACATTCTATAACCGATAAAGTGGTGGCCTAAATTTGCCCAATAACATTAACCTAAATTCTGTGTCCTTGTGTCTTTATTCTCCTGGGGTGGCTTGGGGTTCTTAAAGCACAACCAAACCTATACCTTAAGAACTGCAGATGTATTGTTGGAAACACAATATTCAGCCACAGTCTAATAATAAATTAAGCCCATTGATTAGTCCCATTGATTGCAGTGGGGAAAGGTGTGAAGCTTAACTGCTGCCTGTTGAAATGAGCATAGCTACGAAGGGTTGACTGGAGCACTTTTTAGTACAGTGGTACCTCGGGTTAAGTACTTAATTCGTTCCGGAGGTCCATACTTAACCTGAAACTGTTCTTAACCTGAAGCACCACTTTAGCTAATGGGGCCTCCTGCTGCTGCTGTGCCGCTTCTGCACAATTTCTGTTCTCATCCTGAAGCAAAGTTCTTAACCTGAAGCACTATTTCTGGGTTAGCGGAGTCTGTAACCTGAAGCGTATGTAACCTGAAGCGTATGTAACCTGAGGTACCACTGTATATAAAAAGATGGGTAAATAGAAGTTTGCACAACATTTTCCCAATCCAGAGCCCTGGATGCCACCTCGAATTCTGACAGTATTGATAAGCTTGAAAGTTCACCCATTCTTAATGTATGCTATCTTTTCTCTCCTGCATTCACATAGCTATACAGTGGTACCTCGGGTTAAGAACTTAATTTGTTCTGGAGGTCCGTTCTTAACCTGAAACTGTTCTTAACCTGAAGCACCACTTTAGCTAATGGGGCCTCCTGCTGCTGCTGTGCCGCTTCTGCACGATTTCTGTTCTCATCCTGAAGCAAAGTTCTTAACCTGAAGCACTATTTCTGGGTTAGCGGAGTCTGTAACCTGAAGCGTATGTAACCTGAAGCGTATGTAACCCGAGGTACCACTGTACATGAGTTGCTCTGCACATAGGGAGAGATATGCCGAAAGATATACCACAAAGCCAATCCCAGGAGCCCTCAGCCATATGCATTGCCACACAGGTGGTGGTTGCCCATAATGGGAGGCCAGTTTGTGCCTCGCGTCTGAGCATCTGGCATGCTCCCAACAAGTAACGCTTCTTGCAGGAGAATGCTGTGTCCCAGGGAGAAGTGATTTACTGGCTATTACCTGTCAGTTGCAGGAAAGCCTGATCCATATCCACTGGAGAGAGACAAATCTGTCACTTACTGTTTCTCTGCATTTCTCATTTTTCCACTCTTAAGTTCAGCAAACTTCCAAATCTATTTGTAAACCTTTATTTGTTTTGTTTTTTTAAGTCTGCACAAAAATTGTATTCATTTTTCGGTGCCTGTCTCCTCATATTGACATTTTATACACCATTGTGTCTAATATATGCATTTGGGAGGGGCGGGTCGCTAAAACAAGGCATTCTTATGCATATTGGTTGGCTGTAGAGCTGCGTTATAAAATATGATGGCAAATATGCTTACTGGGAAAGGATGTGCAGATTAGGTTGGTTTGGACTAAAATACAGGCCAAATGCATTTCCCATCCCTGAAGTCCTCTGACAAGCAGTGTGAGGTGGATAGTTAGGAAAATGAGGGACTTCTTGGTGGTGGCACCATCCTTTTGGAACAATTAGTGATGTTAAATTCTCGAGAATAATACAAAAGATTATTCTCAGGAATTTAACATCACTAGGAACATCCTCCCCGGGGGAGGGCCACCTAAGACATTCTTCATCTTCTTATTCATTCACTTCATTTACTCAGGCCTTTCAAGTTTGCATTTTTAAAATCAACCCTGCACTGTCACTTTCAAAAATGTGGTTTTAAATAACTCTTTGTGTGGTTTTATGCTGAGTTGCGCATGGTTTTATTCCGCTTCCACTGGAAGGAAAGCTTTATGCCGTTGGTTTTTACCGTCTTAATCATTATACTTTGTGTTTTGTTTCGTACGTATGGTGTTTGTTTTTGCTTTCTAAGCCACCTAGATTATTTTCTGATGATCAGCCAAATACATTTAATAAATCACTATCCTTCCAGCTGTCATGATGTGGCATGCCCTGCCCAGAGCCCAGCTGAGGGATGGTGGGGGAGGAGAGAACACCCTGGTCTCTGGCAGGGGTGTTTCAGCCAGAGGGCTACATTCCATCATGCCCTGCATGCCGCTGGTGGGTGAGGCGAGAGGCAAAGGTGGGCAGAGCAAGGGAAACGTCTTTTGCCTTCGTACCATGGGCTGCATTCCAGCCATGCAACAGAGGTGTGCACGCATGTAAACACATACAAACACACACACACCCCACGTGCCTTTCAGCCAAGGAAAAAGCATTGCCACAGCCCAAGGATGCATTCTGCACAGGCAAAAGCACTTGAGCAGGGCCAGAGAGGGGCATGGCCTGAGGAGAGGGGAGTGTGGCTTGGAGAGAGTCGCCAAGGCTGGCTAGAGATTCTTGAAGGGCTGTACTCACATTAGTACAGGCGGTTCATCACCCCTGATCTAGGGGGTCCCGTTGGTGGAGCAGGGAGAGTACATGATGGTGCACAATCATTTTACTAAGAAGACTGATTGGTTGTCATGAAGATAATTACTGCTTGAATGCTTCTCCCTAAGTCAGTGGTTGAGGGACACGGGTGGCACTGTGGTCTAAACCACAGAGCCTAGGGCTTGCCGGTCAGAAGGTCAGCGGTTCAAATCCCCGTGACAGGGTGAGCTCCCGTTGCTCCTGCCAACCTAGCAGTTCAAAAGCACATCAAAGTGCAAGTAGATAAATAGGTACCGCTCCGGCCGGAAAGTAAACGGCGTTTCTGTGTGCTGCTCTGCTTCGCCAGAAGTGGCTTAGTCATGCTGGCCACATGACCCGGAAGCTGTCTGTGGACAAACGCTGGCTCCCTCGGCCTATAGAGCGAGATGACTGTGCAACCCCAGAGTCGTCCACAACTAGACCTAGTAGGGGTACCTTTACTCTGGGGTTGCGTGCTCATCTCGCTCTATAGGCTGAGGGAGCCAGCGTTTGCCCACCTTTAAGTCAGTGGTTATTGACCAGTGTGCTGTGGCACCCTGGGGTGCCTTGAATGATGGTCAGGGGTGCCGTGGGCAACACTGGCCTCTGTCCCTCTTTCCTTCCCTCCCTCCTCTGATGCCCTCTCATGTCTCTGCCTCTCAAAGGCTTGCACAGCTGTTTATTGCAGCAGCCCTGGCTATAAGCTCTGCAGGCGAATGGTTGCACTCCATGTTCTCTTTGGGGCAGGGGCAGCTCAGAGACTCAGGGACAGAAGCAGCTGCCCGTCCAGAGGACTCCCAAGAAGAGGGGACAGGAGAGGAGGCTGAGGGAACGTTCCCCAGGGGAGGGTGTTCGAAAAAGGGTGAGAGGCTACCAGCTCTACAGGCAATGGGTGACATAACCGGGCTTCTGAGCCCCACAGGGGTGCCACAGATAGAATGTACTTGGTCAAGGAAGCCTTGGACCCCAGAAGGTTGAAACCTCTGGCCTAAGTGATGCTTGTGTTCCAAAGCATCTTGGTGACCTCGGTGTTGGCTGCCTGGAGTTTCAGTGTGTGTGGCCTCTGCACAATGCAACAGGCAGTGATGGTGAACAAGACTTGCAAGTCAATGTCAGGCCGCTCATGGCTGGCTTCAGCAGCAGAAACTGACGAATCTCTCAATTTCAGTTTCCCATTTTTCCATTTCTGCATCAGCTGGCTATTTGTTCCATTTAAAAAAAAGTTCACATGAAAATCCGCACACTTTTTGTGCATTTTTGCAAGCACTTTTCCCAGCATATAATGCAATATTGTGCATTATTTGCAGTAATGTGTGTATTTTTGTACAGACTTTCCCTCAATGTATACTTTTCCCACACTTTGGAGAGCTGTACTGCAAAACTGGAAGAAGTCCTACTTTCAAAAGTTCATTTCAGTTTGTGTATTTTGATCAGAAGCACAGATTATATTCAAATTGTGAACTGGGTGACTTTCTGCTCATTCCCTATTCAGTGTGGAAAGTTTCCTATTTACCAACCGATTGTTCTTTTTCCTGTGCTCCCCCCTCCCCCACCGTCTGCTGCAGCCACAAACGTGGAGTGCAGCTCAGTGTGGTGAAATCTCCTGATGCTTATGCTGATGTCACAGGAGGAGGAAAAAACCCTCCAAGAATAGAAATGGCATATACTTTTAATGCAACTTACTCATAGCTTGCTGGTGTTTAGACTCGACCTTCAGAGTTGCCCAATGTCCTGGCTTCCGCTCAGGCACAATGAAGGAGTGGCTCAAGAAGGAGCTGTAAGCAAACAGAGCTGGATTCCTTTATTTCCCTGTTCGGATGTGATGCAGGAAGACGGGGGAGAGAACAACTCCGCAACGGTGGCTTCTGAAGATTCTGCTGGCTACGAGCCCTTTCCCAGGCTCCCTCTTGGTTTATCCTGAAGGATCCCCAGGAGCCGCACTCACGGATACCTTGCTTACGAAACCCCGTGTGCTTGCATCAACTACCAAGCCCTCCTTCTTCTGCCAAGCAGTGGAGTAAGACTGTCTCGCTGATGCAGGCCTGGCCACTAAACCCTTGCTTAGGGGCAAGGGGAAGTCCTCTGGAATTCTCATAGACCTCATTGTGTGTGTGGCTTGTGTGCATTACTGGATCAGAGCAAATGGGATACAAAGGAACAAAGAACAGGATGCATTGCTACTGGAGGCGGCCAAAGAAGGTAACATGTATTTTGAATTACTCGGCTGGGGTCTCAGATTTTGAGTTAATTGCTTTGTACAGGGTGCGAGTTGCATACTGAAGAACTCTGCGCTTCTTATAGGCATGGGGAACCTCCATGTTCAGGAGCAGCAAGCCTATAAGTATTGCCCACTGAAGGAAATACATAAGAAGAGAAGGCCATATATTTATGTCTTGCCTGAGCCTGGTGGTTGTCGCAGACAAATTGTTGAGTTGGATGGTCTTTTGGTCTGATCCGGCAAGGCATTAGGACAATACTGTAGCACAATGGCTAAGCTATGCTTCATAATACTCAGAAGAAGCCCTGGGGCTCTTTGCTACTTCAGTGAAACATTTTGAACCCCTGAATGTGCTATATACATGATAAATATAATTTATCACTAGAATTAGCATCATAGTACTCAGAAGAAGTCCTGGTTCTTTCTGGTCCAGCTATGAACCGGAAAACCCATCATGCAAATCCTACTTCTAGCATAAAAGTTACTAGATAGGCTCAGGTAAGCCTTCCTTGTCTCTGTTTCAGTGTTTATGGGGAAAATAATACTGGCAAGCTTTACAGGGTGCTGTTAAGTGTTGCTGAAATAATGTATGTGAAACATTTTGAACGGGCACGGCATGTTTTATTATCCATCCACTTGGTGCTTTTTAACCTGCATTTTAGTAAGAGAGGTTGCTTTGAGATGGAAAATAAACATTCTCCATCATTTTGCTGAGCAGGGGTTAAGAATTTAGTGAGCTAAATCCAGCTGCCCACAGTACTAGAGGCTAGTGAACAAAGCAGACGCTTATGGTACTTGGCTTGTATACGATTGTGGCTAAGACACTGAGCTATGTCCATACTTCAAAGCTCATTTCTTCCATAAACTCACTTTACACACTCACTTTTTGCCCCGTGTGTCACATGCACAAGCCTGTGCTTTCCTGGTCCATGTCTGAGTGTCTTCCCCCACCCCGCCACTTTCCTCAAGGAAAAGCTGCTCTTTACTGCTGAATCGGAACAAGTGGCCATTCAGGTTTTTCGCAGATTGCCATTTGCACTGATTCAGTTGCAATGAGTAAGCTTTTGTGAGGAAAGAAGTTCCTCCCCCACAAAAAACACTCAGGCAGGGAGCTTTAAAGCACAGATCTGTACCTAGAAATGTGGAGCAAAGCTAAGTGTGCATGAGTAGTTAGAGTAGCTTTACTATCTGCCTTGGCCCCCTTCGTGCAATATGGGATTGATAATGCCCTTCAAATCAAATCAAATATCTTTAATACGGTCAATGACCAGGAAGGATAGTGCCCTTCTTTGTAGGAGTGTTGTAATGATTACAGCAAGGTAATCATACACTTGAAGCCTTTTGAACACCTGAAGGTGCTCTCTACATGCTAAGTATCACAGCTGGAAGGACTTTTGCTGCTCTTTGGTCCACCAAGTCTGGATCTTATGCCAGGTTCCTGAGGCAGACAAGACACGGTGTGAGAGTGTATATTGGGCAAGAGGCCTAGTAGCTTTCTTCACGCTTCCTTCCAGAAGTATTTTCATGCCAACGAGAGGCCTTGAGCATTCATTGGCTGTCTGAATTAGCAGCTACCAAAGACCATCGCATAAACAGGATGGCTTTGGAGGAGCAGCTCAGATCACCAACAAGTGTAACTGATGCTGGATCTCTTGAGGCTTCCTAGCAATGGTGCTGCAGTTTGTGGGGTCTGTATCCCTTCAGTTGGTAATATGTACTGCAGGCACAAGGACTGAGGTCCAGTGCCGAAGGCCTTCTGGTGGTTCCCTTGCTGCGAGAAGCCAAGCTACAGGGAACCAGGCAGAGGGCCTTCTTGGTAGTGGCACCCGCCCTGTGGCACACCCTCCCGCCAGATGTCAAAGAGAAAAACAGCTACCAGACTTTTAGAAGACATCTGAAGGTTCAGGGAAGCTTCTAATGTTTGATAGACTATTGTATTTTAATATTCTGTTGGAAGCCGCCCAGAGTGGCTGAGGAAACCCGGCCAGATGGGTGGGGTATAAATAATAAATTATTATTATTATTATTATTATTAATACTGAGAGTGCTGATGAGTAACTTGGAATAGATCTCAGTGGTCACAGATTGAAATTCTATCTCCGGATAGAATTCTATCTCCAGAGAGAGATGTGGGGAGTGTGACCTTGCTAGTTTTTCTTGGCATCTCAGAGGCTTTCAATACAGTGGTACCTCGCAAGACGAATGCCTCGCAAGACGGAAAACTGGCAAAACGAAAGGGTTTTTTGTTTTTTGAGCTGCTTCGCAAGACGATTTTCTCTATGGGCTTGCTTCGCAAGACGGAAACGTCTTGCAAGTTTGTTTCCTTTTTCTTAACACCGTTAATACAGTTGCGACTTGACTTCGAGGAGCAACTCATAGCACGCGGTGTGGTAGCCTTTTTTGAGGTTTTTGAAGACTTTGGTGATTTTTGAAGCTTTTCCAAAACTTTCCCGACACCGTGCTTCGCAAGACGAAAAAAATCGCAAGACGACAAAACTCGTGGAACGAATTAATTTCGTCTTGCGAGGCACCACTGTACCATTGAAATCCCATGGTGTCCTTTAAGGAGGTGGGGGTTGTGGGCACTGTACTTCTGTTTCTGTTTCTGTTTCTTCTGCTACCTCCAGAGCTGCTTCCAGAAAGCAATTGTGTCTTGGTACAATTGCACCTTTATAGATATGGCCCTGGTAGGACCCTGGTTGTTGTTGTTGTTTAGTCGTTTCCGACTCTTCGTGACCCCCTGGACCAGAGCACTCCAGGCACTCCTGTCTTCCACTGCCTCCCGCAGTTTGGTCAAACTCATGCTGGTAGCTTTGAGAACACTGTCCAACCATCTCGTCCTGTGATGGCCTGGGAGGTTGAACCGGAGGAATCCCAGCCTGCACATGAGTCCCCGCCTCCAGGGCCGGCTGAGCTGGGGCAGGGCCTTGATTCTGAAGCGCCTGCACCTGTGCCGGATCCTCAGGAGCAGGTACCAGGTGAATCCACTCTGGTTCCGGAGGCGATGGAGGATGCATTGCCTACAGGTGCGCCTCCCCCAGCCCTGTCAAGGGAAAGTGAGTCTTCCCCTGGGTCCAGTAACCCACCGGCCTCTCCTGAGCTGCAGAGGCTCAGGGCAGAGAGGCAGAGGGAACTGGTTTCTCCCAGGAGGAGTGCTCGCCTTAAGGCCAGGAGAGGCAGGTCACCTGGGGGCTGGGACCGCCCCTGGCCTCAGAGATGATAAAGGCCAGTCAGCCCGGTCCCAGGTTGCGGGAGCAACGTTGTTGAAGAGCTGTTTCGGCCAGCACCCAGTCCTGTTCCCCCAGAGTTCCTGTCCTTGCCCGGCTCCTCACTGTGGACCCCGCTTCGCCCGTGGAGGACTGTCTGCCGACCCTCGACTCAGGTCCTGGACCTCGCCCCACGGTAACCTCCCCGCTGGACCATCCCCTTCTTGTGCCCTCCATCTTTCCCAACATCAGGTTCTTTTCCAGGGAGTCTTCTCTTCTCATGAGGTGGCCAAAGTATCGAAGTCTCAGCTTCAGGATCTGTCCTTCCAGTGAGCACTCAGGGCTGATTTGCTTCAGAATGGAGAGGTTGCAGTCCATGGGACTCTCAAGAGTCTCCTCCAGCACCAGAATTCAAAAGCATCAATTCTTCAGCGATCAGCCTTCTTTATGGTCCAGCTCTCACTTCCATACATCACTACTGGGAAAACCATAGCTTTAACTATATGGATCCCTTCATGGGATCCCTTGCTGTGGCGAAGGGCCTTGAATAACTCAGAGAAGCTATGAACTATGCCGAGCAGGACCCTGGTAGGGATTGATATTACCTGGTGTCCAAACAACTCATTTATCCCTTGCAGCTCTTCACTTCACTCATTGGCGAAAAACACTGGTGGATCGTGATCTGTCATTTCCATAGACACTGTGTCTCTGTGTCTCCTCCTTTCCTTTCTTCCAGGGCCCAGGATGATATGCCTCTTTTCCATTTCTCCCCCTCAAATCATAATGGCACATATTTTTCTACTGATCTTTATCCGTTTCAGCAGATTCTAACTGCAGCCATGACATGTAAAGAACATGTTTATTGCTGAATTACACATACAAAAGGATTGTCCACGATTGTCCACAAGGCTCCTGATCTATTGAGATTTCACAAACACCGTTTATCACTACTGGATGACTAGCAGTTGAATGTGTGAAATGCAAAACACGGCATTTGAGGTGACGTGAGGTGATTTGTGACGGCTGAGTCACAAATGCCTAGCCACAGTAATTCCTGTGTCGCTTACTGAAAGAATGGATTACTGCAGTGTGCTTTATGTGGGGCTTCCCATGCGCTTAATCAGGCGGCTTCAGTTAGTGAAGAATGCTGCAACACCATTGCTGACAGGAGTCACATATAACGCCTGTGCTCAGCATTGGTTGCTGATTTGCTGCCCGGCCAATTTCAAGGTGTTATTACAGTGGTACCTTGGGATGTGAACAGGATCCGTTCCGGAGCCCCGTTCGCATCCAGAAGCAAACATAACTAACGATGGCACGTCTGCGCACACACGCATTGCTTTTCGTCGCTTCTGCGCATGCGCGTGACATCATTTTGAGCGTCTGCGCATGCGTGAGCGGCGAAACCCGGAAGTAACGCGCTCCGTTACTTCTGGGTTGCCGCGGAGCGCAACTTGAAAGCGCTCAACATGAAGCATATTCAACCCTAGTTATGACTGTATTAGCATATGTAATCATAACAACTTGGGACTAGTTTACCTACGACATCACATTGTCCCACATGTGCCCAATTGACCTCTTTGATTGGCACTCCTACAAGTGCAACATAAATAGCCATTCTGCATTTGTAAAAGCTTTGGAACTCCCTGCTTATTGAGCAGACGCCTTCCTTCTGCTCTTTTTTTGGTGCCTGCCACAAACATTCTTCCTTAAAGAAGCCTACCCAGATGCATAGAAAGTTGAGGTAATATTAATGTATTAGTATTTTCACTTTTGTATGTTTTAAAGTAGGGTTGTAATTTTTTCTTGCTTTCCTTTTTTATCTTTATCTTGAAAGGATTTTAAAAATAAATTAAAAAATCAAGCCATGTATAATTTTTATGAAATAAAGAAAGGGAACTTATTCACCTGATGCTACAGATAATCATCAAGTGTGTGAACCATTCCGTTGCCAGGGTAGAAAGAAAACTCAAGTCGAGTTTGACCAAATCTGTGTCAGGAAATGGACAAAGTTGAGCCAAAGTCACGTTTTGGTATGTCATCTTGATTCAAAATGGCAGCCAGCATCCAAAATTTTGACAGAGTGCTGTGCCCACCTTGGAAACCCTCTGAAGGTGGTGCACTCTCCTTCATTAGAACTTTTTAAGCAGTTTGATGGCCATCTGTCATGGATGCTTTAGTTGCATGGCTGGGAGTTGGCCTAGATCAGGCATCCTCAAACTTGGCGCTCCAGCTGTTTTGGGACTACAACTCCCACCATCCCTAGCTAACAGTACCAGTGGTCAGGGGGATGATGGGAATTGTAGTCTCAAAACATCTGGAGCACCGAGTTTGCCTATGCCTGACCTCCATGACCCTCCGGGTCTCTTCCAACTCTACAGTTCTACGATTCTATGAATACAGCCTATGGATTCTTCTATGAAGCTTCCATGTCATTGTTGCCACCATGGCCAGAGTTGGCAGAATTGCTGCCAGTTACATCGTCACCAGTGGCCAGACTTATTCTTGTCGCCCAGTCAGGCTGAAAGGCCAGTGGTCCAGCTGCCAGGAGATTGTTTCAGGAGGCAGGAAGCAATAGCAGCAGCAAGATGACAGGACCATTGGTGGGAGAGAAGAGAGGTCCTCACCCTGACCCACTGATGGACAGCAGGCAACAGTGCTTCTGTCAAGAGCACAGTGGAGCAGCTGGGACCCTCTCCAGTGCCATCAGGAGATACCCCAATGGTCTTGTGATGACACACACACACCCGTGACTAAGCCCTACACTGGTCCTTTTCTGAGCCTCCAGCCTGAGAGTAGCCACCAGCCTGATTCTCCACACAAGCGGCAGAGCATGATGTGGGTCCCCTGCAAGGTGGGAATGGATCCCACCATTGATATCTGCCATCACTGCAAGAAGACTTTGAATGGGGGGAAGTAGCAGGGCATTACACCATCAACAATTTGCTCCAGCACTTGAAGAGGCTCCACCGGTCAATCTCACTCAGGCCAGAGGGAAGCCATGTCCCAGCTATCAGGCAGCAAGGGCAAAACAGTGGTAATGTAGCAAATCTTCCCCCCCCCCCCAGCTAGCTCTCAGTTTCCCATTCCCAAGAGGCTAAGGTGGCCAACCATGGAGTTCAGGAAGCATGAGGTCATGCGGGGGGGGGGGACACACACAGCTGGGCCTACCTGTCTGAAAATTTGCAGGATTAATTCCCCCTTGAGGAGCTACAATTTGCGTGTGGAGGTCCCCAAGCCACCCCTCAAAATAATTCACAAATCACACATAATTTTTGTTTAAGGTTTTTGACATAATTTTGGCCACAACTTTATTAAAATACATAATCTGTGAGTGGTTGCTTAGGCATTGGTTATGACTATCTGTCCCCCCGCCTGGGACAGAACTGACTTCCCAAACTCCCTCGGAAGCCAGTGAAGGGAAAACAATGTTGGGGATCAGTTGAGCTGAGTGACAGTCCCTCACCGCTCACCCAACCAGCTCCCCAAGGCTTGCCGGCCCTGGTCCCATTTCAGGGATTGGACAAAATTGTGGCAAGCCCCAGGATTCCTTTAATGGAATTCTCTTCCAGCACCATTGGAGGGGCAGGCACAGCCTATCCTGACCCCTCCACCACCAATTTTTATAACCAATGCCTAACCGCAACCTTACAAGTTGTGACGAATTGCTAAGTAGTAGGCAAAAACCAAAGGGCACCAGCCAATCAGCCAAATGGACAAAATTCCTACTAGGTCCCTGCCCCAACGGCAGACGACCCCATGACAGGCATAGCAATGTCAACCGGAACACAGGGCGGGCGGGTGATCCGATGCACTCAGCGAAAGAGAAAGCAAAAGCAGAGTGCCCCAATATTTAAAGCCTTTGGTCCCACCCACCTAATCTGCAACATGCAATTTGCCCCAGCAACCGGTCATCCAATTGTTGCTTCAGGCAATAACCATTTAACCTGCCTGGCAACAGAGCGCTGGCCTGGCAGACCACACCGCAACATGTGCTCTCATTTTAGGGAGAACACACTTTCTCCAAATGTCATGTACCAATTGCAAAAAACAAGCAGTTCATTGTTGCCTTGATTTTCCCAATGAAAGTCAATGGGAGGACTGAATATTTGGATTTCCAAATGTTGCTCCTATGCGGGGTCTGAGGCAGGGACCCTTCGAAGCAAGGTGGGGCCCGACCCAGAGCTCTGACCATGAGGCTGCTATTCTTATTCATTGCATTTATATCTTGCCCTTCCCAAAGGAGCCTGCGGCGGCAAGGCAGGGCCGCCTCACACATCCCCCGTTGACATTGTAAGCATACATATTAGGAAGGAAGTGAATCCTACTGAACTCAGTGGAACTTGCTTCTCTGTAAACATTGCTAGGATTGGACTGTAAATTTTCTTTTGGCAGTGTAAGGGAAGGCTTAGATATTCTGTACAATTACTGCGATTGTGCATGTGAAGTGTTTTGAATGCTCTAAAATGTTGCACAAATGCACAAAGTATTATTATCCTCTTTATTGCCTATTAAGCCCTTCATCTTCCTAGGCAACACAGTGCGAGTGGAATGGATGACAGCTGAGCTGTGCTAAGTTTGGTTTTACTCAGTGCTATTTTTCTAGAAAAAGAGGTACACCGAACTCACCTTGAACACCTCCCTTGTTCTCTCATAATGGCAATGGTGCCCACCTGAGAGATGCTGGAACTTAGTTCCGGCAAGTTCCGGCTGGAAAAAAGCCCTGGTTTTACAGGCCTTCTGGCTGTCAGCTTCATTTTTAGTTCATGACGTGTTCACCATATTTCACTTGCATGAGTGTGAGACTTTTGAACAGGGTAAAATGTTGTCCGATTCAGAAATGAAGCTACACGGCAACCAGCCTGCTTTGAAAACATTTGAATGCAGGTTACCTTTCTCAAAAAAAAACCATAAGGGGAATTGCAAGGGTGGAGCTTAGGTAGCGGTGTGGAATGTGAAGTAACAAATACAACATGTGAAACCACACCCTTTGGTTAATGAACTCCAAGGACAGGGTTTGGCTTAAACCGAAAGAAGTGTTGAGGGAGGGAGGGAGAGAGGGAGAGAAGGAAGAAGCAAGTGAGGTTTCACAGCTCCTTCCTGGCAAATGACTGCGTCCTCTGCTTCCATCATCTCTCCCTGAAGAACAAACAGCTAGAACCATCTTCAAAGTTTCAGGTTTTAACTGGTTCTGCCCTCATTCACCCATATTCAAGCAGGGCGAGACCTTAGCAACATGTACACAGCCACACACTCACGTTCACACAAATAGCACTTGAGCTTAAGTGCACTATACCTCCTACCTCAGATCGCGTGTGTCTGTGTCAGGGAGGGGTGGGGTGAGAATTCATGGTAGAGTACTGACTCGTTGGGATGCGGGTGGCATTGTGGGTTAAACCACAGAGCCTAGGGCTTGCCGATCAGAAGGTCGGCGGTTCAAATCCCCATGACGTGGTGAGCTCCCGTTGCTCGGTCCCTGCTCCTGCCAACCTTAGCAGTTCAAAAGCACGTCAAAGTACAAGTAGATAAATAGGTACCACTCCGGCAGGAAGGTAAACGGCGTTTCCGTGCGCTGCTCTGGTTCGCCAGAAGCGGCTTAGTCATGCTGGCCACATGACCCGGAAGCTGTACGCTGGCTCCCTCAGCCAATAAAGCGAGATGAGTGCCGCAACCCCAGAGTTGGTCACGACTGGACCTAATGGTTAGGGGTCCCTTTACCTTTACTGACTCGTTAAGAACAATTTCTTGCAATTGAAAAGCAAGCATCCTGGGATGACTCCTAGGCCAGAATCCTTCTCCCTGTAATTCTAGTGTCGGATGTGTATGCACACGATCTCCCCTTCTTGGGACTAAGATTATTCTGTTTTCCTGACATTACCCTAACTGTTAATTTGTGCAGTACATTGTTACGAGTTTGAGAGGGTAGGCTCTATTCCTGGATCCAACACAGATTCAATTGCTGGAATAGCCAGGCAGTGATACCAAGCGCTGCAAATCCTCCAACAAGCTGCTGAAATTCTGTAACTTTTCATACCATGAATGTTTGGAGTTGTTTTTGGTCCGACTGTGGTTGTGCTATAGTCTCCCTGGACAGCAGTGATGTGGTAGCATTAGGAAACCATGACAGAACAACTAAGACTGTGTTCACACTAAGACATCCAACTCCAGTGTGGATGAGTCCTAATAAAGAAGAAACCCACCACTAACACACGTGGTACAATGCACCCACAATAAACACCCTTCCGAGGGCTCATCATTCCATGTCAATTTGCTGCCCACTCTTCCTCTTTCCCTGTGAGAAAGAGGAGGCGCACAGCAAGCCAGCAAAGACCACTTTGCACAGGGTGCCTGAGAAAGGAGGCAGTGATGCCATTTCTTCCTTTCCAGGAAGTCTAGGGTGAAGTGAAAGCATTGCTTCACTTGCCCTTCTCTGTGTCATGCATGGGACAGAAGAGGACTATGGTCTCAGTCCTTTAGCTTTGCACAAGGCTCCACAAGAGGGGTACAATGAGAGAGACTGAGATGATGGAGCAGGGATATAGCCACACACAGAAATCCCCACCCCACCCACTGGGGAACTGGTGGGCTAAGCCAGACTCAGTGGTTTCTCCTTTTCTGGAACTTTTACATATCCTAAAGGTAAAGGTAAAGGGACCCCTGACCATTAGGTCCAGTCGTGACCAACTCTGGGGTTGCGGCACTCATCTCGCTTTATTGGCCGAGGGAGCCAGCATACAGCTTCTGGGTCATGTGGCCAGCATGACTAAGCCGCTTCTGGCGAACCAGAGCAGCACACGGAAACGCCATTTACCTTCCCAGTGGAGTGGTACCTATTTATCTACTTGCACTTAGATGTGCTTTCGAACTGCTAGGTTGGCAGGAGCAGAGATTGAGCAACAGGAGCTCACCCGATCGCGGGGATTCAAACCGCCGACCTTCTGATCGGCAAGTCCTAGGCTCTGTGGTTTAACCCACAGCACCACCCGCATCCCTTTACATATCCTAGGTATCCTTGAAAAAAACTTCAAGGCTTCTGTGACAGGAAAAGGGGCCAAGAGGGCAAGAGGTTTATTCTGAGTCCTTGACTTGAAATTGCATAGTAGTGCCTGTAAGTCTAAAACTTCTTCCTGTTTCCACAGTGCCTAGCAAATGGAAGGTACTTTATGGAAACAGCTCCATTAAAAAAAAAAGTCATTCCATGGGGCAGAATATTGTGCTACTGGTACTGGACTGGGGCTTGTGAGGGTGTCGTGTACAATAACTGAAAAAGGAATTGTGTGACGCGGCAGCTAAAAAAGCCAATGCAATTCTGGGCTGCATCAATAGGAGTATAGCATCTAGATCAAGGGAAGTAATAGTGCCACTGTATTCTGCTCTGGTCAGACCTCACCTGGAGTACTGTGTCCAGTTCTGGGCACCACAGTTCAAGAAGGACACTGACAAACTGGAACGTGTCCAGAGGAGGGCAACCAAAATGGTCAAAGGCCTGGAAACGATGCCTTATGAGGAACGGCTAAGAGAGCTGGGCATGTTTAGCCTGGAGAAGAGGAGGTTAAGGGGTGATATGATAGCCATGTTCAAATATATAAAAGGATGTCACATAGAGGAGGGAGAAAGGTTGTTTTCTGCTGCTCCAGAGAAGCGGACACGGAGCAGTGGATCCAAACTACAAGAAAGAAGATTCCACCTAAACATTAGGAAGAACTTCCTGACAGTAAGAGCTGTTCGACAGTGGAATTTGCTGCCAGGGAGTGTGGTGGAGTCTCCTTCTTTGGAGGTCTTTAAGCAGAGGCTTGACAACCATATGTCAGGAGTGCTCTGATGGTGTTTCCTGCTTGGCAGAGGGTTGGACTCGATGGCCCTTGTGGTCTCTTCCAACTCTATGATTCTTTGATTCTATGATTCTATGAATTCATAAATGCCCACCTAATGTTAAATCAAAAGTACAAGCAAAGAGGGAAGTACATAATCAAAGTTACAAAACATAGGAGCAGGATAGAGGTTGTCTTTTCCAAACAGAGAGAAGATACAGTAATATTTTAAAAATTAAAGTCAAATTTCACAATTTGGTGGGGGAAGAGAGTTTTGTATATCTGAATTTGACATATAAGAAATTAAACAGCATAAAAATGTTGGGTTATGTTCCTTCCTGCTTGTACCTTTGATTTTACATTAATAAAAGTATTTAATGAAAAATAAACACTCATTTATGAATCGCCTGTAAAAATCCTCATAAAATTCATCTTGGTAAGTTTTATAGGCTAGAGGTTTTGTTTACAAGTTTGTAAAGCACCTCTGGTTTTTGTTAATTAAGCAGCAAAGAAGCTGTTGTTTGTAATGACCGCTCCCCACCTCAAATGGGGGGCGCTTTTTGCGGGGTCATGCACAGCCCCCTGGCCCTACACGATCCGCAGCAGTTCAGACTGGCTTTGCCTTCCTGAGCTGGATACCTGGAGGTTCCCACCTAACCTCAGACAGTTAGCCGATCCCAGCCGAGGAGGTGTAGCCAGGGGAGTTGACCAGGTAGGGTTAGGACCGCCCTGCACACACAAGAGAGGGTGGAACTTACCTGGGAATCCTCAGTTGGCTCCAGAGTTTCTCCCACCTTGCCCTCCCTCAGTTTACGCCTTCCTTTTGCAGGTGAACCTCTTTTTTACAGGTGACAGGTGTGCAGGCACTGCTACGGTCACTGATGGTTGCTGTTGAGGTACCAGGAAGGAATTTCCCTGCCTTGGCAGGTTTTGCCTTCCCCGTAGCAAAAATGTCACAACTTTGGCGGTTTCAGGCCTTGGACGGAATCCTTTAGTCTATCTTCCCTAAATGGGGGTAGGTGAGGCATGAAGCGGTGACCCATGCCCACCCTGTGGCGGTGATCCCAGGGTTTCCCATTAAAGGGGTTGTGTGGAAGGGAGTCACTGGCCATAGGCCGTTAGGTTGTCAGTGCTCTCCCCTGCGTTGCGGCAAAATGGGGGGCGGGCTCTCTGCTTGAACAGACGTTTTCCAGAGCCAGCCCAATCCCCACACAGTTTGGATAACCCTGATGTTCCCCAGATTCCTGGACAGGAGCTGGGAGGGATAAATGCCCAATGCCTAAGCCAAGGTCTCCCTACACCTGAAAGTTTTATAAAGTTGTGGCCAATTTTAATCCCATAACATGTTGTCATGAGTCATTATTCCTCCTGGGGGTCAGCTGGGGTCGGAGGGTCTTCGCCTGGCCACACAAAAAGAACTCTGCTTTAAACTAACGGTTCAGCTTTGTAAAGATCTTTTAGGTAAAGGTTAAGGGACCCCTGACCGTTAGGTCCAGTCGTGACCGACTCTGGGATTGCGGCGCTCATCTCGCTTTATTGGCCGAGGGAGCCAGGTCATGTGGCCAGCATGACTAAGCTGCTTCTGGCAAACCAGAGCAGCGCACGGAAATGCCGTTTACCTTCCCGCCAGAGCGGTACCTATTTATCTACTTGCACTTTGACCTGCTTTCGAACTGCTAGGTTGGCAGGAGCTGGGACCAAGCAACGGGAGCTCACCCCGTCACGGGGATTCGAACCGCCGACCTTCTGATCGGCAACTCCTAGGCTCTGTGGTTTAACCCACAGTGCCACCCGCGTCCCTTTTACTCCACCATAATTTCTTTTACTCCACCATAATTTCCAGTCACAGTGAAGCATTTTTATAATGCCTTGGATGAAGCTGAGCACGCAAGCAAACAGAAAGGAAGAGTAGTAAAATCTCAGAGTGGGGGGGGGGTTAGATTCAGCCTTGTGCTCCCCCTTCCAGTGAAAATAAGCCTGGGCTCTGCCACCAGCCCCATTATCTCCCCTCTTGAGCCACATGCCTGTGTTGCAAGAGGCTGCAGGAGCAATCCTTGCAGGGTCTTTCTCACGCATCATCTTCCTCCAGCTGATTACCCTCATTTTTTCCCTTCTGAATTACAGTTGACAGGAAAGGGCGGGTGGGGGGGAGAGCCAGCCACAGCTTAAAGGAAAAAGTGTGAGCTATAACACGGTAATTTCCCATTGGTTCCCTATTGTCTTTTATTGTGTTCTAAACGGTGTGCAAAATTAATGGAAGAGTATTCTTTAAAGAAATGAAATAAACAGAAACATTGAGTGTAGAATTTCCTAAGGCTTTAGAACCGCCACTGTTTTCTTATTACCAGTGAGACTTTAAACATGTATAAAATGGGTGTTAGTAAAGTGCAGCTCCCAACCCTTAGGACATGGGTAGGCAAACTAAGGCCCGGGGGCCGGATCCGGCCCATATCGCCTTCTAAATCCGGCCCGCGGACGGTCCGTGAATCAGCGTGTTTTTACATGAGTAGAATGTGCCCCTTTATTTAAAATGCATCTCTGGGTTATTTGTGGGGCATAGGAATTAGTTCATATTTTTTTTTTCAAAATATAGTCTGGCCCCCCACAAAGTCTGAGGGACAGTGGACCGCCCCCCCTGCTGTAAAAGTTTGCTGACCCCTGCTTTAGGAGGTCGTACTGACTGGCATCTATGCTGTTTTGATTTAATCTCAGCTATGACCTAATACTCCAGTATTAAATCAAAGGCTTACACTTCCTTTCTGCAGAACTCTAGCTTGACTCAGCAGCAGCAGCAACAACTTCCCCCAGAGCAAAGCTGGGTTTGCCGGTGCAAAAATGGTTACGTTTACTATCCATTTTCTATGAAAACAACGATCCCAGGGGCCACTTTGAGGCAATATTGGGCTAGTGTTTTGGACCTGATGGAGTATTAACATCGGGTGATATTTATTTGTTTTATTCCATTTATGAATCATTTCCCATAAAGTATCTCAACTTGATGTCAGAGTTTTCCTGTTGTGTGTTTCCATGGGATCTGCTAGACGATTTTCCTTAAATCTTCTGAATGGTTAGGAAATATCTGAAAGGAGGGGGCATGCCTTTGCCCTTCAACCCTCCTTGCCATAAGGATGACATAATCTGTGTGAAATGAACCATGCACTACAGTTTTTGAATGAGAGACAGGGCTTATCTGGTCCTGCTAGGTTTTATCTGAATTGACGTTTGCTGTGATTTAGCACCAAAGAATGGGTTTTCTCTGTGAAAGGAGTAGGTCGAGAGGCAAGACCCAAGCTTTCTAGGCATGCGGAAGTGTGGATGAGCCCACAGAGAGCTAAGTTTGCATTTTGTAAGCTAACAGCATTTTTGAGTTGCTGGTTGCTTCTGCCTAGAGATCTGATGTGAAGCAGTAGAACTTGATGTCTTGGAGTGCTTAAACTCTGCTTCCAGCTATGCTCAACCTCTTTATTTGTAGACAAATGTTACTAAGCATCATAAACCTCGACTGACCTCTTTTCGAAGGCAACCAAACATAGCGAAGCACTGTGCTTCCTGGAACCTGTCGCTGCTTGGGAGAGTGACATAACAGTATATTCAACAGAGAAGCCAAGGCAAACTTGGACATTTTGCAAGTTTTGTCTCCTCATGTCTCTGACGGTCTTTTCAAATGAAGTTGGTTTTGCATGAGGAATGTGGATCTGGCCTCCTTTTCTGGAGTAGTGCTGAATTCTGAGAATCAGTGATTAGTGTTGCAGGTCTCTCCTTTCCTTAGGAATGCCTTCTCCTCCATTAGTTTGTCTAGTCCTCTTTTAGAGTCATCCAAGTTGTGGCTGTTTCTTGTTACCTTGTTGTTGGTATTGTTATGGCCTCCCCCTAAAATTTTGTTCCAAGACATAAGAGACCCATAAATTGTATTCTTTGTTGAGAAAGAGCATGTCTTTGCAAAATTTTCACCATCGAAAACTTCTGATTGCATTGTGCCCTAACGCTGAAAATTTAGGTTTTCTAAGCCTAGTTTTTCCACCAAAAAAGCTACATTTATACATTTTTTAAGGCATTTATAAAATCTTTTGTGTGCTGGTGTGTTTTTTTCCTGAAATGCTCATCATGTTATTGCTCTCTGTGTAAAATTTCAAAGAGATCTGATTATTGGTTATGGAGGGGAAAAAATAAAATGCACACAAGGCCGAGGATCTCAAGAGGGACAGAAACGCAGATTTCACGAAACCTTGAAGTGCTATAAAATTAAAACTGTTTGAGATAGAGGGGGGGAAATTAAGGAGGTTTCTTTCAAGCATAAGGGAAGGGTGTACACCAAGTTTCATCAAAATGTGAGACGGTGGGTGGCGAAACCCTTGTTTTTTACGCTGATTTGATGTGGAATGACCCTTCTGAATAATGCAAGTTGTGTGAATTTACATAATTTATCTGGTTTGGGGGAAGGACAGAGAGCTATGCAAGGCTGGTGGAAGCACCACCCCAACTACTAGAAACTGTAATTCAGCCATCCTTCTGGCTTCTGAGATTTCAATAAATGCACACGTATGTTTAAGATTTTTTCAAACAAGAAACCTGAGACTGCAGAGCAAGTACCGTATTTTTCGCTCTATAAGACGCAACAGACCACAAGACGCACCTAGTTTTTGGAGGAGGTAAACAAGAAAAAAAATATTCTGAATCTCAGAAGCCAGAACAGCAAGAGGGATCGCTGCGCAGCGAAAGCAGCAATCCCTCTTGCTGTTCTGGCTTCTGTGATAGCTGCGCAGCCTGCATTCGCTCCATAAGACGCACACACATTTCCCCTTACTTTTTAGAAGTGAAAAAGTGAGTCTTATAGAGCAAAAAATACGGTACCTGATCCTGAAAGAGTTCCATGATTCTTTCATCCTTATTGCTTTTAAGCCAAAGCATCCTGACTGGAGAAAAGATGTGCAGAGACAGACCTTCCTCTCCAGCTGTCTGCAACTCAAGATTGTCATTGAAGGGGTTGAGATAGGCGATCTCCTTAGCCTCTCTGTATCTTTCCTTCCATGGCTGTAAAACGAAGTTAGAATCATTATTCCCAATGTGTTTGTTTAAGTTTGGAATGATGATTCTAAGCTGGGAAGTTACCAGAGAGAAAGGAGCTCACCCTTCTTCTGTTCAGACTTGCAGCTTGTTTTGGCTGGGGAGAAAAATATGTCAAGGAAAGAATCATTGAACTCTGCATAATAGGTAGTTTGAGCCTCAGGTAGTTGGAGTCCACATTCTTTGCTCTCTTTCTTTTCATTTCTTTTTACACACCTGAATGCAAGTTGTCTGCCCACCTTTCCCCTCCGACTGCTCCTCCTCTTCTTCTTCTTCTTCTTCTTCTTCTTCTTCTTCTTCTTCTTCCTCCTCCTCCTGTTGATTAGGTGTGTGGCTGAATGCTTTTAAGTGTAACATTTCCTGGTCAGCCATAGCCTTATAGTAATTCTTCCTCTTCTTCTTCTGATTTTCAGGATGTGCCACTGATGGAGTCTGAAAAAATCAAAGGGGAAGATCCTTTCCCCTCAGCAACCCACAAATTCAATGAATCGTCTAATCCTGCACCAGCCAGAAGGCACCATGATGTCACAGAATTTTTCACCAGGAGTGATGTTTCTGAAGAGAGGGTGGCAGTGAGAGCAGAGGATAAAAAGAACTCTTTTTCTCAAGCCCTGCCACTTCTCTTTGTCATGGAAGAACAGATATGGGGCAGATTCCCTAGCCCTGTGGAAAGAGAGACATCCATGGGACTAGAAAGAGGCCAGAGAGATCCAGAGGACTGGGGAGGATTTTCCGAGCAAGAAAATCTTCTCAATATACAAGAAGTCACTTTGGAGGATAACAAGGAGGCCCCTTGGGATTCCCGTCAGAGAGAACTTGAAGCTGCTCATTCCTTAAGTGATCATGAATCTTCCCTTTTCAGTACAGCAACTCTTGAACAGATCTCAAGTATTCCCAGTGAGGTCGCGGTGGGAGAGATAAAAGGTGAAACCGTTGTTCTTGGATTTCCCCAAGCTCTGAACCCTCGTGATGCATTTTCTCAGACACTGTGTGAGGAAACACATTTAACAGGCACTTTTTCAGCTAGTGAGGAATCAGCCTATGACTATCCCCCAGTGAGTCATGATGTTTCAGAGCATCACCAGAATGCTGAGGCTTCCAAAGACAGATCAGATGAAAATCACTCATCGGAACTAGAGTCTCAATATGAACTAGACAAGAGCCATATGCCAAATATGGAAGTCACATCGGAGATTGATGAGAAGATGTCCCCTAAGACCGAAGGAGCTGGCCAGATGAACCCAGATACCTCCATAGTGAATGAAGAGGGGAAAGTAAGAGAGTTAAAGGGACAAAGAGAGGGTGTGAAATCTTCTGCACTTTTCCAGCCAAGTTTTGAATTTTCTAAGGGTGGAGAAATACGTTTCGATGTGCAACAACCAAAGCCTAAAGAAATTTTGTCTCTGCCAGACTCCAATAGAGTAGACAGTAATTCAGATATAGGAGAGGAAGTGGACGAATCGGGACAAAATTCATTTATTTGCACTGTCCTCCATCTTGAGGAGGAGGATGTCATAGGAGGAAGCAAGACTCGTTCACCAAAGGAGACGGTTAAAACAAAGCATGCTGCTGATTGTGATGAAGCAGAATCATCTCAGGTATCAAAATCATTGGAGTCAGGGCCTGCAAAATTGGGCCCACCAGAGTTGGTAGACACTGAACTAAATGAGGAATGCCTAGAATGGAAGGTAATGGAGAAAAAAGTGGAAACAGAGCAGAATAATCTAGATTTGAGACGCAAAGGTCAGGAACAACAAGACTGTCATGTGCAAATAAGGCAAGCATCAAAGCAAAGGGCAGAGAGAGATATAACTGCCCCACTAGGTTTAAATGCACTGCAAATGAACTTGGATCTTCCTGATTTAAACAAGAACTGTTCTTTGGTTGAGGCCGAAGCATCTAATTTCACTTTCAAGGAGCTCTCATCTCCAAATCACGGTCCAAAGTCAGTCTGGACGCAGGACTCTGGTAATCCACAAATAGCAAAGGCAAGAGCTATGTCGATATCTGAAGGTATCCCAGTGTGTGAGAGCCCAAGGACACAGGCTCCAACATGCCATGATTCTAGACAACTGGAATCTTCTGGTGTCTTTGACCAAGTTGGCCATAATAGCCAAGGCAGTGAGCAACCCCCTGAGGAAGATGGAAGAGCTATTGAAAGAGAGGACAGCAAATATGGTGGTGAAGAGACAAGTGTTGTGAGTCTTGATGGCGAAGGAAGACCACCATCCTGTAGAGATTTAATAGTAACTCCTGATTCACAGATTTATCTGTATGATTCTCAGCCTGTGGATCACCCTGTTGATGGTGAAATCCATATCACTGCCTCATCACTGGGGACCTCAACAGAGACAGATTCTCTGGAGGAAGGTGCTGGCAAGAGAGCCAGAGATGGTACTGTTGTGCCATGTAAAGAATCAGAATCTACACAAGAGCCAGAAAACCAGAATCTGCTTAAGCCATGTCAGCTGAACAGAATGGATTGTGGAGAAGTACTGAGCAGTGATGCAGACGTCTGGACTTCCAGCAAAAATGACATATCTGGTAAAGACTTATATGAAGTTGCTCAGGGTACTGCTTCTGAGATCCTTCAAAGTATACCATCAGGGGAGGGTCTGTCCAACGCAGACAGACAGAGTGTAGAATTCAGCCCAGAATCATTCCAGGCACAAGACACTACCATAAGTTATCTGGAAACCCCAATGAGGAGCCTTGAGATTCCAGAAAAGGAAGCGGGAGCAGATACACATTGCATGGAACAACAAACTTTAATCAGTGAATCACCATGTTCATTAGTTCTTGAAGAGGATGGAACAGCATGTGGCAACATGGAGACCCCAGATGTGGCTCAGCCAACAAAGCCTTTGACCCCAACACCTGCCTCGGATCAGGCCATTCCTCCAGAGCCTGCTTCCAGCCACTTAAATCAGCTCATGCCAACTGTGTCAGACTACAGTGAGTCTGCTCAATTTTTAAGCCCTGCACCTAATGCAGACACCCTTGCTCAGCCCCTCACTCCTGCTCTTGCACCCAGTCAGCCCAGTCAGCTCCTAGAACAACTGCCCTCTCCCAGTCAAGCTTGCCAGTTTTTAGCCCCAAAGTCCACTGCCGTTAAGGCGCCACAGTCTTCAGTCCCGACACCTGACAATAAACTATTTAATCAGCCCCCAGCGACGGAATGCAATTCCAACCAACATATGCCACATCCACTCCATTCTGATTCAATGTTTCCTGCCGATCACCCCATTCAACTAGCAAACTCTAGCCAAACCAGGGAATCTGTAGCTCCTGAGTTTAACTCCAACCCCACAGCCTTTGCTCTTAACAGGGACCTTCAGCTTCCACATCCAGCTTCCAGCTCCAACAGGCCTCCAGCTCCTGATGGTGATCAGTTTGCCCAACAACCAGTTGAAGCACCAGAGTCTACTCTACCTGTTAACTATATAGATGGGGGTGGTTGTGTGTTTGTTGCCGACTGCATCTCTCAGACCATATCCTATGCTGCTGAAGCCGAAAAGCTTACCCAGGCTCCAAACATAGACAGCAGAGTTGAAGAATTCCCTGTTGTACAGTTGGCCGATTCAGAAGGGGCAGGTACTTCACAAGGCCAGAAGGGCAGGAATATACACGAAGCATCCAGTCTATTGGAGATACACCCAGATGTTGGCATTTCGGGAAACAGTGAGCCAGTGGAAGACTCCTCCTGCAGCATTCCTGATACTATGGATATATGCGATGGGAAGTCATCAAATAAATACAGCCTCCATCCCTCAGTAAGGAGTCAGAAAATGTCTGAAGCTGCAGAGGCCAGAAGTCCAACGCAGCCTTCACTTATAGCTTTCACCAACCCAATACACTTTTTCCAGCGAGGCCCTCCATCTCCACCAACTATCAGACACCCATGCAGAGAACAGGCTGCCTGTCAAGGGCCGCAGTGGTGGCAGCAGTCCCAGAGAGGAGATGCTAAGAGAGACGCAGAGGACACAGTCCCACCTGTGCTTCCCAGAAAAGAAGGTGGAGCCAGGCACCTACGCTTAGAGAAATGTACTAGTTGTCCAAATAAAAGTGTAGACGCAAAAGAACCAACATCCAGTTCAAAGAAACAGGAAGTGCTAAGCAAACACCGGGCAAAAAGCAAAGACTGGCATCGGCAGGGTTTGAGAAAGATCTCAATACCAACGGACAATGAATTAGGTGAGTGACTTTTAATCCCTGTTCCTTATCAAAATGACAAGAAAAGTGAAAGGAGGTTGCTCCCCGGCCACGCCCCCAGCTGTGCCGATTGGACAGCTGGGGGTTTGACATGGCCGGGAGTACCCATGACGTGGGTGGCATGCCTCCGCCCTCCAGCCGGGTCACTGGGGGGTCCCGGATGCCGGTCCGCAACACCGCCCCCCAGGGAAGGAGAGCAGACCTGTTATAGACTAACATCAGTCTACAGTGGTACCTCGGGTTACATATGCTTCAGGTTACATACACTTTGGGTTACAGACTCCGCTAACCCAGAAATAGTGCTTCAGGTTAAGAACTTTGCTTCAGGATGAGTACAGAAATCGTGCTCCGGCGGTGCGGTGGCAGCGGGAGGCCCCATTAGATAAAGTGGTGCTTCAGGTTAAGAACAGTTTCAGGTTAAGAACGAATTAAGTACTTAACCCGAGGTACCACTGTATCTGAAAGACAGCTCCCAACTTTAAAAGAACATAAAATGAGTCCTGCTGGACTACACCAAATATCCGTCTAATCAAGCATCCCATTTACAACAGTTGCCAGCTAGATTTCTGCAGAGCATGTAAGCAACAGACTTTCTCACTATGTCCCAAGCACCTGAAAATCTGAGGTATATGGTCTTTGAACATGGAGGTTCCATTTAGTTACCATGGCTACTGATCATTGATATATCTGTCTTTAGATTTCCCTTTTGAACCCCTCTGAGCCATGCACGGGCCTTTAGCACATCATATAGCAGTGCTGATTTGGCAGATTCTCAGAGGATATAGTGATTAATATCATAAAACTGGAACAAACAGAGAGAGGCTCTGTTGTCCGCATGCTCTGCTTTTGGGCTTCTGGCAAGGATCTGGCTAGACATAGTTGGAAAAGGAGATGGACATGATATAACCCAGCAGGGTCATCTTGTGTGCTTATTGCTGGGAACTGGTCTTCAGATAAATACAGTGGTACCTCGGTTTTCAAACATACGGTAATCTGTTCCGGAAGTCCGTTCGAGTTCCGAAATGTTCAAAAACCGAAAGTGGAAGCCTCAATACGGAAAACTCAAAACGGAAGCCGCGTTTCCTGTTCGAGTTCTGAGGCGCCTTCGAAAACCAAGGCACTTACTTCCAGGTTTTCGGCGTTCGAGTTCCTAAATGTTCGTCTACAGAGGCATTCGAAAACTGAGGTTATCACTGAAAAGCATGAAAAGAAATGCAAGTATGGTCAGAAACTAAAATGGTGCTGTGCAGATAGCCGATAGCATCTGTGATAATGAACTGGGAAGCCCTTGTGAGTGGTTCGGAACCATGAAAGCCACCTGAATCACATGGGGAGATATTTTGTGCACCATCTTAGTGATGTGCCACTACGGTGCTATTTACATTGGGCCGTCATGGGCTGCAAGATTCTTGGCAAAATCTATTGCCTCCCATGAAACAGGAGGAAGGCTACGACACCTGTGGTGTCACTGAGTAGACACCTCCCCAATGAGTGAATGCTAGTTTCTCAATTTAGGGGTAGGGCTTTAATCAGAAATGTAGGGTTGGGAGGGACACCCAAGGTTCATCTAGTCCAACCTTCTGCAGTGCAGGATCACACCTAAGAGAAGAGATGCAAAACACTGCTCTTGGAGACAGTCGTATTGAGAGCAAAACATATTGCCTTTCCCCCTGTGGGGGACTGACCACTGAAAGGGAACAGACACACCATGTATCTCTGTGCACAGAGACATGTTGTCCTCCCATTGGCTCTTTCCTGCAGTATACAGTGGTACCTTGGTTTAAGAACAGCTTCGTTTATGAACAACTTGGATTAAGAACGCTGCAAACCCAGAAGTAGGTGTTTTGGTTTGTGAACTTTGCCTTGGAAGCAGAACATGTTCCGCTTCCTGTTGAGTGTGTTCCATTTGTAAATTGAGTCCCCCGCTGCTATGGGAAAGCACGCCTTGGTTTAAGAATGCTTTGGTTTAAGAACGGACTTCTGGAACGGATTAAGTTCGTAAACCAAGGTACCACTGTATAGTCCTTCTCTCCACCTGCTGCAATGAGCTACCTTTCCATTTTTGCAGCTGAGAAGTTGTGACTGAATTACAAGCTCTTCAGCACTTAATTTTTTTTGGAATAAGGCAACCCCACTATCTTTTCCATTTTCAGAGTTTATAGCATCTCTTATCTCGTCAAAGGAGGAAGCCCCTGCACACAGAGAAAAATCAGACCATTTCGACAGAGTGAAATTTGGGTGAGTCTCTTCCCATAAGCATTTTTGTACTGAGCCACTGGACAGCCTCTTGTGGCAGTGGAATTAAATTCCTTCTAGTGCTTTCTGAATGTTTAATGTACTGCTCGCGCTATGTCACAGGAACGAAGAACCAGTGTGGTAGATAGATAGATAGTTTATTACGGCCATAGGCCCATATTCAATACATCATACAGCAACACAGGTATAACAAGATAAAATTGATAAATTAAATTACGTTTAAATCAAGTACATCTCAGACCGTAAGTTTCTAAATTCCATTAAAATAAGAACAATATAGCACTTAAAATATCAAATTATCAGTATAAATCAATATTATTTAGGCAAAATCAATAATAATAGAGTAATCCATTTTTCTTTTTATAGGCTAATACTGTTATCAGAAATCTGGCAACAGAAAGGGACCTACTCGGATCAGAATCTTGCAATAAATGAATTAACTGTATTTCCAAGGAGTCACCTGAGATTTCCAATAATAAAGGGGACAAAAATCTGATCCGAGAAACTGAATGTAGTGAACAACAGAATAGTATATGTTGTAAAGATTCTATAGATCTATTATCACATACACACACCGCTGAGATCCGACCATTGGAAAATCTATTATTCAAGACATTGGAAGGAAAGGCATTAAATCTTGCTTTAATAAAGGCATATCTGTGGGCCGCTACAGACAAAGAAGTCAAATAAGATGGTATCTGCTGTGAGGGCACTATGCCAAGATTTAATGGTGAGCAAGTGCCACTACCCGAAATGGTGTTTTGTTGTAGGTCAATCTCCTCAAGTTTTTGAGTGAGGATTTTTTTTGCTGTGGCTAGGTCCAATTCCAATAATTCTGATGGAGACAATCCATAGGTCACTACTTTAGAATTGATCTCTTTTGCCCCTAGGACAGGAAAATTATCTCTCCAGAGGCATTGGATCAAATACAGATTCGGGAGCCTATGCCTTAAGGACAACCAGTAACAAAGGCTGCGCCTCCAAAGTGTATTTTCTAAAGATGTAGTTTTTAATTCTAAATGAATAGCTTCGTTGCTAACGCACTGAGGAAGTTTTAGCAGTCGTCTTAGAAATTGATTTTGAATTACCTCCAAGGGCATCAAGTTTACTGCGGTCCCCCATAAAGGAACAGCATATGCCAATGTTGCAATTACTTTAGCTTTGAATACTTTCAGGGCAGATGGAACATGAAGAGCCCCGTCCAAAAAGAAAAAGCGCAAAAGCGCAAAGGATAGGGCCTTGGCCTTGTTTAAAATATGTGCAATGTGGGCCTTCCAACCCAGATTATATTGGTCAGTGTTGTATATCAGCAGTTACAATGTTGGGTTTCCAATAAGTGAAAAGCAAGTTCAAATCCTTCCTCGGCTATGAAGCTGACTGGGTGACCTGCCTTGGACAAATAAATTAAGCCCCCCTGAAATACTTAATTGCCTTTACCCCCAGTTTAGGTATGCAAAAAAGCTTCTGCCCACATGGTTCATTCCAGCCCAATGTTTATTCTCAACCCCTCAAGAGATCTGCAAATAAAACATTAGACATGTTGGAAAAGCTTGCTGAGCTTGGATATGGGATTCAGGAGCTCATTGATGCTCACCTCAAAGAAGAGGGGAGCCTCCCGAGAACCCCAAGTTCTCCAGCTCAAATTAAAATCTACCCTCAAGAACAACAGCTTTGCACAGTTTGAGGAGACCCTGCAAAGGACCTGAAATTAGAGCAACTTAGAGAAGCTCCAGCAGGCTGCCAACCTATTGAACTGCTCAGGGGAAGAGACAGCATGTCTGAACTACACTGTTTGTGGGGGGCTTCAGGAAGTGTTTTGAGGTTCTGCAGGCTCTTTATTCCCCCTTGGGCTGCAGATGTGGAACCATAATTTGCAGTGAGGATATTGCAGTTTTGTAAGCCTCCATGAATTCACTGTGGCTGCAAATGACAGCTTTGGGGCTGGGTGGGGCAGGGCGTGAAGTGGTTGAATTCAGATAGCCTGACCTATTTCCCAGCCAATTACCCATTTTTAAAAGCTCAGCTTATTTCCAGGTCAATCCAATGTGAGCTGTGGAAAGCTCCTCCTTCTGTATAGGGCAGGCGTGCCCAAACTTTTTCCAAAGAGGGCCAGATTTGATGAAATTAACATGCGTGAGGGCTGACCAAAGTTGTTGGGCTTTTTTTTAGGATTTTACCCCAGGAGATAAACTGCCACAGAGGCCGGATTAAGATTGAGGCCGGATGTGGGGCTGTGGCATGTCTAACTTGCCTCACAGAGTTGTTGTAAAGATAAATGTTATGTACTGAAGTTCTCACCCTGGGCCAGCAGGGGGATACTGTAGATAGTTATGCAAATGAAGGATCGAAAGTGACGTTCAGTGATTGGCTAGTTTGTATGCAAATGAAGGATTGAAAGTGATGTTCAGTGATTGGATAGTTTTAGAAAGTTGCAACAGTTACGTTGTTCTGGAGCTCTATATAAGCAGGCTGACTGAGCTCCTCAGTTCAGTTCTGTTCTGGCATCTGAATAAAGAAGAGCTGCTTGAAAAATCGTTGTGTTGTCTGATATGTTCACCCACAACTTAACAATAAATTAACCTGAAGAAATCTGCCAAATGCTCCTTGGAAGAACAAACTTCCAAGAAGAAGCTTTATTGTGGTTTCTGCCTTGCCATTTTCCTCAGCGAGAGTAGGCAATGTAGGCTATGAACCCAGCGTTTAAAATGGTAGCTGTAACTGATGAGATCCAATGCTCAGGTTATACTATCCTCTTTGTAGACCTTATTGATTTTCCTCATATTTGTATACTATTCACATCTTGATGTTTTCCATTCCCTGAAAGAGAAAAGAAACTGCTAGAGACAGCAGAAACCATCAAACGGCGGCGCTCCAAATTAATCAACTCGTGTAAGTACTTCCTGCCTAACGAAGTTCTCTCTGTGCTAAAAAACACTCTGCAGGTGCAGAATAATTGCAATAATAATAATAATAATAATAAGAAGAAGAAGAAGAAGAAGAAGAAGAAGTATTTATACCCTGCCTCATCTGGCTGGGTTTCCACAGCCACTCTGGGCAGCTATCAACAGATTAAAAACAGAAAGTAATAATTAATAATAATAATAATAATAATTTATTTGTACCCCGCCCATCTGGCTGGGTTTCCCCAGTCACTCTGGGTGGTTTCCAACAAAGATTAAAAATACATTAAAATGTCACACATTAAATACTTCCCTAAACTTTACATTAAATACGTCCGTAGTATGCCCCACGGAGAGCCTCAAGGTCCATAAATAGCAACACCCTTGTGGTCCCGGGCCCTAAGGAAGTCAGATTAGCCTCAACCAGAGCCAGGGCCTTTTCAACACTGGCTCCGGCCTGGTGGAACGCTCTGCCTCATGAGACCAGGGCCCTGCAGGATCTGATTTCTTTCCGCAGGGCCTGTAAGACAGAGTTGTTCCGCCTGGCCTTTGGCTTGGAGCCAATTTGATTCCCTCCCTCTCTTTCTTTTTTCTTTTCCTTCTCCCTCTGCAATGAGGCTACATTTTAATATTTTAATGTTTCAATATTTTAATGTTGTATTTTTTAATTTTGTTTTTAAGTTGTAATCATTTAACTTGTTTTTATTATTGCTTGTAAGCCACTCTGAGCCCGGCCTTGGCTGGGGAGGGTGGGGCATAAATAAAAATTATTATTATTATTATTAAACAGGGCTGCCTTCAGATGTCTTCTAAAATCAGATAGTTGTATATTTCCTTGACATCTGATGGGAGGGTGTTCCACAGGGCGGTCACCACCACCAAGAAGGCCCTCTGTCTGGTTCAAGCCTTTAAGTGTGGGGTTCATTTAAATTTTCCCAGGGTTACCAACAGACAAGAGTGTTTAACTGAGGAACAATGAAAACATAAAAGCTGTGTCTGACGTGAATGTGATTAGAACTAGTAATCTCCACCCTAACCCCATTCCCACCCAGCTAATCCCATCTACCCCCCACTCTAAACTGACAAAACTCCCTGCTGTGATTCCATGCTCCCTTCAGTTCCTCTTCCCCACTATTTCATTCTACCCCCTCCAAACATGGTTTGGATGTGGCTACGTACACATTAAATTATATATGCTTTTACAAAAGTGTGCTTAGACCAGCCATTTATATTTTGGAGGAAGAGCAGTCACAGGTCCCTGTTCTGGAATGTCTTCCTATTCTAGATTGGAGCCCTCGTTCAGGTTTCTGCATCCTTCAATGTTATTTTCAATGAAAGAGAGATGGTAAAGAAATCCTAAAGCATCTTAGCGGCAGCAGTGTAGCTTGAAAGGGGATATCAAACATGAGCCTAAAGCAGAGTGTTATTCTCCCTGCTTTTTCTTCTTTTTGCAGAAAATGGGAGTAGATATAGAAACAACTCTAGCATCTTACTTAATTTATCTCCTTATTTTTGTTCTCAGAGCTGGGTTGGCCTGAGAGAAAAGTGCTGATGCGGGATGGATTTATTTTAAAAAATAAAATAAATCTATAAACTCATTAGTAACAATGAATTGGATGCTAACTGCAGATTCAGCAAGCTTGGCAATTTCAAAAGTTTTAGCTTTGCTTACTAAATAAAAGTAAGATAAAAATGCTAAATTAGACCTCTCTCTAGGGCATCTAGGGACGCGGGTGGCGCTGTGGGTTAAACCACAGAGCCTAGGACTTGCCGATCAGAAGGTCGGCGGTTCGAATCCCCGCGACGGAGTGAGCTCCCATTGCTCGGTCCCTGCTCCTGCCAACCTAGCAGTTCGAAAGCACGTCAAAGTGCAAGTAGATAAATAGGTACCGCTCCAGCGGGAAGGTAAACGGCGTTTCCGTGCGCTGCTCTGGTTTGCCAGAAGCGGCTTAGTCATGCTGGCCACATGACCCGGAAGCTGTACGCCAGCTCCCTCGGCCAATAAAGCGAGATGAGCGCCGCAACCCCAGAGTCGGCCACAACTGGACCTAATGGTCAGGGGTCCCTTTACCTTTACTATAGCAGTGCTGATGGTCACTGCCTTTGGCAGATTCTCAGAGGATAGAGTGATCAATATCATAAAACTGGAACAGAGAGAGGCTCTGTTGTCCGCATGCTCTGCTTTTGGGCTTCTGACAATGATCTGGCTAGACATAGTTGGAAAAGGAGATGGACATGATATAACCCAGCTCCCTCGGCCAATAAAGCGAGATGAGCGCCGCAACCCTAGAGTCGTCCATGACTGGACCTAATGGTCAGGGGTCCCTTTACCCTTTACCTTTACCTAGGGCATCAAAAAAATATTCAAACACAAACTAAATATCAGCCTATTCTGCACAGGAAAAAATATTTCAGAGAAAACCACATCACTGCAGCAGTCTTCAGAGGGAAAAGGTGATGTTGGGGCTGGGGAACATTTTATTCCCTTATCCAACTGCCCCTTTTGTTGCTAAAGTCTAGTCACCAGATCCCACTTTATACATGAATTGGGAAGTCATGTAAACAACAAACGTGGCTGCCCTCATTATGCCTACTTTGCCCCAGTGTCGTCCAGTGAAATATTAATAATATATCTATTGCTTATAGAAAAGCCCCAGCTGTTCTAGAAATTATCTGTTTTGTCAGCCATGGTGAAAGGGTCCATACGGGTCCATATGACCAGCGAATGGAAATTTCAAGCCCCTTCCCAGAATTTTAGCTTTCAGGTTTTTAAAAAAGTCTGACATAGGAATGCCAGAGAATTCTATCAGAAACAGAAATAGGAGAAAAAATGGACACAATTTGCATGTGTGTACAAGGTCAGGAATGGAAACCACACAAAGAAATATACCGTACTTTTCGCTCTATAAGACGCACCAGACCACAAGACGCACCTAGTTTCAGGAGGAGGAAAACAAGAAAAAAAATATTCTGAATCTCAGAAGGCAGAACAGCAAGAGGGATCGCTGCGCAGTGAAAGCAGCAATCCCTCTTGCTGTTCTGGCTTCTGTGATAGCTGTGCAGCCTGCATTCACTCCATAAGACGCACACACATTTCCCCTTACTTTTTAGGAGGGAAAAAGTGAGTCTTATAGAGCAAAAAATACGGTAAGTGGTCTGAGCTGTTGTTGTATTTTTACTCCACAAGGATGGAGATGCAAATAACTTATGTTTTGGCAGAAGCCAGCCTGCAAATGAATGGAAACTGCGCTGTTTGCGACAAACAGAGATAGGACAGAAATTGCTGCCTCCTTGCATCCCTAGTCTGTAGCTCTAAAATTAACAGAGTTGTGAGGAGTGGGGGAAAGATGCAGGAAAGAATTCTTCTCATTTGCTCAGAAATGTTGTAAAGCTGCAAATACACCTGTTCTATTGACAAGCTGTTGGTAATTATTTTTAAGCATCAAGTAACATTTCCAGTGTTATGAAAATTAAACACCATCATTTTACATGTATAAATGGAAATATATTTTTGCTGGTCCAAGGCCAATAACAGCAGAAATAGCCTTATCCTTTTCAGAATCTTCCTACTACAGTCGTATCTTAGTTGCTGAACGCCTTGGAACTTGTACGTTTCAGCTCCTGAACAATCGAAAACTGGAAGTGAATGATTCTGAATGATTTTCAGAAGCCAAACGTCCTCTGTGGCTTCTGATTGGCTGCAGGATGCTCCTGCAGCCAATCAGAAGGTGCGTCTTGGTTTTCGAACAGTTCTGGAAGTCAAACGGACTCCTGGAATGCGTTCTGTTTGAGAACCAAGGTACGACTATACATCTCTGTTTCTAAGCGGTCATTTCATTTCAATGTTTATTTTTTCTATGTTTATACAACAACATTTGAATGTAAGTTGTTTAACTTCAGGCTGTTTGGAATTTAAAATGCAGTGTGTTTACTGCTTCACACTGACAAATTAAACCTTGTCCCTGCCTCTCCTCAGTGTGCCCTAACCCCACCACAACCACCTCACCACCCGCATAATAGCTCTGGTTGCAGGCCTGGTGTGTTGAGTCAGAATTGTTAAGACTTGGTGGTTTTTCTTCACAGCAAAGTTGCTCTACCAGGAATACAGCGATGTTGCACTGAACAAAGCCATTCAAAGTCAAAAGAGAGCAGATTCCTTGACCGAAGATTTGGAGTATAAATCCACGGACTCCCCGAGGTTACGAAGAAAAAACATCTCCCCTCAGGATTCCTACCTGCAACGCCTGTCCGTCTCATCCTCGACGTCCCTGTGGCAGGACATCCCCATGGTCCGAGAGAGCACTGTCCTGCTGAGCATGACCCGTGAGGAGCAGAAGTTGCAGGAGGTAATAGAGGAGGAACGCAGCCAGGCATATTTGACTAGAGAGGAGGCTAACTCAATATGGCTAGTGGTAGAAACAGCTGGCCTAGAGGAGGCGAGCTGGAAGATGGAGCAAACCAGACGAATGGGGTAAGAGTCCAAATGGAAAACTGAAGGATGGGCAGAGAGCTGCAGAATCAGAATCAGGGAAGTTGGCATGCTGGTTTGAAATAAGCAACTAGCAGCCAACAGCTCTGCAGCATTAATTTACTTTATCAGAGTTCTGTGGGGATTACTCTCGAGATAGACGGATGCCCACAACCAATGCCGTATTTACGTATAAGCTAAACAAGCTATAGCTTAAGGCCCCACTCTCTTAAAGGTAAAGGTAAAGGGACCCCTGACCATTAGGTCCAGTCGTGACCGACTCTGGGGTTGCGGCGCTCATCTTGCTTTACTGGCCGAGGGAGCCGACGTTTGTCCGCAGACAGTTTTTCTGGGTCATGTGGCCAGCATGACTAAGCCGCTTCTGGCGAACCAGAGCAGCGCACGGAAACGCTGTTTACCTTCCCGCCGGAGCGGTACCTATTTATCTACTTGCACTTTGACGTGGTTTTGAACTCTCTTAGGGGCTCCCCAAAAAAAATTTAAGGGAAAAAAACCTGGATGTACATTTCCAAAATATAAGATAAAAAACAAATAAATTAAACCTACATACAGCAACAGTGTTTTGTGTTGTGTTGGCTCCTATGATGTAATATTTTGTTATGTGCAAATGGCTTTAGATGCCTATTAGGTCCATAAATTACCACAAAAAACAGCGACAATTTGTTGTTGACAAAGGACAGCTGGACATATAAAGGGCCCCATTGCCTTCAGTAGCTTAGGGCCTCATCAAACCTAAATCCAGCCCTGCCCACAACATAACTCACAGGCAACGTAGGATTGCAACCTTCGAATACACAAGGAAGGGGTGACAAATTGTTTGAAATCATTCAGAAGGGTTGCATGTAAGATGAAAATGAAGGGAAAGATCTTAAGGACCAATAGGCTGGCAAAAACAATCAAACAGGTTTTCCTTTAGGAGTGGATCCAGGAGGAAAGGACAAAAAGGAAAGGAGACAGTGACGGGGAGATGGAGCAAGAGAACAGCAAATGTTCAATATCCCAAATCTAGGCAGGTGGAAGGATGGAGGTTTCCAAGGTTGACCCCTGAGACATTCATAGGATGTTTGGTTGTGTGATGCTGAATGTTATGTACTGAAGTTTCACCCTGGGCGAGCAGGGGGATACTGTAGATAGTTATGCAAATAAGGGCTTGAAAGTTTCCTTCAGTGATTGGATAGTTTTAGAAAATTGTTACAGTTACGTTGTACTGGAGCTCTATATAAGCAGGCTGACTGAACCCTTCAGTTCAGTTCAGAGTTCAGTTCTGGCCTGTGAATAAACAAGAGCTGTGTCGTCTGATATGTTCACCCACAACTTAACACTGAATGCAATTCTTGATCGGCTGGTTTGGATAGACCAGTTCCAGGCCTCTCTTCTGATGGACAATGAAGCGAGAGATACAGTTGCTAGCTGTGTCTCCATCAAGAACATGCAGATACGATCTACTCCCCTTGAGGGTTTTCCTTTTCCGTTTAATTCCATCTCAAATAATTCATTGCTTCTCGGAGTATCCTGTGCTCTAAAGCTTATGTTCTCCACATTATTAACAGGCCAAGTTTGAACTGATTGTATCAGAAGCCTCATACCTGCGGAGCTTAAATGTGGCCGTGGACCACTTCCAGCACTGCCACGAACTCCAAGCTGTCTTAACGAATCAAGATAAACAGTGGCTTTTCTCCCGCCTTCAGGATGTACGTGACGTTAGTGCCAAGTGAGTTCTGGTCTTCCTGTTCTGCTTGTACAGCTATCACACCGAAACCCTGGACGTCTCGAGCCAATGCAATCAATAGATACTTGCCTGTGCCTCATAACTGCATAGTACTTTGCGCTAGACTATACACTGTGGGTGGGCAGACCACTGTCAGCATCAGTTTTCCATACTCTCATTCATATATTCTGTCCTGTTTCCAAATTACCGTATTTTTCGCCCTATAGGACGCACTTTTCCCCCTCCAAAAATGAAGGGGAAATCTGTGTGCGTCCTATGGGGCGAATGCAGGCTTTCGCTGAAGCTTGGAGAGCGAGAGGGGTCAGTGCGCACTGACCCCTCTCGCTCTCCAGGCTTCAGGAAGCTATCAGCAAGTCTGGGGAGCCCACGGAAGTTCCCACAGGCTCCCTAGGCTGCGGATAGCAGCCTGCTGCCCGGAGCGCGGGGTGGGCTGAAGCAGAGCGCCCCGCGCTTTGCGCAGATATCCTTTTCTCCTCTAAAAACTACGGTAGGTGCGTTTTTAAAAGCTCGGGCTTCCCCCGCGGCTGGGGGGGGGAATAATTTTTTTCCCTTTATTCCCCCCCCAAAAAAAAACTGGGTGCGTCCTATGGGCTGGTGCGTCCTATAGGGCGAAAAATATGGTAATCTGCAACTTTTAAAAAAGCCAAATGAAAATTCATATTTGAATGCATATTTTATTTTATATTTATTTATAAGGCCATTTATAAAACTGCAAACTCGTAAAAATATTGTGGCAGTGTATAATAAAATAATTAAAGTGTTTTAAAAAATCATAAAATGCAGACCAATACTGAATCAAATTAATTATTTTAAAATGCTTGTTGAAACAAACATTTTCAGCAGGCAACAAAATACTAGAATTAGAGTAAAACCTGGATTCTGGTCTCCATGTTTATGTAGCCCTGAAAAAAGCCCACAACAACACAACTAAAAGTTTTGTTAGTATTTAATGTTGTAACATTGTTTAACATTGTGTTTTAATTTTTTTAGCTTGTTGCATATTTGCCTAGAATGCTGTTCAGCAGATGAATAGAATAGAAATGACTGAAGGGTTTGTCCACGCTTCCACTTGTCCCCTGCCTAGAAAGCACAGGTCTGAGCAGTTTTCTCCTTGCCCTGCTCCTTTTCCAGGGAAAGCCTGCTTTTTGGTGCTAAATCAGAGCAAACATCAATCCAATTGAACACTAAAGAGTAGTTTTCCCTGGGGCAAAGCATCAAGATAAGTCGAAATGTGGATAAGCCCTAAATCTTTATATAATCACCCAAGCAAGGTGCAACAAGCACTCCTTCTCCCTGGTCTCCCAGAACCAGAAGAGGTATGCAGTGAGAGGAGCAAAGACAGTCATGCAGGCACAGTCTCAGATTGCTTGGGGGAAACCCTGGCGATGAGGGGACTTAGGCAGCTGTGGGGAGGCTTTCAGCCTCAGCAACTGCTTCTTGGGAAATGAGTTGCTGTGCCTCACACTCCTGTGCAGATCCTGTTGCTGCTAATAAGGAGTCAACTCCAACTTGCTCGGGTGATTTACTGCAGGCTCACTCTTGTCACACAATGAGTAAGAATTTCCTTACAGCTTGCACGTAGAAATAGTTATTTTTCTAGAGAAGGAGAAAGGTTAAAAAGTTGGGGGAAGTGCTGTAATTCTGGTCTCCATGTCTCACTATTCTCTTCTGGGGGGTTCCTGCAGCTTCCTATTTGACCTGGAGGAGAAGCTTGAGGAGAACATGTTCACCTTCAATGTGTGTGATGTGGCTCTGAGGCATGCGCCGGAATTCCGGAGGGTTTACCTGCCGTATGTGACAAACCAGACGTACCAGGAGCAGACCTTTCGGCGACTACTGTAAGAAACCTAAAGATGCCTCCCTTTCCTATATTTTTATCCTCTTCGTAACACTCCACAAAATGTCCTTTGTGGCATATCTACACCACAGACAAGTCGTCTCCTCTCTTGGGAACTATCGCTCTGAAAAGGGGTGGGGTGATAAGGCTCTCTAGCAGACAATGCTCAAGGTTCTGCAGGGGAACCCAGGACAGTTAAACTGGAACAAAACCTCATCTAGAGGCGGACAGTTAGGAGAGATCCACACCACACATTTAAAGCACATCTAATAAACATTCAGTAGGGACGCGGGTGGCACTGTGGGTTAAACCACAGAGCCTAGGACTTGCCGATCAGAAGGTCGGCAGTTCAAATCCCTGTGACCGGGTGAGCTCCCGTTGCTCGGTCCCTGCTCCTGCCAACCTAGCAGTTCGAAAGGCCATCAAAGTGCAAGTAGATAAATAGGTACCGCTCCGGCGGGAAGGTAAACGGTGTTTCCGTACACTGCTCTGGTTCACCAGAAGCAGCTTAGTCATGCTGGCCTCATGACCCGGAAGCTGTACGCCAGCTCCCTTGGCCAATAAAGTGAGATGAGCACTGCAACCCCAGAGTCGGCCACAACTGGACCTAATGGTCAGGGGTCCCTTTACCTTTACTTAATACACATTCAAAGCATATGATTCCTCCCAAAGAATCCTGGGAACTGTAGCTGCCCCCCTCACAGAGCTATAGTTCCCAGGACACTTGACAAACTGTTGTCAGGTTGTCAAGCAAATTGCCTTTTATATAACAATAGTGCTTTTTGTGGAAGTATAAAAAGCATCACAGCAGTAGTTCACAGCAAGCAGAAGAGCCCTATTTCAATGGGCCACACCTGATTCAGTTCATAAGTGTTTAAGATACCCAAAACAGATGTTGGTACATGATTTAGTTCAGGTTCCAGGTTAGAGGAAGCACTGTGCCATTCCAATCTCATATAGATTTTATAGAGAGCCAGTGTGGTATAGTGGTTAAGAGCGGTAGACTCGTAGTCTGGGGAACCGGGTTCGCGTCTCCGCTCCTCCACATGCAGCTGCTGGGTGACCTTGGGCCAGTCACACTTCCTTGAAGTCTCTCAGCCCCACTCACCTCACAGAGTGTTTGTTGTGGGGGAGGAAGGGAAAGGAGAATGTTAGCCGCTTTGAGACTCCTGAAGGGGAGTGAAAGGCGGGATATCAAATCCAAATCCATGGATAAATTCATCTATAAAGAGGCAAATTCCAGGGGAAATGATGTTTGCTGCAATTGGCCAATGGATCCTGGCCCTTCCAAGGAGATTCCAGGGTATTGTCAGAGGAATGGCAATCAACTAAGATGCATCTCCCAGAATTCAAGTCCATGGTAACATATCCTAGATAACAGCACTTTGTTGTTGTTGTTGTTTAGTCGTTTAGTCATGTCCGACTCTTCGTGACCTCATGGACCAGAGCACGCCAGGCACTCCTGGCCTCCACTGCCTCCCGCAGTTTTGTCAAACTCATGCTGGTAGCTTCGAGAACACTATCCAACCATCTCGTCCTCTGTCGTCCCCTTCTCCTTGTGCCCTCCATCTTTCCCAACATCAGGGTCTTCTCTTCTCATGAGGTGGCCAAAGTACTGGAGCCTCAGCTTCAGGATCTGTCCTTCCAGTGAGCACTCAGGGCTGATTTCCTTCAGAATGGATAGGTTTGATCTTCTTGCAGTCCATGGGACTCTCAAGAGTCTCCTCCAGCACCATAATTCAAAAGCATCAGTTCTTCAGCGATCAGCCTTCTTTATGGTCCAGCTCTCACTTCCATACATCACTACTGGGAAAATCATAGCTTTTACTATATGGACCTTTGTTGGCAAGGGGATGTCTCTGCTTTTTAAGATGCTGTCTAGGTTTGTCATTCTAGCGCAATTTAAATAGAATGAAAGCCCTAAAGAGGTTGATGCATAATAGTCAGCATTTTGTTTTATTTTTCTTACTTTATTTGGGACATTTTCATGCTGTTCTTCAGCCAGTCAGAGAGGCTTACATAAAGTGGATAAAAACAGTAGGAAGCAGTAAAACAATAAAAACAAATAAGAACAAATAATCAGCAATGAAACCAAGATCTTTCTTTTGAACCACCCTGAGATCTTGTGATGAAGGGTGGTATATAAATAAATAAGAGGTCTAAAAAGGCCTCACACACATAAGCTCTAAAAATAAAGATAAAAAAAGATTAATATCCCTCCCAACACCACCCCAGCCCAAGATTCTGTTCAGCCTCCCAGGCCAGGTGGGAAAGTCCCACAAGGCAGGGAGCAAGTCTTCCAGGAGTCACTGCCAAGATGGTCTCTGAACTTTTCAGCAGCCTCAGCTTTTCTAGTTGGGAGTCAATCTAATCTGCCGTGTGTTCTCTCTGGCAGGAATGATGTCCCTGCCTTCCAACAGGTTTTGGAGAGACTAGAAAGTGATCCTGTTTGCCAGCGCCTCTCTCTCAAATCCTTCCTCATCCTCCCGTTCCAGCGCATCACAAGACTTAAACTCCTTCTCCAGGTAAAAGTGTTGGGGACACAGGACTCGCCTTTCCTTGGGCTGGCCAGCCTCATAATTAAATCGACAGTTTTCCTGGCAATAAAAATGTAAGCAGCAGGAAAAGAATTGGTGCCCACTTCTTTATTGCAAAGATATTTGACATTTACATGCATGCAATGGCAGCAAACCAGAGCTTTGCCAGGTAGAAGTGTGACTCAGTCCAAAAGGTGTCTTCCAGGAGCTTCTGTTTGAAGTTGTTTTGGTGGAGGTGGCAGGAATTTTAACCTCCTGTATTTTCAAAACCTGTGCTCTGCCACTCCGCACTCACCTCTTCCCCAGGAGCATGGCTTAATTCCAATATTTATACCAGGCATAGGCAAACTCGGCCCTCCAGCTGTTTTGGGACTACAATTCCCATCATCCCTGACCACTGGTCCTGCTAGCTAGGGAATATGAGAGTTGTAGGCCAAAAACATCTGGAGGGCCAAGTTTGCCTGTGCCTAATTCATACCCATTTCTTTTGGACTCTGGGAAGTTTTAGGAGGAGTGCTGAAACTTGGTCCATGGAAGCACAACTTCAAAGGGAGTTTGAAAAACTTATTTTTTTCAAATAAGTTTAAAAATTGGAACCCCTGAAAGGCCCTGCAGCCTTCCCTTAGTTCTCTGTTATCAGCCTAAAGGTGTGGAGCACATAGTATCTGTGGCAACAAAACTTTCTGGCAAATCTCTCTAGGGGATGGAAGTTGAGGGATTGACCAACACCTTCTCTCAAAATTGTCCCCTATAAAAACTAGCTGCTGACCAGAGGGATCACCTTTAATTTACCACTGCCTGAAAATAAATCCATAAATTAGTCAAGTATTTAATCTCTTACCAAAAACCCTTTGCTTCCCTCCTGCAGAACATATTGAAGAGAACTCGGCCCGGTGCCGATGAAGAGGTACAGGCCACTCAAGCATATGATGCACTTGAGAAGGTAAAGGGTGTTGAAACCCATTCTTCATCCCTCTCGCCACTTCTGGCTGCCTCACACAAATGGTTCAAAAGTTTTCTCAACTCTTCCGGGCCACAAATTCCCAGTAGCTAGAAGCTGAGGTACCCATGCTGTTGTTTTCTGAGACACATGGGATATGAATTCCTTAGATACCCGAGCGACTTCTCTTCCCCTATTAATTAAAAACATGCTGCAAATAATGGTTTGGAAGTGGCTCCAAGTTAGTTACAATGATGTGCAGTAATGCATGCATGTAACCCAACACTGTGGTTTGGATGCACAATGTATCCGTTCACTGTGTGAATCAACTGTGTTTTTACTGAGCCAATGCCATCGAGTGAGATTCTGGGGTGAGGGGTGATTTGAATCTGGGTCTCCTCAGTCTAAGTCCAGCACTCTGGCCAAGACACAGCTGGCTTCAGAATATTCTGAAGTTATATGTTCTATAAAAGTAAAGGGATCCCTGACCATTAGGTCCAGTCGTGGTCAACTCTGGGGTTGCAGCGCTCATCTCGCTTTATTGGCCGAGGGAGCCGGCATATAGCTTCCGGGTCATGTGGCCAGCATGACTAAGCTGCTTCTGGCGAACCAGAGCAGTGCATGGAAACGCCGTTTACTTTCCCGCTGGAGCGGTACCTATTTATCTACTTGCACTTTGACGTGCATTTGAACTGCTAGGTGGGCAGGAGCAGGGACCAAACAACGGGAGCTCACCCCATCGCGGGGATTCAAACTGCTGACCTTCCGATCGGCAAGCCCTAGGCTCAGTGGTTTAGACCACAGCGCCACCCGCGTCCCTATATGTTCTATAATTAACTACAAATGTTTGAGTATTTCCCTCTAAATAGAGGGTGCCTGGGAAAGTTTAGACTCAAAGGGATGTAACTTCCAGCATCGGCAATAAGACCCAGATGCATATCTTGAACGCTAAAGAAATCTAGCTGGTGAGCCTTTTCCTGAAGAAGTGGTTGATCCAAAGTACAGTCATGCCTCCTTTTGCGTCCGCCCCATTTAGGGTCCATTTTGTTGAACGTCCACGGCAAACCCGGAAGTACCGGAACGGGTTACTTCCAGGTTTGCCACTTGCACACTCGCAGAAGTGCTAAATCGTGCTTCGCGCATGCACAGAGCGGCGCTTTGTCGAGCATCCCTTTCATTGTGCATCTGGGGCTCCAGAACAGATCCCGGACGCAAAAGGAGGTATGACTGTAACCAGTTCCCTCAACGCCAAGCCCTAATCACAAAAGGAATAGTGCTGTCTATGTAACCTCTCCCTTAAGATTGGTCTTTGTCTGCACTGTTGCTTTTCGTCATTACTGAGGCCACACATAGATGGACCGAGTCATCTGTGTCCCCTTGTGGAACTGGGTCATCCCATGCATCCAGCCCTACAGCTATGAGGTACCCCATGCTGGAAGTTACATCCCTTTCTCTGCTATGCTGGAAGAAGCTTACCAGCTTTCTAAGTGATTGAGGTTTATCATTTAGAGAAAAAAGAGGGCCGTGGGTACTTTACACATATAAACAGTGGATCTGAAATTAGCTTAACTCAGCCAGAGAATTGGTCTAGCCAATTGAAGATTCTTGCATTTTTTTCTAAAAAGTTGCTCCTGCCAAAACCAGGTGGCTTGATTCCATTCTCTGCCTCCTAAACCCATACCCTGTCACCCTTTCCGCTTTGAGAAGGGGACAGCCACCCCCCCATTTTTTCCAACACTTCCCCACCCTAATAGCATTTTCCTTTCCGCAGCTCATCAAAGATTGCAATGAAAATGTCCAGCGTATGAGGAGCACCGAGGAGCTAATCTACTTGAGTAAAAATATGGAGTTTGAATGCAAGGTAAACGTTCATTCAGGGGGTTACAGCTTCCCCCGTCTGACACTGTACTGCAACCACCTGCTTTATTCATGCATAGATAGCCCTGCATAGTGCTGATGATGCCAAGGTCACAGGTTTGATCCCCCTATGGGTACAATTTCTGCTTTGAAGTGGGTTGGGCTAGATGATGCTCAGGGTACCTTCCAACTCTGTGATTCTATGACCAGAGCTAATCTACTAGTGAACTGCCCTGGTCACCAAGAGGCCTTCAGCTTATCCCTATCTTGCAGAAGGGACAGGAGAACCTGTGTCCTTTCTGATGTTGGGCATACAGCCCCCTAACCATTGGCTATGCTGGCAGGGAAGTAATAGTGCCACTGTATTCTGCTCTGGTCAGACCTCACCTGGAGTACTGTGTCCAGTTCTGGGCACCACAGTTCAAGAAGGACTCTGACAAACTGGAACGTGTCCAGAGGAGAGCAACCAAAATGGTCAAAGGCCTGGAAACGATGCCTTATGAGGAACAGCTAAGGGAGCTGGGCATGTTTAGCCTGGAGAAGAGGAGGTTAAGGGGTGATATAATAGCCATGTTCCAATATATAAAAGGATGTCACATAGAGGAGGGAGAAAGGTTGTTTTCTGCTGCTCCAGAGAAGCGGACACGGAGCAATGGATCCAAACTACAAGAAAGAAGATTCCACCTAAACATTAGGAAGAACTTCCTGACAGTAAGAGCTGTTTGACAGTGGAATTTGCTGCCAAGGAGTGTGGTGGAGTCTCCTTCTTTGGAGGTCTTTAAGCAGAGGCTTGACAACCATATGTCAGGAGTGCTCTGATGGTGTTTCCTGCTTGGCAGGGGGTTGGACTCGATGGCACTTGTGGTCTCTTCCAACTCTTCTATGATTCTATGATTCTAGGAGCGGAGGGACCACAGGTTCCCCAGTGCAGTCTTATAGGCAAGGTTGCCCTCACTGTGATGGTATTGGGCTAAGTACAGTATCCTTCATGCCATCAGGCAACAGCTGGGCGGTCTGTGTGCAGAAGGATGTGTGACCCATCTACTGGCCACATCCACCTTCCAATGTGTAGGCTAGAATAGTAATTTTATCAACTTTCTAGCTTCAGAGAAACCTCCCCACATTGATCTGTCGACCAGGAAGCCCTTGCTTCTCTGCCACCCCACCCCCTGGAAAGTATTCTAGGCCACACACGCAACTCCGTTAAAGCAGGGTGCCAATGCTCCTTGAGCCTCATTGCTACTCCTTGGAGACAAGGAGCACACCCAGAACTCACACACACCTGCCAGTTGCAGGGGAAAGCAGTTGTGGGTGGGAAGGTCTTTCAGGAGAGCTTGGCTGCCTGTTGAGAACCCACCCCCCAATAGAATCATAGAATCATAGAGTTGGAAGAGACCACAAGGGCCATCGAGTCCAACCCCCTGCCAAGCAGGAAACACCATCAGAGCACTCCTGACATATGGTTGTCAAGCCTCTGCTTAAAGACCTCCAAAGAAGGAGACTCCACCACACTCCTTGGCAGCAAATTCCACTGTCAAACAGCTCTTACTGTCAGGAAGTTCTTCCTAATGTTTAGGTGGAATCTTCTTTCTTGTAGTTTGGATCCATTGCTCCGTGTCCGCTTCTCTGGAGCAGCAGAAAACAACCTTTCTCCTTCCTCCTTGGAATAGCTTCCAAGCAATCTTGCTTTCTCACAAAACAAACTGAAAACCACATTCAGAGGACAGGAGAGTGCACCTCACAGCTCATTACGACCAAGTCTGGCTTCTGCCTTTCCAAAGCTGACCATCCCACCTCCCAGGACATTCTATACAAGATCTCAAAGTAGTTGTAATATTACGAAAGAATTTCAGAAATAGACTGGAAAGAGAAGTTGCTGAATTACAACTTATTACCAAACTTTAAACCATGGAGAGACCTGGTCTGAATAGAGACATTGGATCCTTATCTCATTATGCATGATAAAGCTATTTTTGGCCATCTCACCCTTTGCTTTTCCCTGTAAGACCAATTGCAGTCATTAACAGTCGTCAACTGGTTTACCACACCTATCAGCTGATCACCCATTCCCACCACCCTTCTGAGTAATACCCCTCCCCATCCTCTCGCTGGTGACTTCTGTTTCAGTGTATCTGAAGAAGTGTGCATGCACACGAAAGCTCATATGAATAAAAAATTTAGTTGGTCTCTAAGATGCTACTGGAAGGATTTTTTTAATTTTGTTTCATCCCTAGAGTGGTATTCTTTCATCATCCATCCCATATGCAACTCCTTTTCAGTGGACTATTCTACAGGCTCACAGAACAATCCGGAAAATGGCATTTTGACACCACTCACCTTTCCTTCCACTAGCCATTGCCCTCTAGCACTGGAGATGGGATAAGAAATCTTCTCCACCTCTTTGCAGGGAGAAGAGAGCAGGTCTCAAAACTTGTGCCTTGAAGCACTGGAGTTACAATGAGACCTTTGGGCCTCACCTAGAGCAATTATTCTTGCACTTGCAGATTTTCCCACTCATCTCGCAGTCACGGCGGCTGGTAAAACGTGGGGAACTCACAGCGTTGGAGTACAACCTGAGCTTGAAGTGGAAACTGACCACCCGGCCAATCTACCTGCACCTCTTTAATGACTACCTGCTCCTATCTCGGCCCAGAGAGTAAGTGTTGGGGGAAGGGTTCCATTACTCCATCTGTCACTCAACATTTATCCCTCAGCAATCGTAACATCCTAGTTATGCAAACGAGGTGGGTCAATTCCTTTCCTTTCAATTTCCTTTCCTTTTAGTAACACATACCGGTAAATAAACATTATCATATTCTTAGTCCTCACCCCCACTTTTACAAGTCCAAATATGTATAAATATTCAGTATAAGAAAGTTTTTGTTAAATTCTCCCCCCACAAAAATACTTACTTGACACTCAGTCTTCTTTTTATTTATACAATTTCAGATTAATTTTAAAAAATCACATGATTGCAGCAAGAGAAATGGATGGAAGAGGTTATGTTATAGTAGCTTGGCATAATTTTAGATGGTTTTGCATTCAAGTGGCACATTTTTTAAAAATGGGACTTTATGTGAATTTAGGGAAGGTATGCATTTTTCCACCTTCCATCACTAAAATGTATTGTTGTGTTATGTGTGAAGAGCAGGGGGCAACCACTCATAATTTGCTAGGGCGCAAAATACCCTTATGCCAGCAATGGCAAGGAGTCCTCTTTCTTACTCATTAAAACCAAGCTTTTAAAATGCCCCCTTCCTTTTCTTTCTCTATCCCCTGCAGGAATGGGCGCTTTATTGTATTTGATTTTGCTGCTTCCTCGAATGTGCGTGGAGAGAAGTGTGAAATGAAACTGCACGGCTCAAGCAAAAATCTTTTCCGCCTCTTCCTGCTGCAGAACAATCAGGGGAAAAAAGTGGAGTTCCTCTTCCGTACAGAAACACAGTAAGCAAAAGCCAAATGTTTTTGCAATGGAGAACTCCCAGCACCACACCTTCCTTAGTTTAACTTTCAGAGCGATGAGGATGAGATGATGCCTTGTGCAATCACGTATTTACTAAAAGCAACACAGAACTATCTTTCTTTTATTACATGAAGTATATCAGTTTTATTCCACGTATCAACAGTCTTACCAGCAGGATTGTAGCAAGGTGAGAAACCTGCAAAGTCTGAAGGGGAGGGCTTGCAAGCTCAGCTCTGCTTCCAGCTGAGGGTTGACCTTGTTTGCTAGCTCCTGCTGGAATTACCAGCTTCTTTTTGCCTTTTGCACAACTTACTTATTGTTCCATTTATATTCTCCCTCTCCTCAAAAGAAGCTCAAAAGAATGGTAAAAAGGGTATGATCCAGCATTATGTAATATCTGCATTCATTTACAGATTTAGCATAGGCAGAGGCATAGTTTAGACACTCCAACCGATAGTTGAATATCACCCAGAGCTGACACACTGAAATTAATGAACGTTAGGTCTATTAAGTTCAGTGGCTGCTAAAGGGCTGTGAAAATTTATGTCCCAGGCTTTTTAGACTCGTAGAAGGGACGCGGGTGGCACTGTGGGTTAAACCACAGAGCCTAGGACTTGACGATCAGAAGGTCGGCGGTTCAAATCCCTGCGACGGGGTGAGCTCCCATTGCTCGGTCCCTGCTCCTGCCAACCTTATTTATCTACTTGCACTTTGACGTGCTTTTGAACTGCTGTTCAAAAGCACGTCAAAGTGCAAGTAGATAAATAAGTCCCGTTCCGGCGGGAAGGTAAACGGCGTTTCCGTGTGCTGCTCTGGTTCACCAGAAGTGGCTTAGTTATGCTGGCCACATGACCCAGAAGCTGTACGCTGGCTCCCTCGGCCAATAAAGCGAGATGAGCGCCGCAACCCCAGAGTCAGCCACGACTGGACCTAATGGTCAGGGGTCCCTTTACCTTTACCTTTTTTACCCACATACTATCTGAAACCTGAGGGGCTCATTGGTTACCAGATGTGAAATATGTGGCATTATTTTCAGCTCTCCTGCCCCACTACTGATCCCTTCTTCCAAGTCATTCTCCAACCCTTCTTTCCGGTGCTGCCCACTCATCAGAATTCAGCTAGTCCCTGACATGTAAATAATAATAATAATAATAATAATAATAATAATAATAATAATAATTTATTTATATCCCACCCTCCCCAGCCGAAACCGGGCTCAGAGCGGCTAACAACAGTAAAAGTAACACAGTTTACATAAAATCACAATCAATTAATTGAAATACATTCTAAAATCAATTCATTCTAAAATCAATTCCGAGTCAAATTAATGGCAACCGTTGGGCTAGAGTTCTGTGAGGATTACAGAAGGAGAGAGGTGGTCAGACTGTGCCTTGGCCAAAGGTCTGGTGGAACAGCTCTGTCTTGCAGGCCCTGCGGAAAGATGTCAAGTCCCGCAGAGCCCTAGATATTCACTCACCCCTTCTTACATAGCAGGGGGCACCATTTTGTGGTTCACCTCAGGTGCCAAAACATATTGAGCTGGCTCTGCCAAGAAGAGTGGCTTCCTTAAAAGCCATTAGTTAGTTAGTTAGTTAGTTAGTTAGCTATGAGCATGACTCATAGTGTGCCACAAGTAAAGGGAGCAAAGTATACTACTACACATCTTGACATTTCACCAGCAACTGCCGTGTACAACCTAGAATGCCTCTCTCCTCAGTACTTTTCACTTCTCTCCCCCCTGCCCCAGGAGTGAGAAGCTGAGGTGGATTTCTGCGCTTATGCCCCAGCAAGCTGAACCTGACCTTTTGGATGACCCTGGTAAGATTGCTCAAGACATAGACTGCAAAGGGCTAGCTCACATAATACGGTTATTACGTATACAGTGGTACCTCGGGTTACAGACTCTTCAGGTTACAGACTCCACTAACCCAGAAATAGTACCACAGGTTAAGAACTTTGCTTCAGGATGAGAACAGAAATTGTGCAGCAGCGGCGCAGCGGCAGCGGGAGGCCCCATTAGCTAAAGTGGTGCTTCAGGTTAAGAACAGTTTCAGGTCAAGAACAGACCTCCGGAACGAATTAAGTTCTTAACCCGAGGTACCACTGTATACAATAGCAAGCAAATACCGACAGTATCAACAATCAGATGCTTACTCAAAGCATTTCTTTCTTTCTCAGATGTTTCTAGAAGTGTGACTCCAACTCTTATATTTATTCATGATTAATTTTACACTGAGTTTTCATTGTTTAATATTTTATTGTGCTTTTCGTACTGCCTACCACTTGGCTATACCATGTCAAATGGTATATACAGTGGTACCTCGGGTTACAGACGCTTCAGGTTACAGACTCCGCTAACCCAGAAATAGTGCTTCAGGTTAAGAACTTTGCTTCAGGATGAGAACAGAAACTGTGCAGCAGCGGCGCGGCAGCAGCAGCAGGAGGCCCCATTAGCTAAAGTGGTTCTTCAGGTTAAGAACAGTTTCAGGTTAAGAACGGACCTCCGGAACAAATGAAGTACTTAACCCGAGGTACCACTGTAAATCTGTTAAGTAAAATACAGTACAACATTGATCGTGGGCACTTATTACTACTGCAGGTTCTTTATTAACACTGCAGCGGCACAAACTATATATTTATTTTTTTTAAAATGTCCAGTAGCACCTTAGAGACCAACTAAGTTTGTTCTTGGTATAAGCTTCCATGTGCATGCACACTTCTTCAGATACACTGAAACAGAAGTCACCAGACCCTTATATATTGTGGGAGGGTGGGGTGGGGTTTTTCCAGTAGGGTAGTAGAAGATGGGTGGTTGACTCTATTTCTTTGTGCCCGTCACATTACTTTACATATGAAGAACTAAAACCAGAAATGTGTGCGTTCCTTCAATCAAGGATGGGAATTCTTACTGGATATGCAGTTAAACTAAGCTGAGACTCAGTTTACATTGCACACACAAATCTCAAAATTGAAGAACCAGGAATGGTACAGAAAGTTTTATTCAAAATAAAAAAGAGATGTGTGTACATTTGCCCAAGCTATACTGATGAATTCAGTACTTTATTTTTTTCAAGTACATTTTAGGTTTCTTTGCTTGCTTGTTTTGAAAAAGAACAACCCGACACATTTGAATGGTTAACAACAACAAGACACCTGGTAACTGACAATCACGATATTCTTTCTCTCCAAGCTCTCTTAGACAAACTTCAGGTTCAGTGTGTGAGGTCATACAAAGCCCGAGAGAATGATGAACTGGCGCTGGAGAAAGCAGATATAATTATGGTCCTTCAGCAAAGTAGCGACGGTAAGTGGATTTGGCAATGTTGTGGCAAGGTGCTGTGAGGGGCAGGAAAGAGACTGGGCAGTTGGGAGGTGAAAATGTCATGGGGTGACTACGACCTGGAAGGTGGTTTCCTTTGGAACTAGGAAATGGCTTACATCGTTGAAAAATTAAAAATGGAAAATACTGCTTTCCTTGTGTCTAAGCTGTTTTTCACCCAGCAGTGCAAAAGCCTGTGCTGACATGGCAGCTCCCCCCACCCCCGGTCCACCTCACGTGGGAAAGCAGGGATAGAATTTGGCATCAGGGAAACAGCCTGTGGGGAAAGGGTTAAACACCCTTCCTGTCACTGCTGCAATCAAATGAGAGCCTTCCATGTATTAAAAGTAATACTGGACACAGGAGAAGTGTCATCCATCCATTGAGTAGCATATCCAGGTATTACTTCATTTGATAGCACGTGAAATCTCCCCATAGATGGTGTTTTGCTCCTTTTTCAGACAAGAATAGATAAGAGACAGAGAATGGGAGCTTTCTTCTGAACTGCCCTGGTCCACACACACTGCATGAAGACAGAGAGTGGTAACTTATCACTGTTCACACATAAGCACTTGCCAGCCTTATGTTTGGTCCTGCCATGAACTTGACCACACTTTCTCAGAAAACTGAGAAGCAAAGGAGTACAGTCGTACCTCATGTTGCGTAACCTCTAAGTTACAGAATCTTCGGGTTACAGCTGCGGCAAACCTGGAAGTGGGTTTGCCGCTCGCGTATGCGCAGAAGCGTTTTGTGGCACCACGCGCGTGCGCAGAAGCGGTCCTCCAGTTACGGACTTTTCAGGATATGGCCAGGCCTCCAGAACGGATCCTGTTTGTAACTGGAGGTACCACTGTATTCAATTTCACCCAGTACTTGTTAGGGTGGTAAAGATGACCAGCTAAAACACACTTAACTGTTCAGTGTATATCATGTATTATAGATTTTTATTCTTGTCCCTACGGAGCTTAACAATGTGCCTTTTTGATGGTGAGAAAGACCACAGAGAAAGCAGGAGAGGACAAACAATCGAGGGTGGCAAGTGATTAAATGTGAACAAATGCCAGTAACAGATATGCAACCCAGTCTTCTGTTTGTTTTGGAACTAAGCTCCACTTAGTATAACAACCTTAGATTGGTTAGAGTTGGAGATGAGGATTCAGAGGTCTGCACTCATCAGAAATCTGGCTAAGGCAGGAAATTCTTAAAATTTCACATTGGCCCCTCAGAGGATGGTGCAGTCAGTCACTTCTGAGACCTAAACTACACCAGAATAAGCTCTCTCACTCTGGGGCGATCTCATTTTACCAAGAGTTAAGGACTTGCTGCACATTAGGTACAAATGTGGTTATATCACCCAGATGGCTAGCCTACCAGGGTAACTTGTAGACCAGGCTTCCTCAACCTCAGCTTTCCAGATGTTTTTGGCCTACAACTCCCATGATCCCTAGCTAGCAGGAGCAGTGGTCAGGGATGATGGGAACTGTAGTCTCAAAACATCTGGAGGGCCAAAGTTGAGGAAGTCTGTTGTAGACTGTAACAACTCCCTAAATGGTTCTCTGAATGTTTCACCCTTCGTGTCTGCTCCCTCTGCAGGGTGGTTTGAAGGAGTGAAACTCTCTGATGGGGAAAGAGGCTGGTTCCCTTCCGATCACGTGGAAATAATCTCCAGCAAGCAAGCTCGCCAGATGAATCTGAAGGAGGAACAGCGTGTCAAGTATGCAAAACAACAAGTCTTTCATAAGAGATAGGGTCCTGCTTTCCCCAAAGACAAACACTTAAAGCTCGTCTCCATTGTGGCTCCTTAACCCAACAGTAATTGCTGTATTTGGTTTTCTGGAAGAGAAACCTCCTTTGACGCCATCAACAAATGTTTAACCAATACAGGACACAGTACGTACCAAAGAAATGAAAACTGACTTGGTGGAAAGATTATCTTCCTGTGCATCACCAGAGGAGGAAAAAGAGAAGAAAAAACCTGCATTAGCTTTGGCTTGATGGTTTCAAATAAGAAATACAGTTGGAAACTGGATATTAGGACTTCTGGGAACCAGTTATTGACACTGCCGTTGTTCCAATGCATGAACTCCTCGCTTGGGGCCTTTGCTTCAGCTTCTGCTCTGCCAAATGAGGCTATGACTTACCTCACAGAAAGGTGTGAAGCTAATAATGTTCCCAAATGCTTTGAAGCCTTCCCAAAAAGAAGATGCTAGAGAAAAGCAATATATATATTTTATATGTATTGTCATGGAAATTGGCTTTTCTGTTTGAAATACTTCATTTATTTTAATTGCCACGTACTTCTTACCAAATAAGATATGATACATATATATGAATGAAAGGGAGCCAGATTCCCCTGAACTCTGCTTTACAAAAAAGTTTGCCAGCTTTTCCTGGTCTGCTCCTGTGCTTTTAACAGTAAATTGACACACAAATTCAGCAGGTGAAAGCATTTCACACCTTTTGTCTCCATGTCAGAAAAGCTTCACCTGCTACTAATTTCTGCAAGTCAGTGTGTAATTAAAGGAACAGGAGAAGAAATCCAGAGAAAATCTATACAGGGAAATGGACTAAGAATGCAGGGAGAAGGAAGACATATTTGCCATTAACACCTCCCTTTCTTCTGGAGCCACTTCTTTAGTTGGATAACATTTTTTTTCCTTATTCTCAGCTTGAGTGTTTATGCTCAGAAAGTGTTTGTGGCCAGCCCAAGAGCCTTAGGAATGCGCAAACTCATTACAAAGAGAAGGCAATGGGTCAGATTGCTGGGGGGCCCCAGCAGGGACAACTGATAAATGACTGCTTGGTGCCTGGCAGTAGGTACTGCGTCTTTTAAGGGCAGAGGGTACATGCTTTCTGTGCAGATGGTCCCAGATTCCATCCTTGCTATTTACAAGTAGCATACGATGGGAAAGGTGCACACCTGAGACCCACTGACAGCAAGGGCATGGGGGTTAGGTGGGAGAAGAGGGCCTGTGACCCTGGGTGCAAAATTTTGAGGAGCGTGCCTCTCATCTGGAGATGAGCCACAGTGCCTTTCCACATCTTCGAAGCCAAGGGTGAGCTAAACTAACTCACAGAGGGGTTTTTCCTGTACCATCGCCCCGGTTCCGCACAGCTCTGCACTCCTCTCTGCGGGCATTGGGGTGATTCACCCACCAAGGGGTATGTCGTCCAGTCGGGTTCCCCCCCATGTGGGTGCAGGTGGGTGCACTTGGCTCCAGTGGAGGGGGGATCTGCTCCAGCAACTTCAGTGACGAGGGTTGGGCTGTCGCGGCAGGCTCCGTTTACCCCCTCTGCATCCTGCACCCCCTGACGCACATGCCTGCCCCGAGCACCAGCAACCTATGCTATGCCACTGGTTGACAGTCATGATAGATGCACTGGATACACAAATAGGAAGCTCCCTTAAACTGTGTTCCTCTGGAAGTGCCATCAGCTGTGGAGACCATGCAAGACATAACTCAGGATGTAAAGCAATGTTCTTTATCAGCAGCCATTCAAGATATTGCTGTATAAGAAAGAAGGTAGCAATGACTGGGAAAGGCTTAGTGTGTGTAACTGTATATTCTGTTTTTGTAATGGCCTGATCAAGCGCACCTTAGACCACTGAAATCAAAGGGCATAGGCCTGGTTAAATCCACATAGGATTGTCCCCTGAGGCTGCTTAATCTGCCTTCAGAAAAACCCAGATTCTTCCTAGTATAAATATTTGACAGTCAGATACACAGGGGCGAGACTTACAATCCAAAAACACATTATGCCCGAACTATAAATATTGCAAATGTGCAGTTGCTTTCCTCAGAGGCGGCTTAAAAAGGATGGTGGTACCAACAAATTTAAATAGGTTTTTGCACAGTTGGCTTTTGCAAACATTTTAAAGATCTCTTCATTATACAAAAGTTGGTAGAACTGAAGCTCAAATTGCAAATTACTTGGAGTTCTGTGATTCTTCCTCCCATGTTGCTTTTCTTAAGCCAAAGCAGCCAATAAGTCTGAGTACAAGAAGGGAACACAGAGGAAATTGCTTTATTCTTTTTCCTCTGGTTATTTTTCAGCTCAGAATGGCCCTGCCCAACCTACTTTTTCATCTGCTGGGGAAAAGCAACAGGACCCCATAGCTTCCTCCCAATGACAGTTTTGGGGAGGAACAATGCTAGTTATAGTGGAACAAACCGATACAACCCCATATTGTATTTTGCAAACATACCTTAGTGTCAGGAAGCCTCAAACAGTGGGAGTCAGTGGATTCGTGATACGCACTACCTCTTGACCCCAGAACGAGAAATGGGGTGACCTGATGCAGAGCTGGAGCTACAAGGGGGTGGGGTCGGGCTAGCCAGGTTTTTTGCCCCAAGTGAAGCCTCCAGAGGGCATCATTGAGGCTCCCGGCCTGTGCATGTGTGTACGCAAACATGCATGGGGGATGCAAAACTGGGTGTTTGACCCAGGTAAAGTCTAATTCAGGGGTCGGCAACCTTTTTCAGCCATGGGCCGGTCCACCGTCCCTCAGACTTTGTGTGGGGCTGGACTACATTTTTTTTTGGGGGGGGGAGAATGAATTCCTAGGCCCCACAAATAACCCAGAGATGCAATTTAAATAAAAGCACACATTCTACTCATGTAAAAACACCAGGCAGGCCCCACAAATAACCAGAGATGCATTTTAAATAAAAGGACACATTCTACTCATGTAAAAACGTGCTGATTCCCGGACTGCCCGCTGGCCAGATTGAGAAGGCGATTGGGCCGCATCCTGCGCCTAGGGCCTTAGGTTGCCTACCCTTGTCTAATTTCACCCCTCTCAGATGCAGCACTTTCAGTAGTTGTGTTAAATGATAAGTGGTGGCTTCTTAAACTATTAACAGCGCCCAAGCCCTATCCGAGTTGGTATCTGGTCAGGGGAGTTAGCAAACTCTGAACTGGGGGCAAATCCTCACTACAGAGAAGTTTCGTTGAAAGAAGAAGGTGGAATTTACTTTAAAAGGAGGGAGGCTGCTTAGGAAAGAACATACATGGAGATAAATGGTGTCCAGCCTGTTTCTGCCAGCTTTGAGATTGCTATGTTTTTCATGTTGCTTTCCAAAACACACTCTGTTGGAAACTGCCCTCTAAGTATTTCAGATTCTGCCCCAGAATTGGAGCCAATCTAGGCAGGATGGCAGCAGTTCCACATGCTCCAACACTCAATCTTTTAATTGCCTTTTTAATGCTGAACATTCTCCTTATCAGAGAAAAAAATGGTGAAGAAAAGTCTCGTAACCTTACAAACTTCTGCCTTCTGGAAACAAAAAAAGGATTTGTGGTCTCCTTGGGAGAAATCCTCACAGCGGGACTTATTTCATTGGTCGCACTTATACTCATATTTCCCCCCCAAGGAAGTCAAGGTGGCTTCCCCCCCATTTCATCTCCACAACAACCCTGTGAGGTAGGTTGGGCTGAGAGAGGCAGTGCCCAAGTGATTTGAACTTTGGTCTCTCTGGCCCGGCACTCAAACGCAGCCTTTCTCAACCTTGAGGGTCCCAGATGTTTGCTGGGCCACAACTCCCATCCTCCCTCACCAGCAGGACCAATGGTCAGGGAGGGATGGGCGTTGCAGTCCAAGCAGGGCCGGACTTAGGTTTGGTGAGGTCCTAAGCTGCTGGCGGTAATGGGGCCCTTTATATGTCCAGCTGTCCTTTGTCAACAACAAATTGTCACTGTTTTTTGTGTTGAATATATGCTATATGGTAATTTATGGACCTACATGCCATGCAACCAGTCCATGCAGAATGTAGGCACCCTATACAGTCATACCTCGGGTTACGGACACTTCAGGTTGCGTTTTTTCGGGTTACAGACCACTGAAACCCAGAAGTACCAGAACAGGTTAATTCCAGGTTTCAGCAGTCGTGCATGCACAGATGCGCAGCTGCAAACGTGCATGGATCACGTTCGCAATCCGAGCGTCCACTGTATATAGAAATGAGCAAACCAGTGATATTTTAGGGCGCAAACTAGCAGGCTCATTATTCACACGTTACTCACACCATAGGAGCCTACACAACACAAAACACTGTTGCTGTATGTATGTTTTATTTTATTTGTTATTTATCTTCTATTTTGGAAATGTACATCCAGGGGTTTTTTTACCTTTAGTTTTTGGGGGGCCCCCAAGAGAGTGGTGCCCTGTATAGCTATAGGTAAATCCGGCACAGACTCTGGAGAGCCGGCTTCGGAATAGACGTGTCTGGGGTGGCCAAGGGAGCCTCGGGGTGACCCGCCGCGCAGGTGCCCTTGATGAGCTTGCCTGGCGTCGGCGCGCGCGGCGGTTTACAAAGCTCCCTGCGCTGCAGCGGCGGCGGCGGCCGCGCCCGAGGCGGAAGATGGAAGTGCGCGCCCAGCTGGAGGCAGCGGCGGCCGCTCCGCCGCCCCAGGACGCGGGTAAAGTGGGGGCCATGGAAGCCGGGGTGGGCAGGGGGAGCAGCCCTCCGGGACCTTCTCCCGCCGCCCTTTCGGTGTCCCTGGGGAGGAGAGGACTCGCCGGCGCGCTAGAAGCTCCCGCGCACTTGGCTCTTATTTGCCATCTTTAATTGCCAATAGAAGAATGTAATGGCCCAATTATGCCCGCGTTAATATTAGCCCCGAGGGGAGCGCACCTGTCCCCGCCCGTTGCTGCGTTTGGGGACACCCCCTCTGCACAAAGGGGGACCGGCTCCAAGTCCTTCTTAGACACGCTCTAGTTAAGGACGTGGTAAATCACTTCTCTCCCACCCCAAGGCAGCCTCCAGAAAGCCCAATTCTGGAGCAAGCTCTACTTTGCGCGTTGTAGCCTCGAACTCCGGCGTCTTGGAAGGACGTTCCATTTCTCGTCCCAAGGAGCTGGTCCCTAGCTCTGCAAATGAGCGAAACAAACAATTTCCTCCATAGGTAGCTCCGGCAGGGCGGTTCATCCACGGAATTTTGTTTCTATCGCTGGTTTCTGTATTAAAACTTGCATGGGAGTAAATCTCACTGATCACAGTGGATCTTGATTCTGAGTAAACCTACGCGGAAACTGGCTTGCACAGCTTTGGAAATTACTGAAATGAAAAGTCTGGTGCCTTGCTGGATGGGGTTTCATGGTAAGGGGCAGAAGCCCCAGAGGGCGGTATCCCATTCAGTTTTACCTGGAGTAGACCTATTGAAATCAATGGGCCTCACTTGGTTATTAATTTCAGTGCGTCTCCTCTGAGTAAGACTTAGGTGAATGCAACCTATAGTTTTATTTTGCTAGGTCTTAGGCACAGCACAAAAGCTATGCTTATGGATCTAAGGCTTGTGGGATCAGGAAAAATAAGGGGTGGGGTGGTTCTAATACTTATTCTTTTGGTATCTGGCCTGAAAATGAAAGAAAAGAAAGATGCCCTGCCTGTTCAGTGTCCCCCACCTCTCTTACATTGGTTGGCTGGTGGTGCACCTTTAAAAGAGAGGAAAAAAGAGCGTCCACACTCAACAGGCAGCACTTATTTTTTATTTTCTGTTTCACACATGAAAACATCAGAATGACTTGAAACCACCTCAGTCCTGTTAAGTGGGGACTGAGAATAAAGGCCAAATTTGTTGTCAGGGCCAGCCATCCACATCTTTTCCACACCACTTCCTTCACATAGCAGGGACTTGGAAGGCTCTTTGCATGAAAAGGAGTGCAAGGGAAGAGAAACAAATCTTGACTTGCACTTTGTTCATTTCCGGTATCACAACTGGGTTGGGAGAAGGCTGCTCAAAGCAGTAAAAGGAAAAGTGAGGGAGGGGTGGTTTTCACTCCCCTCCCTGTTTACTCTTTTTCATCTAGGCAGTAGATTCTAGGACCCCTTTCCTGTTTTATATTGTGAACAGAAAGATGTGCATGTACATGGCTGCCTATCAAGCCTAGTTTGGCCCCAAATTCCAGACTGATGCTCATGGTGACACATGTTTTGCATGTGGCATGTGACACATGCAAAACATGGTGACATGGTGACATGGTGACACATGCAAAACATGGTGACACATGTTTTGCATGTGGCATGTGGACGTGTGATGAATTGGCCTTATGTATGTACCACCAATTCACAGGAACAAAGCTTTTATCCACTGTCATGGTCCTCGCACGTGGTGGTGCCTGCGCATGCGTCCTGCGCATGAGTCCAACCCTAAAGGCAGTTTAAAGTGTCAACTGCACCCTCATGGATGGACTGAGTTGTGGCATCACAAAGTTCAGGGATAGGTCTTCCCTTTCCCGATGTTAAGAAGTATAACATTAGCTTAATCACTCCCCCAAATGGCCTGAAAATACACAATGTGGGTTTCAGATAAGCAGATTTGGCCTTGAATGCTACCTGGGAATCACATGTAAGCCCTTGGGAAATATAGGCTCATATGCTGTCAATGTAATCTAAGGTACGGTGCACTATAAAATACTCTCTCCCTACTTTTATGAGCTCTTCAAGAGGAAAAACTGGGTGTATGCAGGGTGTTTTAATGACTTGCCTTGCAAGTTCAAACCAAAGGTCAGAGTTCTGTTTCCAGCTGTGGTAACCCAGATACAAGCAGTACATGAAAATGATGGCCATCATTTGTTTGACCCAAGTATCTGGTGCTTGGAGGCATACATTGAGGTTCCATTTAGTTATTGTGACAGATAGCCGTTGACAGAGCATTCCTCCGTGGAATTGTCTTGTGGTTGGTTGGTTGGTTTTAAACCATCTATGTTTAATAAATGTCTAAGACAGTCATTAAGAGGTTGTGACAGTTATTAAGAGGTCATTAAGAGGTTGTGAAAAATTTGCAAAATTAAAGCGGAAAGGAAACAAACCGCAACACTGATAAAGGTGGAAGAGGAGTGGGTCAGGGGCTGAGCAGGAAGGTGTCCCATGACATGACTTTTCATGAAGGTTGTACGTCATTTATAAGGAAGCTGCTTTTTCAGTACTAAACACTTAAGAAATAAGGACAGAGGTCTCCACAGGTCATAATAATAGATGGAGAATGTGTAAGCTACTTGTGATGTATATTAGAACAAATTACACAAAACCAGGACATGGCTTTTTATGTCATGGGAAGCTGTTTTGACTTTTGCACATTGGAAATGCATTAGTTCATATTTTCCCCTGGGAAGCTGTTGGTTTAACCCTTCATTCCCAAGTGAAACAGCCATTTCTGCTCCCATTCAGCCTGCATTATTTTTATCCTTCACTTTATGTCTTGCATTGCTGTCTTTCCACAGTTAAAACTTTGACTGTAAACTTCTTGAGCAGGGACCTGTCTTACTTTTGTATCTCGCTTTCTTGAATAACCATTTCAGTTCATTTGCTTTGCAGTGTGCATGGAGGAGTTTGCGAGTCAAGAGGGGAAGGGACTTAGAGAGCCGCTGTTGTGCACAGACGAAAATGGGAACCTTGAGAGTGAGGTTGGAGCCAGAAGTAGTGTGGTGTCCGTTCTCCACACCGTCATTATAGACGAAAAGACGGGGCAGATCCTGGAGAAAGAAAGGGAGAATGATGTTGCAAAGCAAGAGCAGGCAGGGGACTGTTATATAGGACAAGGCGCAGGGTCCTCGGCTCCACAGTCGTCAGCTTTGGATAGTCACCAGCTCAATTTTGTCACTATATACAGGCACCTGCCAAACTATGCCAGCAATATAAACCCTGATCCCCCTATTCCGGAAGCTGAACTGAACCAAGAATTCATTAATCAGCCAAAGCCACAAATCCCAGCAGAAGTATCCTGCCTTAAAGTTTCGGAAAAGGGGAATGTGAAAAGAAGAAGCGATGCTGTTTTTACTGCTGGTTCTCTGAAAGCATCTTCGGCTGCTTTGGAGGATGCAAATACTTCACAGCAGAATCAGGGTGTGGGCCAAAACCTAAGTCTGGGCCATGCTATGCGCAGATCGGCCAGATGCGCTGCAGCCAGCTGCGTAGGTCAGCAGTCCTCCAGAGCCTCTTTGTTCCAAACAGCCAAGGGCAAGCAGGAGGGAGCCAATGAGAAGAAAGAACCACCAAAAGCTCCAGTGGAGCCTGCCCCACCTGCCCAGAAAAAGACTCGCACGTTCTACAGTGCTGGTAAGCGATTAAGAGCTGATTCATCCCTCTTCATGGTCCCTTCTCAGCCCTCAGTGCTACAGTGTTCTTAGAGTTAACTGTTGCTGGATCATGTTATAGTAACTTGCTCACACACTTTGCTGGGGAGCAGGGAAGTATTATGAGTTGGTAACGGTTGCCTCCTGAACCACCAGCACCCATTTGAAGTCCCTCAAGGCTCCTGTGTTACCAACAGCAGCAGCTTCTTTTTTTGCTGGGTCTGAATGCAATGACCCAACCAAAAAGTGAATTGTACCATGTGTTTATTATAGCTCAACTACAGGCAGAGTAAGCAATGCTTAGCCCTGCTCAATACAGCATGATGGCTAGTACGTTCAGTAGCACCTTCACCAGTCTCTGTCTTTGCTGAGGTTGGTGGAGGAGAGTTTCCAAGCCACTTTTATATCTTTCTCTCGTAAACATTCTCATGGCCCCCATGACCAGACACCAGAGCTCCTTGGACAGGTCGCTGAGCTTTGAAGCCCAGCTAACAGCTGCCGTGGACTAAACAATAGATAAGAAATTGGCTCCCTGGCCAGCTGGTGCCCTGTCATAAGAGAAGTGTTACAACATCTCTTAACTCCTTGCAATGCCGTTCTGCAATTCCATTACAGCTCCTCCTTCAGATCTCTTAATTCCAGAGTATTCCTTCCTTTCAGGTAGCCGAAAGCCCATCAGTTTGGAACTGGGCCACCCAAAAATCAGTTAGAGATCTCTACATACCTGCTTGGTATACAGAAATATAGTAGTTGATGAGTTAAAAGAAAATTCATTTAAAAAAACCAGACATGAAAGCTTCCAGAACCTTTGAAATGTTGAGGGAACAACGATAAGAAAATTGTAGATAAATTTAATTGCCTAAATAGGTTGGTATGCTTGCGGGGTGGCACGCTTCTGCCCATTCATAGCTATACAGTGGTACCTCATGTTACATACGCTTCAGGTTACAGACGCTTCAGGTTACAGACTCTGCTAACCCAGAAATAGTGCTTCAGGTTAAGAACTTTGCTTTAGGATGAGAACAGAAATTGTGCTCCAGTGGCGCGGCAGCAGCAGGAGGCCCCATTAGCTAAAGTGGTGCTTCAGGTTAAGAACAGTTTCAGGTTAAGAACGGACCTCCGGAACGAATTAAGTACTTAACCTTTAGTACCACTGTACTAAAATTTCTCTGCTGTGTCTCCTGTGGGCAGCTCTCACAAGTGCCCCCAGGGCGGGGGCAAAAAGATCTAAAGGAACTGCAAGTCAAGCAGGCTGCGTAGATCTTAGAATGATGGCTGGTATCCAACTATGGTTTACTCAGAGTAGACTCATTGAAATTAACGAATCTAAATTAGCAATTGTTATTAATTGTAATGGGCTTACTCTGAGTATGACCAGCACTGAATGTAGCCCGTTATCTGTGGTTGACAGGGGATGTTGAAGTGAACTGTGCACTGGATATGAGATTTTAAAAACTCTTCCTGTAATGTTACTTCCATAGCTATATAGCAATAAGGTGATTAGGCTCAGAGCTCGTAGTTAGCCCCAGCCTCAGCCCTTTAGCATTATGTAGGAAGACTGGCTCTAGCCCTGAACAGGAGCCCTCCTGTTAGAGACCATGGGTGTGCTGCAACATTTTGATGTATTTTGATACAAAAATTTTAAGGGTTTTATACTATTCCTCCCCACTCTGAACTTATCCTCTTCTCCCTTTCACATTGCTCTTTTTTCTTCTTCTTCATTTAATGATACCCTCCTTCCCAGAACAGCTAGAGGAGCTGGAGAGAACGTTCCACGAGGACCATTATCCGGACAGCGAGAAGCGTCGCGAAATTGCTGCTGCTATCAGCGTGACCCCACAGCGTGTTATGGCGAGTCTTCCCTGCTGAACAACAAACGGGGGGGGGGGGTCAATAGTAAAAATAGCCCACTGGGAAAGGATTATTCTGCTGTTGTGATTGCATTTACAATTCCTCCCTCCACCCCTGTTGGCTAGGGGTCAGCAACTCCAGTCCACCGTCCCTCAGACCATGTGGTGGGCCGAACTATATTTTGGGGGAAAAATGAACGATTTCCTATGCCCCACAAATAACCCAGAGATGCATTATTAAATAAAAGCACACATTCTACTCATGTAAAAAAACCAGACAGGACCCACAAATAACCCAGAGATGCATTTTAAATAAAAGGACACATTCTACTCATGTAAACACACGCTGATTCCTGGACCGGATTGAGAAGGCGATTGGGCCGGATCTGGCCCCGGGCCTTCGGTTGCCTACCCCTGCTGTTGGCCTTTCTGTAGCAGGGGGTGAATAGCAGTTGAATCACAACTGTGTTTCATTCAGATTGGGCCAGCATCCAAATTGCAATTGATGCTCCATCACATATACCGCCACCCCCCTACCGTATCTTTGGTGGCAGCTTTTTATATATAAAATGCCAAAGCCGGCTGCAGTCTAGGGTGGACCAGTAGCAGTGGGGAAAAGGACTGAGCAACCTCTGGCAATTCCCCACTCAATTTGCCCTTCTCCAGCTGCTTCTTACCAGGAGAGGGGGGCATGTAGCTTGAGGAAGGAGAGATAATAATAATAATAATAATAATAATAATAATAATAATAATTTATTATTTGTACCCTGCCCATCTGGCTGGGTTTCCCCAGCCACTCTGGGCGGCTTCCACAAAGACCAAAAATACACTAATATGTCATACATTAAAAACTTCCCTGAACAGGGCTGCCTTAAGATGTCTTCTGAATGTCAGGTAGTTGTTTATCTCTTTGACATCTGATGGGAGGGTGTTCCACAGGGCGGGTGCCACTACCGAGAAGGCCCTCTGCCTGGTTCCCTGTAGCTTTGCTTCTTGCAATGAGGGAACCGCCAGAAGGCCCTCAGCACTGGACCTCAGTGTCCGGGCAGAATGATGGGGTGGAGATGCTCCTTCAGGTGTACTGGGCCGAGGCAGTTTAGGGCTTTAAAGGTCAGCACCAATACTTTGAAAAGCATCAAGCAGCTCTTGTTCAAGATTGCAGCTTCAGTCCTTGCTTGGCTTTTAAAATGGGATGGTTGGTGGTGGATATTTTTGCGGTGCCTTTTGATTTCTATGTGTTGTGAAAGGGGGTTCTGTGATCTGGTGAAGAGCATTAACTTGCCACAAGACCTCTCATTTTATGGTGAGTTTGGTGTTCATACGGTTTACAAAGAAGTTGGAAATGTGGAGTTTGTTTTATTTCACTGAGGATTCCTCTCCCCTTTGTTAGATCTGGTTCCAGAATCGCAGAGCCAAGTGGAGGAAAACAGAGAAATTGACAGTGAAAAGCAGCAAGAAATGTTCAGTTGCAACATTGGCTTTGTCAATAGGCCGTCAACAAAGTTCTCAAGGGTGAGAAGCCTCCACAACTCATGTTGAAGATGGATGGTAGTTTTTTAAAGAGAACAGAAAGTGATACAAATGGCAGCAAAATCTTCTTTTGTCACGTGGGTTTTCCAAGGTTTTGGAACTACAGAAACTTGCAGAACCTGTTTCTTTGGGAGCAAAATTGACATGAGTGGACACACTATGATCTAGGAGGAATCTCTCAGGTCACTTTTAGCACTTTGGCAAAAATACATTCCAGTCTCCAGGATGAAGCTTATATGAATGACGGGCGTTTGTTTTCTCTCACAGCCTTTTTCTTAATTTCATACTTTCTGTTAATGGTGCTGGAATACAAAAATGTCTGTAGCCAGAAGTCTACATTCTAGGTACCCAAATACAATTCAGTTTTTAAAGAGTATTTGGTTTTTGTTAATTGCAAATATGTTTTAAAATACAGGTTTTTGTGAGTTACAGAAGATATAACTAAAAGGTATAGGTGCTTAAACAACAGACAAAATGTGTGATGAGAGGAAGTTGACAAAAAATGCTTTTTCCCATCAGTTCCTTTCCAAATTTATGATGCACCCCCCTTCAAAATAGAACTGCCTTATGAGTTACGCTAAGTGATTTTTCTCTCTGGAAATTGTGTGAAATTTAAATAAGCTTTCTTAAAGCAACTCTTATGGAATACAACAAATCCTTGCTTTTATACTGCCCCCCCTCCCAAATTTATTACCCCCAACTCTTACCAGTATTATAGGGGTGTGGCTTTGGATTCCTGTACAGCTTTTTATCAATTCCCATGTTTCCTGTTTCCTGTATCCTTCTCCTTATTGCCTCTCTTCCCCCTTCCCCAATGCCTCCTCCTCCTAATAATAATAATAATAATAATAATAATAATAATAATACTTTTATTATTTCTACCCCACCCATCTGGCTGGGTTTCCCCAGCCACTCTGGGCAGTTTTCAACAGAACATTAAAAGCAGAATAAATCTTCAAATATTAAAAGCTTCCCTAAACAGGGCTGCCTTCAGATGTCTTCTAAAAGTTGGATAGTTGTTTATTTCTTTGACATCTGATGGGAGGGCATTTCACAGGGCGGGCGCCACTACCGAGAAGGCCCTCTGCCTGGTTCCAAACATCCTCTCAGCAGAGCAGCCCTGAAATATGATAAATTTTGCCTCGACAGCTGTGATATTTGGGTTTGAATTGGAGGGGGGGCATTTGACAGATCAGCCAACCAAGCTAAAGAGAGAAAATGAATATTCTTGTTCTGTAATGGAGCTGCAAAGGCGTTATCTTAGTAAAGAAGGCGACAGAATCTCTTTTCCTCAGAAGACAAGGAAATGGAAAGTGAAGCAGCATCGAGGGGAAGGTTTGCATTTTGCCTTCTGCCCATTCCTCCAGTCTGGTGCAGTGGTTGAGCAGTGGACTTGTAATCCGGTGAACCGGGTTCGATTCCCCACTCCTCCACATGCAGCTGCTGGGTGACCTTGGGCTAGTCACACTTCTCTGAAGCCTCTCAGCCTCACTCGCAGAGTGTTTGTTGTGGGGGAGGAAGGGAAAGGAGAATGTTAGCTGCCTTGAGACTCCTTCGGGTAGTGATAAAGCGGGATATCAAATCCAAACTCCTCTTCTTCCTCCTCCTGATCATGCTGTTAAACTTTGCTTTCAGTATAACTCTGCTGCCTGCACCCCCCGTATCTGACATGGTGCACGATCAGCCTTCTGCACTCATGATGGATGCCGCACCTGATGCCAACTATTCTAACATGCTCAGTGGATCGGCCGTGCCACTGGCCGCCTCCTCAGGTGAGATCTGTTCAGCTTGTGGCACTGGTGACTTGGGTAGGGTTGGCCCTTGCCTGACTTCCTGTTTCCCTACTTTACTTCCTCTCTCAGTGGAAGGTCTATTTCTCACACGGCGCAGCACTAAATCGAGGCCTTTATCTTCATGGGATAAACACAAGATTGTTCCGTTCACATTTTAAGGTGCGCACGTAAAACAGCTTTGGCATTTTTGAAAAAGGCTGTAAGACAACTTGTAAACGGAGGATTCTTCACATCTTTCGTTCCTTGGAATACAGCAGAGAAAGGCTGATGTTGGAGCACACCAGGGCAACTACCTGTGACTCTGTTTTTTCCCCATCTACTTTCCACAAATGTAATGCTTTTAGAAAGGAAATATCTAGTCTTTGTGTTTGACCTGTTATGCAACTCTGCTCACTGGAAAGAAAGCATGGCTTTCATTTAATATAGGGAAACCTGCGACCCTTCTTGAGTTGTTGGACTTCATCTCCCAGCAGGTCCTGTGGTTGGGGGTGGTGGGAGCATCATCAGGAGGGCTACAGGTGCCCCCCTCCCCAGGTTAAAACCTCCCGTGTTTCCTTGCTTGTGGCATATTCCACTGTGCCTCACTGCGACAAAGACTGATTCCAGAATGCTTCCCTTGACTTTTCAAATCTTGCAGCCAGGACTGTAAAATTTGCTTTCACTTTGTAAGAGCAAACAAAAATACTCCTCAGTTTCATCTGGATCCAATCTGGTTCCAATTCCACAATCAGACAATGGGTAAAAAACTTAGAATGTAAAGGCCACTTGAGAGAGGCGGCGTAAACCCTTCTTGACTCTGAGATGAAAGTTAACCGGCTGCATCTACAAAGCAACTCAATGAGATTTTCTTCACTGGTGAAGGCAAAAATGAGTTACTGGCTTTCATATTCCTTTGAAGATAGATCAGTAGATAATCTCAGAGTTGTGAGTTTGAGCCCCACAAAAGATTCCTGCATTGCAGGGGGTTGGACTAGATGACCCACACGGTCCCTTCCAACTCGAAAGTTCCAGGGTAGTCAAATGCCAGGTGGCTGCTCCCTCCAGACTCCTAAAGGAAAGAGGCTTTCACTGCCCCCTTCATGTAAAGCATTTTTAGGGGAAACTTAACTGAGGCTCAGGGACGCGGGTGGCGCTGTGGGTTAAACCACAGAGCCTAGGGCTTGCCGATCAGAAGGTCGGCGGTTCAAATCCCCGCGACGGGGTGAGCTCCCGTTGCTCGGTCCCGGCTCCTGCCAACCCAGCAGTTCGAAAGCATGAAGTGCAAGTAGATAAATAGGTACTGCTCCAGCAGGAAGGTAAACGGCGTTTCCGTGCACTGCTCTGGTTCGCCAGAAGCAGCTTTGTCATGCTGGCCACATGACCCGGAAGCTGTACGCCAGCTCCCTCGGCCAGTAAAGCGAGATGAGCGCCGCAACCCCAGAGTCAGCCACGACTGGACCTAATGGTCAGGGGTCCCTTTACCCTGTTACCTGAGGCTCATGCCTGGCAAGAGTGAAGAGTCCTTGGAGCAAACTGAAGGTGTGAGTGAAAGCACTCTCCTCTTCTTCCTCTCAGCCGAGGATCAGCAGCTGGAGTGGGAGATGCTGACTGAGAAACAGGAGCCGGCCAACTATCATAGAATCATAGAATCATAGAGTTGGAAGAGACCACAAGGGCCATCGAGTCAACCCCCTGCCAAGCAGGAAACACCATCAGAGCACTCCTGACATATGGTTGTCAAGCCTCTGCTTAAAGACCTCCAAAGAAGGAGACTCCACCACACTCCTTGGCAGCAAATTCCACTGTCGAACAGCTCTTACTGTCAGGAAGTTCTTCCTAATGTTTAGGTGGAATCTTCTTTCTTGTAGTTTGGATCCATTGCTCCGTGTCCGCTTCTCTGGAGCAGCAGAAAACAACCTTTCTCCCTCCTCTATGTGACATCCTTTTATATATTTGAACATGGCTATCATATCACCCCTTAACCTCCTCTTCTCCAGGCTAAACATGCCCAGCTCCCTTAGCCGTTCCTCATAACTAGCAGCACTTCAGTAGGCAAATTGGCTCGGGGTTTCCAAGTGTCTTGAGGACAGCGTTGAAAGGGATGTTCAGAGAGGGGTGGGAAGAGAGAGAGCCAAAGCAAAAAACCTCTGAGGGTATGTGGGACTTGGAAGCACTGGCTGTCTTTACCTGTCCAGGTGAGAGCTGGGAGGGCAGCCTGCCACATGGGAGAGAAGTGTGGCTTCTTTTCAGTATAAAGGTAAAGGTACCATTAGGTCCAGTCGTGACCGACTCTGGGGTTGCAGCACTCATCTCGCTTTACTGGCCGAGGGGGCTGGCGTACAGCTTCCGGGTCATGTGGCCAGCATGACTAAGCCACTTCTGGCGAACCAGAGCAGCGCACGGAAACACCATTTATCTTCCCACCGGAGTGGTACCTATTTATCTACTTGCACTTTGACGTGCTTTTGAACTGCTAGGTTGGCAGGAACAGGGACCAAGCAACAGGAGCTCACCCCGTTGCAGGGATTTGAACCACTGACCTTCTGATCAGCAAGTCCTAGGCTCTGTGGTTTAACCCACAGCGCCACCCATGTCTCTCTGTTTAGTATAGTGCTAGCTAATAGTGTGCTTCCGTAGAATGTCCTTTGGCGCAGTGACATCACACCCCCCCTTGCAGTTTAGTGTACTGCCAGCAGCTTATGTATTGTTTGATAAATTTTCCCTAGGGATAGGCTAGCCACCTTTCAGGCTGGTGAACTTCATTGGGCTTGATAGATCACAAGTTGTGCAAATCTGACTCAGAGAACGGAAACCTTAGCAGCTCCTTCCTTCACCTGGTCCCTGCCAATTCCCAGTTCAGAAGCTGGGGCAGAGAGAAGCTCCTCTGCTCCTTGTCTTAGGGCAGCAAGCAGGGCTGGGAGGAAACGCCTTTTGCGAAGCAAGTCTCAGAACTCTCAGTTGTTGTGTCAGTAACAACCAGAAGATGGTGATCTTACACAGGCTTTTAAGGACGAGGCTTTCCTAGTGATCTGGGAAAAACAAGTGTTGGACAGGTAGCAACCTTTCCAAGTCATGTATTCATGGATGGTGCTGATTATTTGGAACCGTTCCAAATAATTTTGAGAAAGCAACAGGTTTTGTTTCCTGGTAGTTGATTTACATCAGGGCAGGGGGAATGATACTCTGGACTTCCTAGAGGGTTTTTGACCACAGTATTCTTCTGGATCAGTTGCGTAGGTTGGGCTTACAAGACAGATTTTCAGTGACTCCAGTAGCTGGATGAGTATCTTCAGAAAGTACTGCCGTGGGACACTGTTCCCACCCCATGGCCATTGGCTTAAGGCAGGGTAGGCAGCCCAAGGGCCAGATGTGGCCAAATCGCCTTCTCAATCCGGCCCACTGACGGTCCGGGAATCAACATGTTTTTACATGAGTAGAATGTGTCCTTTTATTTAAAAGGCATCTCTGGGTTATTTGTGAATGAGCTGAGGTTAAATTCAGAGAAGTTGTAGGTTGGGAGATTGTTTGCTCCATAAAGTGGCTTACAGTTGATCTTAGTTTGGATTGCTTCAAATATTTAAATATTTGCTATCTTACTCTTGAGCCAAAAAAAAAGGCTTCAAGTGTTTCTATACAGATTATTTCAGAAAAGAAAGAAAGACCGGGTCCCCAGACTTCGAATATGAAAAGACATGACATGGGAGGAAAATAGATTGGGAGGGTAGAGGAGATAAGCACATGCATGCGCTTAAGTTCCTACTTAGAAAAATATGGAACGCAGAATAGAAAAGAACAGCTCCCTAGAGAGAGTTCACCAGAGTAGTGATTGGAAAACACTGCCCCAGACTAGCATGGTGATTGAGGCTGAGCATCATCTGCAGTGTGCAAATAATAATAATAATAATAATAATAATAATAATAATATATCGCGCCTATTTAGCTGGGTTTCCCCACCCACTCTGGGTGGTTCCCAACAGAATATTAAAAGCACACTAAAACATCAAACATTAAAAACTTCCCTATACAGGGCTGCCTTCAGATGTCTTCTAAACGTCAGTTGTTTATTTCCTTGACATCTGATGGGAGGGCGCTCCACAGGGCTGCGCCACCACAGAGAAGGCCCTCTGCCTGGTTCCCTGTAACTTGGCTTCTCGCAGTGAGGGAACTGCCAGAAGGCCCTTGGAGATGGACCTCAGTGTCTTGGCTGAACAATGGGGGTGGAGACGCTCCTTCAGGTATACTGGACCGAGGCTGTTTAGGGATTTAAAAGTCAGCACCAACACTTTTAACTGTGCTCAGAAATGTACTGGGAGCCAATGTAGGTCTTTCAAGACCAGTGTTATATGGTCTCGGTGGCCACTCCCAGTCACCAGTCTAGCTACTGCATTCTGGACTAGTTGTAGTTTCTGGGTCACCTTCAAAGGTAGCCCCACGTAGAGCGCATTGCAGTAGTCCAAGTGAGAGATAACTAGAGCATGCATCACTCTGCCGAGACAGTCCGCGGGCAGGTAGGGTCTCAGCCTGCGTACCAGATGGAGCTGGTAAACAGCTGCCCTGGACACAGAATTGATCTGCGCCTCCATGGACAGCTGTGAGTCCAAAATGACTCCCAGGCTGCGCACCTGGTCCTTCAGGGCCACAGTTACCTCATTCAGGACCAAGCAGGGTGTTACTTCAAGGCTAGGGAAAAGTCAATCAGCCAACAAAGTGAAAACAGCCCTACCCCAATGCACACATAAAATGAGCTTCAGACCAAACATGCCACTGCTCTGCCTCAAAAATAAAGGGATGGGGAGGAAAACCTGGCCTCCGTGGCCCAGGTCACACTACTGCCTTTGCACAAGGTAGCCACCTGGGCAAGAGAACGGGAGGCACCAGACTGAATACCCATGCACAGAGCGGACTCCCCCCCCCCCCATTTTCTTGGTATCAGTAGCAGCAGCCTCAACCAGTTCTAAGGCTGCCTCTCTCCATCTCCAGCAAAGCTCTTTATGTACCGTGTTTTTCGCCCTATAAGATGTACCTGACCATAAGACGCACCTAGTTTTAGAGGAGGAGAACAAGAAAAAAAAATTCTCTCCCTCTCTGTGCAGTGCCTCTCCAGCAAAGCGAAGTCAGAACAGCAAGGGGGATCGGTGTCTTGGAATTGCAATATGGACAAAATATTATGTTGTATTCTGTGGGTTCGAACAACATTGTCACCTTCCACTGAATGACTCTCACTTTAATCAATTGTAAGGCTATTAAAGAGTCTCACAATAGGAGCTGAAATGGTTCCCAGAAGCTGAAATAGTAATTTTTGCTCAGTTTGAACTCTGTGATGAACACCAGTTTTGCAGGGTAATAAGGAAGGTTCTAATGGCGGGGGGGGGGGGAGTTTAACAATTTTTGTAAAGCAGTTTCATGTGCTTGTGGAGTACTTTTGACCCCCTAATACTATTTGTAATGATATTAAGAAAAGTGAGTAGTTTGCCTATTATTGTAATAGTAAAAATATTGGTCCTTTCCCCTCTCTGCTCTTTTAAGAGAAAAGGTGATTTATGCATCTGCCAGTATGATAGGAACTATTATAGGAGCTACCTTATGTTCTTAGCTTCTCAGTTTTCTCATTCACTTCCATGGAGACAGTATTGACACCCAAACCAGTAAGAGCTGGTTGTTGTTGTTTTTTACGAGATTTAGGAGGGAGCCCTTGAAAAGCTATGCAGCAATTTACACCTCATCGTTGTTGGGGAGCATCTGGACTGTGGTGTTGTAGAAGGCTGACACGGAAGTTTTGTGTTTTTGTTGGTGCTGTCAGGATGGCACCTGTTGAAGGAAAGATAACTGGATCCCCATAGGTGTCAACTGTGAATTTACTCCGTGCCCTGTCTCTGTCAGGCTCATTGTTCCCCTTCCCTGCTGTGATGAAACTTGCACCCAGTATCGGGGAAACCTCTTCTGTGTTGGGACAGGTGAAGTGTCACTGACGTCAGACAGATGTAATTGTGGAACCACACAAGCAACTCCAGAGGAATCCGGACTCTCCCACAATCCCGTTTGCTCTTCTGGAGAAGGGTGTGATGTGACTCACGTTCCCTTTGACTTGTTTTGACACGATCTCCTAGGCTGTGCATCAGCATATGCAATTAACAAACTGGAAAGGTGGTTCTTAAACTGAAGGTGAAACAAGCCTTGTTCTCAGAACGATGCCTGAGGGTCACACCACACATTATGCAGAGGCAAATGTAGATTTGTTGCTGAGGGTTCACACCACAGGGAGCTGAATTCAACAGTGGCTCCCAGATTATGTTGATGCATGATACAAGTGTGTCATTCCTGCATGATAAAGGTAAAGTGAACCCTGACCATTAGGTCCAGTGGTGGCCGACTCTGGGGCTGTGGCGCTCATCTCGCTTTATTGGCCAAGGGAGCCAGAGTACAGCTTCCGGGTCATGTGGCCAGCATGACTAAGCCGCTTCTGGCGAACCAGAGCAGCCCACAAAAACGCCGTTTACCTTCCCGCTGGAGCGGTAGCTATTTATCTACTTGCACTTTGACGTGCTTTCGAACTGCTAGGTTGGCAGGAGCAGGGACTGAGCAACGGGAGCTCACCCCGTCATGGGGATTCGAACCACCGACCTTCTGATCAGCAAGTCCTAGGCTCTGTGGTTTAACCCACAGTGCCACCCGCGTCCTTCTTGCATGATACACATGCTCAGAAAGACCTGTTTGTCACATCCACACATTGAGGAGTAGGCTTTAAAGAGCTTGGGTGCAAACCTGGAAAATGTAATGTGAACTTGAGAACAACTGTCCTAGGAAGGAGGCAACAGCGTTGTATCATACCTGCAAACCCTTTTTCCGGATTCCATCATCTTTTGACTCTTTCCCTGCACTCTTTCACCCCTGAATCTTCTGTTTCCTTTCCACTTGGTCCCCTCACCCCTGCTGTCAACCTCTCTTATATAACGTGTTCTTCCTTTTTCCTTTGCAGCCGACTCTGTTGCTGGCAGAACAACCACATATGACTCCGTCCAGACGAAAGACATCTCCCAGGGCATGTTCAGTTCCTTCAAGAAAGAAATCTTTCCTCCTGTTCCAAGTCCTCCACCCATTCGTAGAGCCAGCCTCCCATTCAGCATGGTGTTTAACCCAAACAACCACATTGTTCCACTGATGCTGGATACTCCCAGCAGTGAATATAGTCCTTCTAGCCAGGAAAGTAGCTGCAGTGAGGTCTTTGCCTACAGCATCCAGAACCAAAGGTAAGAGAAGTGAGCCTGGTGGGAGTCAGGTGAAGGCACCTCACCTCAGAGTTCATCTAGATTAATTTGCCACCCAAGATAAAAAGGCTAAGTTGTATTCCCATAGCTGTTGGCTTTCTTCCTGTCCCACAAAATTGGTTGTCTTTATTTGCGTTCCAAATTTACCATCCACTGTGAGTGCATCATCTATGAGCGGATGAACTTTGCAGGACTTTCTTACCCCCACCCACCAGGCATTTGAATTTGAATTTCTTATTTTGGTCACAGACCAGTTCCAGCCCACATACAATATCAAGGAAGTCATAAAACACGATAGGGATACCTTTGAATTTGCAATTAGGTATAACAGGGACAATACAGATATAGCAACAGTTTAAAAATATATAAATTAAAACTTAGTCACTAACATATAACCTAAAATTATCATTTAAGGCCTTAATCATTATGATAGCACAGCTTGTTCCCTAAGTTTTTTGGCAATCACACAGAATTTAGCTACCCTTAACGTGATCTCAGGATCCTTGTCCTCTACCAGGGATTTTAGACATTGAAGTTCGGACCCATTTGAAGATTTTTGTATAGCAGGAATGATAAATGCCGAGCGTATATCCCCATAGAAACAGCAGCGTAACAAGACATGAGAGACAGTTTCTACCTCCATCAAGCCGCAGGGGCAGACTCGTTCCGCGTATGGTTTACCCTCAAATCTGCCCTGCAACAAGGCAGATGGCAGCTCGTTGAATCTAGTGAGCGTAAATGACTGTCGTTATTTAGGTATTTGTAATTTTGACAACTAATTTGCTGGGGTAAATCCTCTCCCATTATCTTTTATTGCTGGGTGTTTATTCATCTCGCTCACGTGGCATTGCAGTTCCACATCCCAAATTCATCGGCGGATTATTGCTCTAGCTTTCTCATAACCTACAGCTATCAGGGCCTGTGGGGAAAACCCCATGCCTCTTAGCTTTTCATGCAGTGTAGCTTTCCATTTGGATTGGTAGGAATCCTGTAGGGTTAAGGGTGCCAACCCAACAGGGAAAAAGATAAGTTTTAACCGATAATGGATCTTCAGAATACATATCCGGGCTCTAACAGGGATTTGCCTGACCTCCAGGCAGACAGCTATGTTAGACAGACAAGAAGGGATCCCTAGCAGACAGTGATAGAACTTAGTTTGGAATGGTTCTAAGGGAGCAAGGTCTAAGTTAAAGCCATGGTTTTCCCAGTAGTAATGTATGGAAGTGAGAGCTGGACCATAAAGAAGGCTGATCGCCGAAGACTTGATGCTTTTGAATTATGGTGCTGGAGGAGACTCTTGAGAGTCCCATGGACTGCAAGAAGATCAAACGCATCCATTCTTAAGGAAATCAGCCCTGGATGCTCACTGGAAGGACAGATCGTGAAGCTGAGGCTCCAATACTTTGGCCACCTCATGAGAAGAGAAGACTCCCTGGAAAAGACCCTGATGTTGGGAAAGATGGAGGGCACAAGGAGAAGGGGATGACAGAGGACGAGATGGTTGGACAGTGTTCTTGAAGTGACAAACATGAGTCTGACCAAGCTGCGGGAGGCAGTGGAAGACAGGGGTGCCTGGCATGCTCTGGTCCATGGGGTCACGAAGAGTCGGACACGACTAAACAACAAGGTTTAAGAAGCTGCAGATCCACCAGGCACGCACTGCAAACTTTGCATGTGTTCTGAAGTCAAGTGTGGCACGAGGGACCTCAAGGGTGCTCTAGTCAAACCCCTAAGTGGCCCCTTGTTTCATGGCAGACAAAATTCAAACAAAGGCATGAATGCGAGTGTTCTCACTGGCTGTTTTTCAGCTCTGGAACTCCGCTTCACTTGGGCTATGCCATACAGTGGGACTTCGGTTTAAGATATGTTACGATAATCTTTATTGTCATTGTCCCATCCAGAACAACGAAATTGAAAATATCTACATCAGACATTCAAAAACCAATAAGCCTGCTATCCCAGTCTGGTTAGCCCCCTAAAAACTCTGATACCCCATAATTAAATACAATATATTCCCATAGAGACTACCTTACACTGCGTTTAGAACCAAAATCGCATTTGGATAGAAACTGTTTCTCAGGCGGCTAGTCCTAGTCTTTATAACCCTGTACCTTCTTCTAGAAGGCAGAAGCTGAAAGAGATCATTTCCTTGGTGCGCACTATCCTGCACTATCTCTGCAGCTTTCTTATGGTACCTGGCAGCGTAGATTTGATCCAAGGTGGGAAGAGTGCACCCAATTATTCTCTCCGCAGTCTTTACAACCCTGGACAGCATTGTTTTTTCCCTGGCCATGCAGCTCCCAAACCCCCCACACAGACCATAAGTTAATACACTCTCAACAGTACAATGGTACAATGCCATTAATAGGTCCTTTGAGAGATTATTTTTCCGGACGGACGATTCGGTTTATGAACTCCGCAAAACTGGAAGTAGTGTCCTGGTTTGTGAACTTTACCCTGGTCTAAGAACGGAATCCGAAGGTGGAAGGGCACCAGTAGTGGGAGGCCTCAGTAGGGAAACCGTGCCTCGGTTTAAGAATGGTTTCAGTTTAAGAACGGACTTCTGGAACGGATTAAGTTCATAAGCCGAAGTACCACTGTATCTTGAACTTCATTTGGAGGAAGTGTAAAATATTTGTATTTGGGCATGTGAGGGGGGGGGTCCCCCCCGAAACATTTCAAAAATGGATGCTTTGTGAGTATTTGCATTTTCAATACAGTCGTACCTTGGAAGCTGAACAGAATCCATTCTGGAAGTCCATTCGACTTCCAAAATGTTTAGAAACCAAGGTGGGGCTTCCAGTTGGCTGTAGGAAGCTCCTGCACCCAATCGGAAGCTGTGTCCGACGTTTGGCTCCCGAAGAACGTTCGCAAACCGGAACACTCACTTCCGGGTTTGGGGCGTTTAGGAGCCAAAATGTGCGAGTGCCGAGGTGTTTGGCTTCCAAGGTATGACTGTATATTGGTTCCCCCCTGCCAAAGAAACCCCAGTTATTTGTCTTCATGTCTTGTGGAGTGGGTTATAATTCTTAACAATGACTTGTGAACTGTTTCTTTCCTCCAGCGTCGACGCTCCTGCGCATTGCAGTTACCCTGAACAGCTGGAACCTACTGCTAACCTAGAGACCCCATATTACCACCCAAATAGCCAGCCTGGGGTTTACCAATTCAGCCAGTATCCTCAGCACCAGGTGTCCCAGTTGCACCATGGCCCAGTTCACCTTGCTGGCACTGCATTTTCCAGTGTCGGCCTCACGCCAGCTATGCCTGGTAAATCCACCACAGCTTTTCTCCCCATGCCTAGCAATGGGGGACTTGTAACCTATGGAGCAACAGAAGATTCTCAGGGCTACCTGCAGAACCACGCAGGAGGACAGCTCCTAATACAGCCACCAGCCGGGAACTCGGGTGAGTACCTCAAACGGAATTCCGCCCAACGTAATTGATTCCTTATTAAGGGAGAGATGCCATTGGAGGCACTGTCAGCAGTTGACTGGATTGAACACTGTCGGAAGGTCCTAAGGCTCAGAAGGGGCCCTCACCAGCATTCTGGGTGAGGTGGCTGCACCACTGCCAGCATTTAACACAGCAGTTACAAAAGGCTTTTTAAACGTGGAACTTTTTATTATTTTATTTTATTTTATTTATTATTAGAAATTTTTTATTTACAAACAAACAAACAAACACATAGGCACGAAACAAAATTCATATTACTCTACCACCTTAAATTACAGACATTAAAACATCCTTGTGACTTCCCTCCACCGTCCCTCACCCTCCTATATATTATAATATAATATTTCACATTGCAATTTTCATCTAAGTTTATATTTCTTAACTCTTTTAACTTACTGTTTATTTTAACCAGCTTTACCAACATTAATCCAAACACATCAACGTGTTAGTTTTTGAGCTGTGCACGGACATATAATCTTCAGACAATTTCCATTGTATTTTTATTTTTGGGTTTGATTGGTACCTTATTACTGCAGTTAATCCTGCCAATTCTATAAATTCAATTAGTTTATTTATCCAGTCATCCTTAGTGGATATATATTTTAAATGCAGAACTTTTTAAAAAGGGTCTTTCTGTGGCAAACTGCAGCAGCGGTGCAGGCCTTCTTCTAGAACACCCAAATTTTTATTCAAAGGATTAGCATGACTTAAACTGTTGCTCATGGTAAAGGTAAAGGTAAAGGGACCCCTGGCCATTAGGTCTGGCTGTGGCCGACTCTGGGATTGCGGTGCTCATCTCGCTTTACTGGCCAAGGGAGCCGGCGTACAGCTTCTGTGTCATGTGGCCAGCATGACTAAGCCGCTTCTGGCGAAACCAGAGCAGCGCACGAAAATGCCATTTACCTTCCCGCCAGAGTGGTACCTATTTATCTACTTGCACTTTGAGGTGCTTTTGAACTGCTAGGTTGGCAGGAGCTGGAACCGAGCAACAGGAGCTCACCCCGTCGTGGGGATTTGAACTGCCAACTTTCTGATTGGCAAGCCCTAGGGTCTGTGGTTTAACCCACAGCGCCACCTGCCTCCCTGTTGCTTTAAAATCCCACAGTGGCTGAAACAGCATAAAGGAATTCTTTCTTTTCTCCCCCCCCCCCGCCTTTCTCTTCTCCTTTTTTCGCTTCTGCCTTCACCCAGGCTATATCCCTGTGCCTTGGAATGAATTGTGTATGCAAGGAGTTCCATTTTCCAATCAACTTTGCTCACAAATGCAGTTTTCCGGCTCAGGAGGGGGATGTTATTCAGCTGAGCAGGCACAGAACCTTCAGAACCAGAGTGGGCCTCCCAGTCCTTGTCTGCTGCAGCTGCCCAAAGCAGAAGGGCCAGGATATGCTGCTCTCTTGCTCCCTACTGAGCAAATGGCAGATCTCAATTCAAACCTGGACCACCAGTCGCAGACACAACACATGGCGCTACTTGAGGAAGACTCTGATATGGACAAAATCCCCAAAGAGGAAGAGAATATTTCTGGTGAGTCCTAGTCACGTGGTCATAATGAGATAGTCTGGAATGAAGCATTAAAATGAAGGCACCACACTAGGTGTGATGGTGTGAGAGCTGTGGTTGCATCTCCCGATGGTTGGTTGGTTTATTTAAAGAGCAAAATGGTAGTGGAGCCATTCAGAATTAGGCTGTAGTAGGAGAAGAGGAGGGTGGATAGGAAATGGTTTTGAAGTTGTTTTTTGAGTTGTTGGGAGCAGAACTGAGGTGCCCATAGCACACCTCAAGGAGGTCTTGATGATGCTCACAACCTCCGCTTCACTGTTGTCCCAAGAGTGAAATAAAAACCCATCTTGTGGAAATGGGAGGTGAAGCAGGCAGTGAAAGGAAAACTAGAAGGTAGCAAGGTAAACTGCTGTTGGGGCCAAAGGCCACCCCCTTTGGGCCACCCCATACCTCCCTCAAAGGATGGAGTGTTGACCCCCCAGCAGCACCTTTCCTGGACCCTCAGGAGAGAACCTTTGGCTGCCTGTCACTCCATTCCACCTTGCAAGCAAGGGTCAGGGGCTTGCAGTCCCCCTTGATCCTCCCTCACATGAGCTTGTAAGGGCAGGTGAGTATGTTTTTAGCATTTTTCTTGAGTGCTGGGAAGAGCCCAAGCTCTTTTTTGCAAGCTGTTTTTGAGACAAAACATGAGGGTTCCTACTCATCCACAGTAGCAAAGTTGGTTTCTGGAAGCAAAGGAGTCCCAGGTGGAAAGCTTTTGAGTGGCAAGGAGGGCTATCCTTGTGCCACACAGAGAAGTTGAGGACTGGGAGTGAAAGACCAGGATCCTCCACAGTTCCACCAAGTGAAATCCCAAATTGTCACTCTGTGGAATATCCTATTTTAGATGCATAAGGATTCAAGGCATTTGTTCGTTTATGGCATTTAGTCCTCAATTTTCTTGGGTATCCGGGATTGTGCTGCCCGTACAGAAGGCCTTCTAGGAAGGAGCTGAAATGTTCTTGTTGGCTTGAGGCTGTGGGCAGAAAGTTGCACCTCCCGGTCAGCTAGATAGTCCTGTCCCTGCCATCCCTCTGAAATCCTTTAAGTGTGGTTCCTCAAATCCATGCTGATAGAGCATTCTTGCTTGGAGCTCCCACCACCTCTGATCCACAAATGGGATTGTGTTGATGCTTCAACCCACCCCACTCCAAAATCTTGTGTCAATTCTTTCTTTATGTGCTCTGAAAATGTGGGTTATATGAAAAAAGTGTACTGGCGACAGCAAGCAGCCATGGTCAGCTGAGGAATACAGTCATACCTCGGGTTACAGACGCTTCAGGTTGCATTTTTTCGGGTTACAGACCCGCCGAAACCCAGAAGTACCGGAACGGGTTACTTCCGGGTTTTGGAGGTCACACATGCACAGAAGCGCTAGATCACGCTTTGCACATGCGCAGAAGTGCCAAATCGCAACCCGCGCGTGCACAGACGTGCCGCTGCAGGTTGCAAACGTTGCGGGTTGTGAACGTGCATTCCACACGGATCAAGTTCGCAATCCGAGCGTCCACTGTACTAATATTAGGGTCAGTGATAATACCAAGGTAATACCCCAAGTTTAACTGAAAGTTCCCAAAAGTAAATGTTGCCTTTTTTTTGGATTTTCCTTTGTAGTATGGGTGAGGCACAGTAACATTTTCTCTGCGGTTGGAGTTACAACTACACATAATGTCATTGCATAATTTAGGTTAAAGCTATGTGTTTCTTTAAAAGCTGGGACATGATCAAATATAGCAAGGGATGGTGCTACAGGGGCATGTTTAAAGGGCTACAAAAACGATGCTCCTAGTAGCTGTAAGAGAGCCTTTCTGCTTAAACTACTTCCCTTCTTCTCATGGGGGAAAACAGTAGAGCTGAAGCTCTGAAATGAGCTGATAAGCAAATGCTTCCTTTGGTGGCCAGTTCCCAAACAGCCATCTTCTCATTGTGGGTCACTCTATTGTATGCTGGTGACCCCACAAGGTTCCCATGACCCGAGATGAAATGAGTCACTGTTCCCCCTTCTGGAACTGCTGTTCTAGATACTCAATTCCTGTTCCGGACGACCCCCTTACCATTCTGGCCTGGTGGCAATAACGCGGGTGGAGGGCTCTAGACTCAAGAAGGCTAGTATATGCCCCAAGAGGACTCTGATATCTGGCAACATTTGGGAAATAAGAAACACAACTCTCTGGTGGCTAGCAAAAGTGGTTTTTGCAAGGTGTTTTTTTTTTAACCTCTACCTCCTTTCCTAGACAATGACTTCACAAGATTATCCTGATCTTTATCTTTCCAGATTTTCCCGAAGACAGCAAGAACTGACTCAGAACTGACTCAGGCTTCCTCATGGAAAACAAGGGGGTTGCGAGAGAAAAAATATTATGACTTTGTTGTTTTTAAACCTTCTCTTGGAGATAAAAAGGAAAAGAATGTACTTTGTGAAATTCACTAAAGACTAAAAAGAGGAAATAACAGGATTGGCTCAATTGTTATTATTTAATTTATTATTATTGCTCTGCTGAGGAAGGAAGCAGTGAAACATCTTTCAATAAAACAAGTTCAGCCCTTTGTTTTGCATGGAACATGGCTTTTTGTTCTTGATACATCCAAATTTGTCTTCGTCCCTGATGAGTAGGATTCCTGCAGTTGTCAATCTGCTATAGAGAGCCCTAAGATTGGTGTGTTCATCTTCATTAGTTTTGCTAGCAAGAATTTTGCCCCACTAAGTCATTGGAGCTCATGGCTTACTGCCCATTCTGGCAGCTCTGAGTCTTGCTCCTCCGTCCTATGTTCCAAACAGAGCACAAGGAAGGGGGAATTGACCTCCTTGCTTTCTTTTCTTCAACATTTTATTTTCATTGATATACAGCTAAAGATATACAAAACTTTATACCCTAAACAAAGTATCTTTTGACAATATACCAGAATAAAAGAAAAGAAAATCTAATCTAAACAGAAACAGGAGGAAAGGAAAGGAAAGGGAGATGAAGAAGAAAGAAAAAGTAAAGGGAAAAACGAAGACTTCTGACTCTCTGTCAGCTAAATACAGTAACTTGTTCAAAGTATCCACTCAAATCGACACCCAACTATTCTGTTTACTGCAAGCCCAATGTTTTTTCAATCTTCAAATCCAGATATTGCAAGTTTGTTTTCTTTTTCATGCAAAAAGTCCATGAGAAGTTTCCAGTCCTTAATAAATGTCAATATGTTTCAGGCAGCCCTCTAAGAAAATCCAGGGCTGCAATACTTTATTGGTACTCTTTTGCTATCATCTGCCAGCACCTTACTCATTCCTGAAATCCTTAATCCAGCCTCCATGGTGGATTCCTGAGGTCCAGAAGAGGATAAGGAAGAATGGATTAGGTACTGCTCTGGACTGATGGGCCCTTAATTCCTAGCCAGTCGCTTTGCCAATATTTTTGGCTTAAACGTCAATTGTTCCATTTTTCACTTCAGCTCATGGCACCAGAAACAGCTTGCTTGTTGCTTGGGTTAACTTCCTGTTTAAAACAGCAGAGAAAGAGCAGATTTGGTGTTATCTCCTGGAAGGACATTTCCTCGGTCAAATGTTATCAGACAGAGACCATTGGATATTGCTGTTGATTAATATATCCTGTGGCAACATTATTATTATTATTTAAACCCATTACAAACGAGTCATATGCCAGTGAACTAAAGTTAAATGAACATGTTTAATTACTTGTTCTTTTTCAATTTCAGTTTAGATAGGATTTATGCCCCATTGGATGAAATGACTACAAAAGCTGGCCTCCATGGGGTGTAAGTCTCAGATGTTTTGAATAGTAGCAAAAGGAGTAGTATTTCATCCTTAAAAATACATAGGGTGTGTTTGTATGACTCTGTCCAGACTAGGACCTGCTAGTTCCACATCCTGCTGATACAGGTGCGCTAAATGTTGTTGTTGTTGTTTAGTCGTTTAGTCGTGTCCGACTCTTCGTGACCCTCTGGACCAGAGCACGCCAGGCACGCCTGTCTTCCACTGCTTCCTGCAGTTTGGTCAGACTCATGTTTGTAGCTTCAAGAACACTGTCCAACCATCTCGTCCTCTGTCATCCCCTTCTCCTTGTGCCCTCCATCTTTCCCAACATCAGGGTTTTTTCCAGGGGGTTTTCACTTCTCATGGGGTGGCCAAAGTATTGGAGCCTCAGCTTCAGGATCTGTCCTTGCAGTGAGCACTCAGGGCTGATTTCCTTCAGAATGGATGGGTTTGATCTTCTTGCAGTCCATGAGACTCTCAATTGTCTCCGGCGGCACCAAAATTCAAAAGCATCAATTCTTCGGCGATCAGCCTTCTTTATGGTCCAGCTCTCACTTCCATACATCACTACTGGGAAAACCATAGCTTTAACTATACGGACCTTTGTTGGCGCTAAATGTTAAGACACAAATATTTCTGTGCATAACATCAAATCGCACATGTAACCTTTTCTGTGATACTTGGCTCTTACAGCATGACCAAGCCACCATGCCAGAGCCAGCCATGGAAACTACGGTATCATCAACTGCACTGGAATAAAAACAAGCTGCAGGGTTTTATTTCATTTTTTTAACAGAGGCATGGTAAAATCCCCAACTGTAAATTTTGAGAGAAAAGCCCCGTTACTCTGTTATTTGGTCTACATGATGGAATTCTGGCTCACTGTGAGTCACTGAGAATGAGCTCTGTTGCATTTCCTCCTTTCGGGAAAAGTTAAATATCTGTATTTCAAACTTTTTCTATTCCTAATTTCCCTGGTTCTGTTCTCTCTGCCCCGCCATTCATTTTGCCAAACCCTCCATGTCATTTACGAAGTGTGCGTGCACACGAAAGCTCATACCAATAGCTAACTTAGTTGGTCTCTAAGGTGCTACTGGAAGGAATTTTTAAATTCATTTTTATTTTTATTTTGTTTCGACTATGGCAGACCAACACGGCTACCTACCTGTAACTATTTACATCTCTTGTTTGCCCTGTTGCGATTGGGCATCCCACACAGCTTGCCAAATCCCTAGAAATCCCTCCACTTCCATTTCTCTCAAATTACATAAACTATTGGTCCATGCTATGTTTCCAAGGGCTTTTCAAAAAAAATCAACCAATCAGCATGTAGATATAATTGAAAATCTGGCACTGCTACTCTGCCTTCTTTCTCATGTCCCCAGAGTTTATTCTCTCAAACAAAATGATTCATTTTTGTCTGCCAACTGCAGGAGGGTTATGCTACAAATGATGGATTTAGGACAGACCATTGGGAGAAATCTTCCATCTTGCTCCTTAGCTGATCCTAATCATATCTTTAAAAATCTTTATTAAAATGAGTAAAGCAGTTGCTTTGTCAAAATGTCTATATTAGGCAAAATTGCATATAAATGTATTCATTAGGAGAAATTTGCACTAAGATACTGAGGAATTTTCAGGAATACCTTGTGGGGTTTTTTTGTTTTAAATTCCAAACTCATTTGGAAATGTGGAAAATGAAATTGTGAGTGGAAAAATGAGAAACTGGAAAGGGCAGATGTGCCCACTCATAATCCCAGGGGAGTATATATTGTAGAAATGCAGCCTACTATACTAAGTTTAGTTCCCGCTTAGTTCCCATTGATTTCAAAGGGATTTAAGCCATGATTAATTTGTCTCATTAATTTTAATGGCAGCTAAATTAAGCTAAATAGACCCAGTCTGTTTTCTGTAACATGTAGTTTGGGCATGTTCAAATCCGTATGGAAGAGAAAACCAGGAAAAGGGTACAGTTTCAAGTCGTGAAATCTCTGCTGTTTTAGTGGAAGCTGTGCATTGCTGCTTTGGGTTTACAGTGCACAAGTGGGACTTATACACAAGGGATGCTAAGAGAACAAAAGCGATGAGTGGAGAATATATTTCCCAAGACTCTGACAGTTCCTCCTATGATGTCAATCCATGTTTGTTCGCACAAAACTTCTCCTTTTTGAAAGCACCTTTCTGCTTTTGCATTACGCCACAGTAACCGCAGGATATAAGCAAGCCCTCTCAACTCTGTGCAATCGAAAGGGAGATCTAGTCATGTTCATGTGTGTGAACTGTCTCCGTCAAAATTTCCTCCCTCGTGCATTGAAATTTCCCTTTTCGGAGCCAAAGATTTTCCCCTGCAGACTTAGGTGACTATGATCAGAACCAGGGTTTTAATACTAGGGAAATGCAAATAATAGTTACAGAAAAAATGAGTAGGTACAACCCTCACCAGTGTATGTCAGTAATTAACCTTGCAGTGCGTGCCAGAAAAATAAAAAGAAGCATAACACACTTCACTCAGAATTTATTATAAATATTTCCATGCCATCTTTCAGGACATACCACATCATGTGTAAATAACATATTTGAATTAAATTATCTCATTCCAATGAATACAGTGGTACCTCGGGTTAAGTACTTAATTCGTTCCGGAGGTCTGTTCTTAACCTGAAACTATTCTTAACCTGAAGCACCACTTTAGCTAATGGGGCCTCCCGCTGCTTCCGCCCCACCAGAGCACAATTTCTGTTCTCATCCTGAAGCAAAGTTCTTAACCCGAGGTACTATTTCTGGGTTAGCAGAGTCTGTAACCTGAAGCGTCTGTAACCCGAGGTACCACTGTAAATCATCTCATTCCCATAAATCGTGTCCCCATCACGGAGAGCACGTGTTGCAGTGAGATCATCAGGACTGGCCTCACTGTGTGGGTGGGAGCGATTGGATAGCCGCAACAACCTGATTGGTGGTCCCTCGGTTGCTGGCCAGATCTGGCCAATGGGGAATTTTGTGTATTAACCAAGGGACCTTTATATACCACTGCACGTTGTGTAGAGCTTTCTCTTTTGCTTCGTGCGCCGGATCACCCACCCAACCTCCCTATATTTAGGGTCTTGCTATGACCTTGCTGTGCCGTCGTGGGTCGTCTGCTTTTGGGACAGGGGCCCGGTAGGAATTTTCCCATTTGGCAGCTTGGCTGGTGCCACTTCGGTTTCGCCTGCCGCGTAGCAAATTGTCACAACTTTGTAAGGTTTGGCGGTTAGGCATTGGTTCAAGGTAGAGGGGAGGGGAGGTTGTCACACCTGCCCCTCCCAATATGTGACAGGGAATTCCATTAAAGGAATCCAGGGGCTCGCCATGCTTTTGTCCGATCCCCTTCCAGGGGTTAGGGCAGGCTTCCTCAACCTCAGCCCTCCAGATGTTTTGAGATTACAATTCCCATCATCCCTGACCACTGGTCCTGCTAGCGAGGGATCATGGGACTTGTAGGCCAAAAGCATCCGGAGGGCCGAGGTTGAGGAAGCCTGGCTTAGGGTCACGCCAGAGCAGCTGGGATCATTTGGGGTGAGGTTGCGTCTGTGGTAGGACCAACGCTCCCCCATTCTGTTTCCCCTTACTGACTTCTGCCGGAGTCCAGTTGTCAGTGCTGCCCTGCCAGAGGTGTAGATGCAGCTACTCGAACCAATGCCTAAGCAAACCACTCACATTCTGTAATCAATAAAGTTGTGGCCAAAATTATGCCAATAAGCTTAAACTGATATTGGTGTCAACTGTGTCTTTCTTTGGGAGATCTTGGGGGTCTTCACACGCAAAACTAAACCATTCAAACAGCAGTCCAAAGCATTTCATGGCCCAGCACAACACACATGTCAAACCAATGTGTGTATGTATATATCCATGCATGCATGTGTGTATTCCCCTCCTGGATAGCTCGGTTGGTTAGAGTATGGTGCCAATCATGCCAATTCCAACTCTACAATTGTATGTATGGGCTGGAGGATAATGGCCAAGAATCTGATGTTTGAAGTGATGGCTGTGTGGGTGGATGTCATAATTGAGCTCTGAATGCAATTTCTTCCTTTGTCATTCATATTTTTTCAGTTGGAATGGCCCACACACTGAGATCATTTGCCGGTAAAAAGGTAAAGGTAAAGGACCCTTGACAGTTAAGTCCAGTTGTGAATGACTCTGGGGTTGCTGCACTCATCTCGCTTTATAGGCCGAGGGAGCTGGCGTTTGTCTGCAGACAGTTTTTCTGGGTCATGACTAAGCCGCTTCTGGTGCAACGGAACACCGAAACCAGAGCAGTGCACGAAAAACGCCGTTTACCTTCCCACCGGAGTGGTACCTATTTATCTACTTGCACTTTTTGGGTGCTTTCGAACTGCTAGGTGGGCAGGAGCAGGGACCGAACAACAGGAGCCCACCCTGTCGCGGTACTTTCCTCCAAATGCCCCAGCCAGATCAGGTGTAAGGCAAGTGAGAAACTAGGGAGAGGGCCTTTTCAGTTGCAGCACCCATGTCTGCAACACTCTCCACAGGGAGGTTCTGCTGTTATCTGGTTAGTTCCTTTGGTCTCCTCCAATTTGTCTAATTTGTTTTTGTGCTGTTTTTCACTGCTGTTTTTGTTTTATGTCATGATTATGTCCCCCCTCCCCATTTATTATGTTAATTGGCATTACCTTGGGAACTGTTCTTGAAGGGTGGTGTAGAATTTTTCAAACAAATGAATTTTGGGGCCACTGTGTGGTTCCCAGTGTACCACGATAAGGAAATCAAAATCACCTCAAATAGCAGAGGAGGCTGCCCACTGTGTCTCTGCATGATGCTTTGCTCTGGCCCTGCATTGCCTCCACTCAGCTTTATCCCTGCATCTGGTGCGATGAATCGGTCACTCATTCCCCTAAGCAAAACCACAGGGAAATTGCTCGTCCTCAGGTTAGTCGGTCTGCTGTATCTCTGCATGGATAACTGCCCAGGTGCCTCCCTTCTTATGCATAAACACAGAGACTGGGTTTCTCTGAGAGATGTTCTTTCCAACCTTACTCTTACAGTGCCACACTCTAAAAGTAAACTTTTGGGCCCACAAGGTTGAGTTGTGCCACCAGTTTTAATTCAGAAAAAGTATTTCTCTGCTATCTGAAGTTTAGGAAACAGCCAAGAGTGGGAAGTCCAGTTATATGTTGAAACTGACTCACCGAGGCTGCAAGTCCCTTGCAATTTCCTCGGAAACGGGTTTCTCTGCTTTGTAACAAGCCTTCTCTTTCTACCAAAACTTCCCTGTGACGAGAGGAATTTCCTTCAGTCAGTAAACAGTGGATCCAGTCTCCGTGATCCGCTTTGGAGAATACTATCCAGTGTCCCCGGAGGCACTCCTTCCAGTGGAACAATCCATTTGGCGCATAATGGCGTAGGAAGAAAATAAAATAAAAAAGCTTTGTGGGGAGGACAGCTGAACAGCTGCCAGTTTAGTCATCCAGCAAAAATCTAACCATTTCTCCACACAGCGAGCTGAGCACCGCACCCTTGAAGGCTCTGAACTTACAGGGAGCCCTTTCATTTGTTTGCAGGGTTTCTTAGGCGATTAATTGCAACACTGTCAAACACAAATAAGAAAGGAATGTAGGTAGGCTTATATAAACTTTAAAAAACAACTGGCAGGAAAGCCCAGGGAGCTGTTACTCTAGAAACCCGGGTCTGGAACAAACCCAAACGTTACTGATTCCAACTCCACACCCAAAGGCAGGAGACTGCATGTACTGGAGCATGATGTGTTATCTCCTCCCATCATGTGCCCACAAAATGTTAACTCATTTCAGCGATGGCACAAACACAGAGCAGTGGTGAACAAATTGGCCCAGCTAGAAGGGTCTGTGATGTTTGCCCTCCAATTCAAAACACACACATACTTTCGTTCCTCTCTGTCTATGGCTCCAAAGAGCATGGGTTTGCTGTTCCATATTCATTGGGAACATGATATTTGTCTGAATGCTAATTTGCTGGAGACGGTTTACAGCTTTAAATAGCATCTGTGAACTGCAGCATGTTTTTAATCCTTTCTTGCTGTGCTGTGGTCCCAACCCGCCGCTTTTTGCTTTGGGAAGCTAGGTGCCATTGGCAGATATCCTCTGGACACAGACAGGAGGAGCTTTTGGGATGGGGATTTTCATTGGGGTTGATGTGCAGCCAACAGCCCTCCCACTGAAGAAGCAGTCTTGATGAGGCCTCCTGGCAGGTGCTATATAAAGAATAAAAATGAAGCAATCCAAGCTAAACAATGCAATTTAACACAATTTCACATACGTAGTTCGGTTTTGTTTTCTGAGCATGATTCATGGGGTGCGTGTGTGTGTTTAACTGGTAACATTGTTTATTTGAAGGCAGTGGTTGCGTTACTGCCTGAGAGGCACTTTACTATTTTTTAAAATAGTTTTTATTAACCTTTTCCACCCCACCCCCAAATTACATTATAACAAATACCAAAGTTCACCAATCCCAAATTATCCCTTCCCTCCCTCCCCCGAACTTCCCTCAACCTCCTTCTCTAGATTGCTTTTACACAATAGCAGTTCCTGCTTATTTCCTTTCCATTCATTTAAAAAATATTTAATTTTATAAGTTGTACAAATATTGTTACTTGTAAATGTTTACTCAAAACCTGCTAATGAGTCCAGTTCTTTGCATTGCTTTTGTAGGTATTTTGTAGGTATTCTGCAAAAACAATGATTTGCGGCGTTGATGCGGCCTGTAACACACACACACCCATAATACCTTGGGCCCCACATACTTCTCAGCCTGCCGTCTGTGTTTTGCACCATTGTGGCCATTAACTGAAGCTGAGCTTATGCTACTCTCTGTATCAACCAGGCAAGGACGAGCAAAGGGGTATTTCTGATAGCTCTTTCTGCTCCAAGCCCTTCAAAGTTTGAGACCAAATGGTTTCCTAAAGAGCTGTAAAACATTCCTCTGTGAGCCAGCATTCTTAGGCCAGGTCAACCCAGCAAGGGATAATTTTATTTTTAAGTGTGTGTGATGTTTATTGTTACCAACCCTGAGCGCCTGAGAAGCAAAACTGGATGTTGCCTGCAGGGGAGAATCAGGGGAGAGGAGTGCTAAACCACTAAATGCCTCCCTTCCTCCCTAATTTCCCCTGTAAATACCCCCTTCCCCGCTACCTCTGCCAAATGCTTTTCTCCTTGCCCAAACTAGTTTCCAGATTTGGAGCCTGGCCAATGAATGACATCCAAGGATTTGCAGGAGAATAAATATTTACTACTACTGCCCAGCCACAAATTATCCCACTGAATGCCTGTGTACCTTAGCATTGTGAACGTCAACATTTAATTCCATTCTTAGAAGTATCTGGATGTTATTTCCCTCAGTGTCATGAACCAAGATAATCACGGGGAGCCATACGAGAATTACTACCGTGTTTCTGAAAAGCTCTCAGCTCTTGTTGTATTCAAACATTTCCCAAAGAAATGTATCATAAAGATAATAATTCAGAATGGCTTTGGGGCCATTGCAACCATAAGGAATTCTCTCGTGAAGTGGGGAGGTCACTCCTGTGGTATCTTCAAGGAAAAAGAAACTCCCACTTGAACAATGAGCAGCAACATTTCAGGGTGGCCTCCTTCCTCAGACTGAAAATGAGATATTTATGTCGGGGGTTAAGTAACGGGAAAGAGCTGGCCAAATGTAAATAAAATGAGGAAACGGGCTGGATGCTTGAACACAAGGAAGTGGGTAAGGAAGACCTGGGCACCATGATCAGGAAGGCTGGTGGTTCCAACTTGATGACAGCGAGTCGAGGCCTTGGGAATGATGACGCCAAGTCATAGACACACCGGTCTGGCGGAGTTTTTAGTTGTTCTTGCTGCCAATTGCCAGAAAAGCAAAGGGCAAAGGCACTTCCTTTTCAGCTGTATATGTTGGGTGAGCAATCCACCAGAGATGGCAGGGCTCCACCCCTGATTTCCCAAAGTTATCAAGCTTAAATCCAAGGCTTCAGAGAAGGGAGCAAGGAAAAAAAAAATGCAGTTTGATGAGCAGCCTCCACAATGAGTACTCTGAGAATGTAACATTATGAACACCAGGACTGTCAGGCTCCAGCACTGAGGAAATGCATGTACCCTTGGACACCCAAATGTCTTCTTTCCCCAAACCTGCCATTTGTTGTGCTCCCTGGTACATGCAGTAAAAAAAGGTAAAGGTCTCCTGGACCGTTAGGTCCAGTAGCAGATGACTCTGGGGTTGCGGTGCTCATCTTGCTTTGTTGGCCGAGGAAGCCGGCGTACAGCTTGCGGGTCATGTGGCCAGCATGACTAAGCCTCTTCTGGTGAACCAGAGCAGCACACAGAAACGCCACTTACCTTCCCGCCGGAGCGGTACCTATTTATCTACTTGCACTTTGACGTGCTTTCAAACTGGTAGGTTGGCAGGAGCAGGGACTGAGCAACGGGAGCTCACCCCGTCGCGGGGATTCGAACCGCCGACCTTCTGATTGGCAAGCCCTAGGCTGTGGTTTAACCCACAGCGCCACCCGCGTCCCATAGAAGCTTTAACGTACAAAGCAGTAAAAAAAAAGCTACATTCAAAGGTTGCTGCCAAGTATAAAGGCATTTATAGTTGTAACTGAATCATCAGCTGTTGTCACTGAAAAGCTGTATTAAAATGGTGCAGAAACAACACCAAATTCTGTCTCCCCTGCCTCATAAAGAAGAGGAAAGGAGATTAATGTGTTGCAAGCACGTCAAAGTGCAAGTTGATAAATAGGTATCACTCCGGCGGGAAGGTAAACGGTGTTTCTGTGCGCTGCTCTGCTTTGCCAGAAGCGGCTTAGTCATGCTGGCCACATGACCCAGAAGCTGTACGCCGGCTCCCTCAGCCAGTAAAGCGAGATGAGTGCCGCAACCCCAGAGTCGGACACAACTGGACCTAATGGTCAGGGGTCCCTTTAACTTTACCATGGCTTGGACTGTAGGAGAACTTCCAGATCCATGCTTCTGTTAATAGCATTATTAATATTGGGGAGGGGGGGCTATTGGATTGTGTTTTTATTTTTACTATGTATTTTGTGGTTTTATATCTTGATTTTATTCTGTGAACCACCTTGAAACTCCTGGGTACAGGGTGGCATATTAATAATAATAATAATAATAATAATAATAATAATAATGTTGGAACCTGGGCAGCTGCTAGATGACAGTTGCAGGATGGGTGAGGAGCAGCAGAAAAACACAAGCCAAAAGAATTTCCATTGTAATTCAAGACTTACTAGCTCCAAAGTTAGCTAGTTATGGAGAGGAATATGTAGTACCTCCCAGAGAGAGCACCTGTGCATGTGCAGATTACCTTTCCCTCCTGTTGAGTAATCTGAGCCAGCCTCTGCACATCTAGAAAGGGGGAACGTAACCCCCCACCATAACGTTGCTTTAACCCTATATAAAGCAGCCACACACCCCACTCCTGGGTGTTTAAAAGTTAAGTACTCTCCTTGTGCTTCTGTTCCCGGTCCACCCACACCTACGCTGGTGTTGCCTTGGCAAACACAACTTTGCCTTGGCACTGTGGCCTGCGGTTCCACCTTCAGCACACTGAAATCGATGTGAGAATGCTTAGAACGACAGCCAGTTTCTTCTCCAGAATGCTCATCTTAAGAAGAATTGTTTCTACTGCATCTTAAAAGCTCTAAATCTGCCGTAGTCCGATTTGCTGGGAGTTTTCTGGGATAAATGTCACAATTGACAAACCCACGCACAAAGGCCAGCAGTTAGCTCAGCTCTGAAGATCTATTGAACATCAAACAGGGCTCTCAGTCAAGTGAAGCATTCACGCCCAATGAATGGCTGCCTTGTAGATTTATTTTCAGTAAGAGGAGAATGTGGCAGTCTGTGTCTGACAATGGAAAAATCTCTCATCTGGTTTTGCGATCCAGTTACAGAGCACACAAAACGGCCTCTGGTTCTATATAACTGTTTGGAGTCCTGAGTGTTGCAAGCTGTAATTACGCATTTTAGTTTCCCTCTTTTTTCTTTTCTTTTTAAACCATTGTAAAAGAGCAAAACAGAAAGAAGATGTAGCTCATTATATGTGCCTTGCAATTACAGGGGAACTTGCAGGCACCACCCACATTCTAAATATAGAAGCCAACAAGCCTCGATTAAGCTTCTACTCCATAGCCAGAACATACTGCTCCGTGTTACACAGGCAGATGATAATTCAGACCAAGTAAGCTTTAAGAATCAAGTTCCTTTCAAGATTAATTAAAATTATTCCATGGCAAACCATAATACAGTGGTACCCTGGTTCTCAAACGCCTTGGTACTCAAACAACTTGGAACCCAAACACTGCAAACCCGGAAGAAAGTGTTCCAGTTTGTGAACTTTTTCCAGAAGCCGAACATACTCCGTTTTGAGTGCCATGCTTCTGTTTTGAGTCTTACACTGAGGTCTGTCTGTTTTTGCTATTTATTTTGCGTTTTTGTTTTGTGGCTGTGGCTCTTTTTGGTTTTATGACTGTGTGGAATCCAGTTCAGTTACTGATGGATTGTGTGACTGCAGTACATTATTGCTTTCATTTTATGGATCAATGGTTAGATAGCAAAATCAGTGTTAAATTGCTATTTTAGGGGTTGTTTTTAAAAGTCTGGAATGGATTAATCCATTTCTATTTTCTTTCTATGGGAAAGCGCACCTTGGTTTTGGAACGCTTTGGTTTTGGAACGGGTTAAGTTTGAGAACCAAGGTACCACTCTATGGTTAAAAGAAGCTCTTGGGTGTCATCCTCATTTTGCTTTACAGTGGTACCTCGGGTTAAGTACTATGGGGTCTCCTGCTGCTGCCACGCTGCCAGAGCACAATTTCTGTTCTCATCCTGAAGCAAAGTTCTAAACCCAAGGTACTATTTCTGGGTTAGCGGAACCTGTAACCTGAAGCGTATGTAACCTGAAGCGAGGTACCACTGTATTTACGTGATGAATGGATAGACTGTCCATAATCTGTTTTAAAAGTGAAAATTACAGGTAAATGTCTTCTTCTTTGGCGATCACTCGTAGCCGAGTAAGATTGCCTTCCATAAACACGGTTTTAACAATGAGTCCGTAAGTGACTGTGGAGGCCAATTCTGGATCCACACATCCTTCCACAGTGGGGACATTGGTTTCCGGGTGGGAGTTGATCACAGTGTGGATTTGCCAAGCGTGCCTTCCTCTTAGCACATTTCTCCCTTGCATCCTGAGTTTGAGTGTCTTCAAAGCCCATGACACCTTTGGGAAAGGCTGTTCTCTTGCTTTGGAAGATGATCATCAGGCATCTGCACAACATGATCAGTCCAGCGAAGTTGATGTTGAAGAATCATTGCTTCAACACTGGTGTGCCCAGGCCTGCAGTCTACATTCCATTTTTTCTGCTATGTTTTTACAAAAGCTTTGTTTCTCTCTTTAGACAGAATTCTGTAGACAACTGAAAATTAAATTACCGTATATACTCAAGTATAAGCCGACCCGAATATAAACCAAGGCACCTAATTTTACCACAAAAAACTGGGAAAACTTATTGACTCGAGTATATGCCAGTTCACCACACCACAATAAAAAATGTGCTGAAAAAGTAGGCTTATACTTGAGTATATACAGTATGCATTTCACATTGGGTATGAGGGAGTTGGGTATGTTTAGCCTGGAAATGAGTTTGAGAGGAGATACGAGAGACATCTTCAAATATCTAAAGGACTGTCACATGGAAGAGGGAGCAAACTTGTCTTCTCCTGCTCTGGTGGGTGGGATCCAAAACAGTGGATTCAAGTTACAAGACATGAGATTCTGGCTAAACATCAGGAAAAGCTTTCTGGCAATAAGAGCTGTTTGACAGTGGAATGGGTTCCCTAAAGAGGCTGTGGACTCTGCTTCTTTGAAGGTTTTTAAGCAGAGGTTGGATGCCCATCAGTCAAGGATGCTTTAGCTGAGATTTCTGCAATGCCAGGGGGTTGGACTAGATGACCCTTGGGGTCCCTTCCATCTCTACAATTCTATGATTTAGGTCTTGAGTATAAAATGCGAACCCATCTGCATAAATTCTGTCCAAATGTTTTGACTCATCTCTTCATGTCTGTCACATGTTTTTTTTTCCCCAGCACCTAAAAAATACTCCTCTGCGTGGATATTCATTGTCAGTTACCATCCATTAAATCACTTCCAATATATATCTAAATTAATTTCAATTATTAGTCGGTTGCTCATGAATAGGATGCTTAAGTTTAATATTTGCTGCCCACCAAGTCTGTTAAAGTAATGGGAGAAAAGAGTCAGGATCTCACCCACAGGCAAGAAACATTTTCAGTATTTGAGATTTTTGCTAAGAAATACCATGAAAAAACAATTTAGCCCTCATTTCCCCTCCTGTGTCAGAATCAGTACACTGAAAAGAAAGGCGCTTAAAAAAAAAAAAGTCGCTATGTGGTCTTAAATCTTTATTAAGTATCAAATTTTCTCCAATGTAAGTTACATCCCAGTTGTTAAGTCTGAATAAAGAAGACAAACCCTTATATACAAGTTGTTAGATTTTAGCTTAACAAATATAGTACCTTCTCAAAATTAGATTTCTTTTAAACTTTTATAAACAAAGCATAAAAACGAAGATCAGTACTAAATAAAGCATTTTTAAAACAAATATATAACTTTAGAAATGACTTTCAGAATGCTAAAGTGAATAACTGGAGATTCCTTGAATGCTGCTAACGGCCCACTCTGACTGAGGCTCCTTTAGACCATTTCTCGGTTTCTACGAATAGCACAGCAAAGGATCATGCTGAAAATCATACCGAAGATCTAAAAAAAAGAAACACAATTGGCAAAGTTTCTCCATGAAGAATACCACGAAGGAGATCAGTGAATTAAATAATTTTGGTTTAGGTTTAAAACTGCAATGGTTCAAAGCTAGCGATGGTTTGGAAAGCAGTTCAGCACTGCTCAATTTCTGAAGTGCCCTCAATCCTCCCATCTTGCAGGAGAGTAGATCACACCAGCCTTTCAGCTTCACAGTGTTTGCCACTGCTGGTTTTCTCTCAGCAGGCTTCCCACCATTGGGCAATTGGGCCTGTTGATAGCTTTTACACGTAAGGGCCTTTTCGGTAGTGGCACCCGCCCTGTGGAACGCCCTCCCATCAGATGTCAAAGAGATAAACAACTATCTAACGTTTAGAAGACCTCTGAAGGCAGCCCTGTTTAGGGAAGTTTTTAATGTTTGTTGTTTTATTGTATTTTTAATATTCTGTTGAGAGCCTCACAGAGTGGCTGGGGAAACAGGGATGGGCAGGGTATGAATAATAAAAATAAAATGATAATAATAATAGTAATGTTCTTACACAGAACGCCATGTTTGGCATTATGCAACATGCAGCTATATGCCAACCTTATGGAAAATGCTGGTACTTACCATCACCACACCAACGCCAATGCCGACTGCCCCAATCACATTCAGCTTTTTGGTGAAGACTTCCTCAATAACTGTAGGGCATGCCTGGAAGAAAAACCAATCCTTCACCTTGTGTACTCCTATACATTAGAGTTACCAGCCGTCCCCGGTTCCTGGGGACAGTCCCTGGATTTGCAAATCTGTCCCCGGGAAACATGGCAGTGGCAGCCTCAGCAGTTGTGCAAAACATATCATATGAGGACTTCCGGTGAGGACAAATGGCGGGCGCCATGGCAGCAAGCAGCTCCTGAAGCCAGCCAGAGCCAACTGTGCTACCAGGCTGGCTGCCACTGCTGAAGGGAAACCAGTGATGTCCGGTAGTACAGATCTCCTGCCCCCTTCCCCCTTTGTTTTGACTCATGGGGGAGGCTCAGGAATTGTGGGCAGCCAGCCGTTGCCCAGTTTTTTTAAAAACTTTGCGCATTTATGTTTCACAGGGTGCGAAAGAAGGGCTTTGCACCTTTATGCAATATGCATGTGTGCTTGGGCCCAGGGTCTTTTGCCTCACCATCCCCACTACTGACTCCCTGTTGCTATTCAGCTTCCCCCCCCCCAAAAAAAGGGTCCCCGGATTCATTGAAAAAAAAATCTGGTAACCATATTATACACACAAGCACCAAAGAGATGGAATTTGCCACATTATGCTGAGATTTAGTAACATGAGGCATGTCCCTATCTGCGGCACAACGACATACCTGTAGCTGAATGGTTTCGAGGACACCGCTCTGTTTGGGACAAGTGTCTTCAATTGCTGCCTCAATAGCCCCTGTGAGGCCACAGCAGTTCAGCTAGAGCAGAGAGAAAAGTTACATTTCAGTTGTGTTTCAAAATACGGATGAAACATACAAGTCAACAGATCTGGGTAAATTATCAGTTTGAAGGACTTTGCTAAAATAAGACCTTTGGAGATTATTCAAAAACGTGCCTTTAGAAAAACCTACAAACCATGGAAGCCTCCTGTGCAGTAAAACTTCTCTAGAACTCAGTATAGTTATGCTCTTGCCCAGATTCGGCCAAAGACCAACTGCATGTAAATTCACACTTCCATGCAAGCCATCAATATGAACGTGCAATGAAAACACACACCCCACCCCACCAGCAGAGACCTGGATGAAGAGACTAGAAGCTGCAGGTGGAAAACTGTCTCACAGCTAAATACAAAGACTGGGAGACCAGGGTGCCTGAGGCAATTGGGTGAGAATTCCCAGAGGAACTTCTCAGAGCACCAGGACTGATCCGGCCAGCGTCTGGCCCCTCAGCTGAGCTTGAAGAATCAGATGCCTGCCATCACACATCAACAGTCCAGCAGTGCTGGGAGCACACCAGGGGGGAAGCTGTGGAACAAAGGAGGAGGAGGGCCTGTCTTCAGGCCAAAGGGGCTGGCCTTTTATGGTTCTGAAACAGTCTCTAGGGGGTGAAGCCTGGAGGAGGTAAAGGTAAAGGGACCCCTGACCATTAGGTCCAGTCGTGGCCGACTCTGGGGTTGCGGCGCTCATCTCGCTTTACTGGCTGAGGGAGCTGGCGTACAGCTTCTGGGTCATGTGGCCAGCATGACTAAGCCGCTTCTGGCGAACCAGAGCAGCGCACGGAAACGCCGTTGACCTTCCCGCCGGAGCGGTACCTATTTATCTACTTGCACTTTGACATGCTTTCAAACTGCTAGGTTGGCAGGAGCAGGGACCGAGCAACGGGAGCTCACCCTGTCATGGGGATTTGAACCGCCGACCTTCTGATCAGCAAGTCCTAGGCTCTGTGGTTTAACCCACAGTGCCACCCACGTCCCCCTGGAGGAGGAAGTCTGGGGTTAAAGGCATGAAAGGCCTGCCTACTCCCCAACTTGGTCAAGAGCAAGCTGCTCACTTGGAGCTATCCATGGTCCAGCAACCTTTGAGCAGCCTTGCACTGGACCGGGACACAACATATCCAGACTGATGGTCATTCAAAGAAACAAAATGCAAATAGCACCCCTTTCACATTAAAGGTCAAGGACCCCTGGCAGTTAAGTCCAGTCACGAACGACTCTGGCGTTGCGGCACTCATCTTGCTTTACTGGCCGAGGGAGCCGACGTTTGTTCACAGACAGTTTTTCCGGGTCATGTGGCCAGCATGACTAAGCCGCTTCTGGCAAAACCAGAGCAGCGTACGGAAACGCCGTTTACCTTCCCGCCGGAGTGGTACCTATTTATCTACTTGCACTTTGACGTGCTTTCGAACTGCTAGGTGGGCAGGAGCAGGGACCGAGCAACGGGAGCTCACCCCGTCGTGGGGATTCGAACTGCCGACCTTCCGATCGGCAAGCCCAAGAGGCTCAGTGGTTTAGACCACAGTGCTACCCGCGTCCCAGATTAAGCTGTTGCAAATTGGGACTCCTGGCTTTCATTCCTAGCACTCGCTGGCTCAGTGGAGATGGGATGTTTTTCAATCTCTTAGGCATGGTTAAGAGATTTGGAAACTCCCCCACCCCACCCCCCAAACTCACAAGCGCCTCCTCCCCTCCCCCACTTCAATTCTCCTCCAACTACGGACCGTGTTTGTGACGGATGCAACTTGAGCATCAATCACAGTCGCTTTTAAACACGATTGGTGAGGATGTTAACATCAACTATAGGTAGCACTTGTCCGGGAGGGGAAAATACAGTCGCATCATGGATAAGTGCTCTGAACCGGTTACAGAAGCAAAGAAAATAGTTGAGATCTGATCTGACTTACCGCGGCCTGAATGGCTCTCAGCGTCTCTTTGGTGGCAGGTTCCCTTCTTTTGTCGTATACTGATTTGTAAAAGTCCTGCACCTCCTTAACAATCTAAAAACACAAACAACATAATAATAATTCACCTCAATAATGATGACAGTGGTTACATTAATCTTTTTGCTTAAAAAAGGAGAAGCTGGAATATGCTGTCTACGAAGAACCACTCCTCATTAGAATCGTCGATTGAACTGACCCAAGCAGGATGATTAAGGTCTGTGTGGAGATAAACTTTAACCAAAAGTATGCTTTATGGAGATCGAGAAGCAATAAGAGCTTTTGGAATGGTGCAGCAATTAATTCGGAGTCGCCATCTTGCCAAAGGATTTATAGCCTAGAAGCCGGGAGGAGGAAATGACTTGTTTTCAGACTGCATTCCTGGTGAATCTCCTCAGAGGTTTTGAGAAAGGAGGCAGATTGGTGAAGATTAATGACGCTAAGACTGTTTTGATGTATGGAAGTGATGTTATATGGAAAACGCCTGGATATGGCTACTGGATAAAAAAAAAAATATCCACACAGGATTACAAACTGTTCTAACCAGCTTGTGGAGACTATCAGAGGTCACAAAGAGAAAGGAAAAATATATGAAAACAACAACAAGAGATGTGGAAAGACAATAAGAAAGGACTGGATAGTACTGTGAACATCATAAGGTTAGATTTGTGGACATTAAAACAGCAGTAAGAAGCAAGAAGTTGATTGGATCCCCTTCGGAACTTGAAATATGGGTACCCCCAACAAAAATTTAAAATTCGGCTGTGTAATTTGGAATTTATGTAATTTGGTTTGATTTGATGTGATTGGTCGGCTAATAAAAAATTATTCTTTAAAAAAAAGGAATATGCTGTCTACGACATGACTGCTGGAGTCCTTCAGGCTAATCTCCAAAACATTCCTTGCCCTCCCCGCAAATCTAACTTGGCCATATCTAGGGGCTTAATGTCTACAGAGGGGCAGGAAAGGAGGACGATAGGTGAACAGTACTTGTGTAGCTTTGAATTCTCAGTTGGGGTTAAAGCAGAAAACCGTGGTTGCATCTAGGTCTAAGTGGTGTGTACCGCATCAATCAGATGCGAGGGGTGGGGAGGCAGCCCCTATTCTACCAAAAAGGAATGCTTGGAATAAGGAAATACGATGTACGCTTTGTGCTGTCTTAAAGACTGACAGGTTTATTATTGGTTGTCAGACTCAATTTGGGGGACACAGCTTTGTCTTGGTTCCAGTCCTTTCTGGCCAGGACAGAGCCTGTTGGTGGTGCTAGTGGACTGCTGCTGTATCTCATGGCCTTCTGCTTATGGGATGCCTCAAGTTCTATTCTGTCCCCCTGCGTATTTATTATTACTACTACGCTACTACTATTACTACAACTACAGCCCCCATAGTAAACCACTGGGGAAAATCACCTGGAGATTTCAGCTGCCAAGTCCTGAGAATACTGGTGACCCAAAACTCTACTTCAAGTTTCTATCTGCTAATCCTGAGCAGATTATTTGGAGGCAGAATTCTGGATGTATAATTCTGTTATAATTCTAGATGGCATATAAAATCAACTTTAAAAATATGTCTGCCTTACCTTTTCCTTGTTTGAAAATCCCAAGATGGCAGCAGCTACTTCAAGGGCAAAAATCACAAGAAGGAAGGTAAAAAACTAGAGGCAAAGGAGACGAGAGACATTTTGAGTAAGGTCATGGCTGAACAATAGTTTATAAAACCATGAGATGATAATACTTAAGAAGTCTATAGATAGGGCTTTAGAATGCTCTGTGTGCTTCGTAAACTTTATCTCCGTTACCCTATCACAGTCACCTTCCAAGGCAGGTTAGTAGGCTCAGTGTAGCAGTTCATGTAAGACCACTAAGGACATTGGAGGAGACATCGGAACGAATGGCTTCCTAGCTCACACTTGCGCAGCCCAATCCTATGCAGCTAGAAGTTCCACTTTGTTCAACAGGACTTACACATGCATGCTTAGGACTATTGTGATAAATGCGTATAAAGTGCTTTGACTCCGTTGAAAAATTCTCAGTGCAAAAACAGAGATTTCTTCTCTTACCTAATGAGCATGTTACTGCTAAACACATCTGTGAACCCTAAGTGACGTTTCCCCAATACAGGTAGCCTGTCACTTATGCAGGGGTTACCGTACTTTTCTGTGTATTAGTCGGGGTCCCCCCCCAAAAAAAATAACGTTAAGAAATGGGGGGTGGGTGTCTTATACATGGCCAGTGCATTTTGTTGAGTTGGGATTTGTTGGTCTGTGATGTCATTGCTGGCTTTGACAAATTCTGGTGTCTACTTGCTTTTGCTGCAGTAATAATGTGTGCGTTTTTGTTTTTCATCGAGGAAGGAACAGCTGATAGGTGGCTTTTGCTGTGTGTGGGCGGCAGCGCTGCTTTGACGGGTGAGTGATTTTCGGCAATCTCCCCCCTTAAAAAAAAAGCTTAACAGCTCTGGGCAACCTCCCCCCATTTTCTTCAGTTTGAGTCCCCCCAAATAGGGGTCATCTTATACATGGGGGCATGTTATACACAGAAAAATAGGGTCTGCTCTGGGGATCGCACCTAAAGCCAAAATCGCATATCATCAAAACAACATTGGGTTCAAAAGCAGGTGGGATTGCCAAAGTCATTACCCCCCAGAAACCCTGCCTCCTATTTTTCTTTTTAATGTCAACACACCTAAAGCTGAATGTGCACAAGTTAAATGTGCAATAAATTGCGGGTTTACTGCGTTGCATTTCTCCAAGCACCGAATGTGAACTCTGTGATCAAATTATAGCCGAGTGTCCATCTGCACACCCTACTTTGCTTGTTGCACTATATACGTACAACGACCAACGGAATGGCGTCACTTCTGTTCCCGTATCTGGGAATTCCAAAAAGTAATGCCATGCACTGAGTGTTGGGATACTGCCAGGGAGACAAAGTCCATCATGACTCCACGTCGTCTCTGGATGTCCATCGATCTCCCGTAGACACGCAGTATCAGCAATTAGCGACACGAGCTCCAGAAATAGCTTGCCACATTCCAGAGCTGATGCACGCTCTATCAGCAGATAATGCACAGCGAAAGATGCACTCAGGAGAGCATTATTTACAAGTTTATTCAGCGTTGATCAGAACAAAGAAAACATGACTGCCTGCTTCAGTGTCTCAGGCGCAGAGAGAAAAAACGAAAGCATAGACACAACAGAAACATCCTGTGAACAGGAAATACGCAGGCTGTGACACAAACATCCTGCTCCCTTTTAAGGTGGAACAGAAATATCCTAACACTGAGAAGCCTCAAGCCTCACAGACTTGGAGCTGTGCTCCACATGGGTACTTACTGGGAAATTCCATGGGCTGCACCCAAAGCCTTAAATGGCTGTTCTAAATCATAGAAGCCCATAGAAAGGAGGACGAATTAGGGAGTGGAAATAGTTCAAAGGCAAATTATATCAAGACTTCCCACATGGAAGTAGATTTTAATCCCCGGCAGCTCTGATTAAAAGGGATCCTCAGGTAGCAAAACTAGGAAAGTCTTCTTGGAGAACTTTTACTGGATGAAGTAGGGAGCACTGGGCTCAAGGTATCCATGGTCTAACCACACAGGGGTCAGCAACCTTTTTCAGCCGTGGGCCGGTCCACCATCCCTCAGACCATGTGGTGGGCAGGACTATATTTTGGGGAAAGAAATGAACCGATTCCTATGCCCCACAAATAACCCAGAGATGCCTTTTAAATAAAAGGACACATTCTACTCATGTAAAAACACGCTGATTCCCAGACTGTCCACGGGCCAGATTTCGAAGGCGATTGGGCCGCATCCAGCCCACGGGCCTTAGGTTGCCTACCCCTGGCTCTAACGTGAATGAGTTTCACCATATGTAGGAGGATCCAGTTCTGTGACATAAACATTGAAATCTAACTTGTGTTGGCAACTTTTGCACAGTGTGCATTCTAGGAGGAGTTTATGTGCATTGTGAAGGAAAGTACTTCCTTTTGAAAACAGGATCCAGAAAGAATTCAGCAGACATGAAAGCGGTATAGCCTTCTTCCTACTGTAGAAACTAACGCCATACTTACCAAACCAAGCATGCACTGCGACTCCTGTATCGCTCCACAGCATCCCAAGAAACCAACCAACATTATGAGGGCACCAGCTCCAATTAGAACGTAAACCCCTGGAGGCAGATGGATTTTAAAAATCAAAACAGAGAAGATTTATTCTCAGCTAAAAAAAAAACTTCACATTTTCCAAGTTTGAACAACATGAAGGTTGCCAGCTACACTGCCACTACTATTTATGTATTACATTTATATACCACTTTTTCTTCTAAGGACCTCAAGGTTGTGTACATGGTTACACTAACACCATTATTGTTGCTTCTTTAAAAAGAAAACACTACTAGCCGTGTTTCAGAACAAGTCTCTATAATAATGGGTTTTTGGTGGTGAGTGCAAAGGACAGGGGGAAGGCTATTTTGTCTATTCCCATAATAGAAACCAGTCACTTCTCTTATCACCAGAAAAGGTTTACAACAGTCCTTTTTAAGAGTATTTCCCTCCTGACTAGAGACTCCCTCATGACCCATCAAAGGTTATTTATCAGTTGTGCAAACCTTAATAATCCAGCTTCTGGACTCATCAAGACCCCAATTGCATCTGCAAATGTCTGCAAGCAGCCAGCACCTTCAACTCCTGTAGTCGGCCAGACAAAGTGGCCATTCTCAGCCAATGGCCTTTAGATGACCAGTTTACCCATAAAGAAAGATATTTGCAATATATGTTGTGGAGGGCTGCCCTCAACACTTCTGAGTCACGGTACCTCTGTCCGTACCTCTGTCCTAAGGAATCCATAAAATCCTCCAATTTTATTATCGGCTTCAGCACTGAACTATCAGTGTGAGAGACGACCTTTCCCCTCGTGCATGACCGGTGGGGTAGGCTTTCCAACATCTTCCCACAATGCTTGAGGCCATATGAGAAAGTTACAACTGGCGAGCCATTAGTGCAAGTCAAAGATGACCTATAAGGAAGAGCATGCCATCCAAGTCTAGGGAGCATGGCATAAAATCCAGGCTGATTGCAATTCCAAAACACAAGAGGTTTAGCTGATGACATGTACAGTGGTACCTCACAAGACAAATGCCTCGCAAGACGAAAAACTTGCAAGACGAAAGAGTTTTTCATTTTTTGAGTTGCTTCACAAGACGAATTTCCCTATGGGCTTGCTTCGCAAGACGAAAAACGAAAACGTCTTGCAAGTTTGTTTCCTTTTTCTTAAAACCGTTAATACCCAGGGTGACTTCGAGGAGCAACTCATAGCACGCGGTGTGGTAGCCTTTTTTGAGGTTTTTGAAGACTCTGGTGATTTTGGAGACTTTGGGAAACCGTGCTTCACAAGACGAAAAATTCGCAAGACGAAAAAACTCGCAGAACGAATTAATTTCGTCTTGCGAGGCACCACTGTACATGGGGAAGAAGAAGAAGCAGCAGCAGTTACCCAGCATATCGAAACTTCTGCCAGACAAGGACTAGGAAACCAGTAACACCTTCATGGGGTTTTGATGGAATATATAACCATGAATATCTTTGCCAGTGTGTCAGTGGTCTGGGGATTAGCTAAGAAAAAACCGACACTGGTTGGTACTTTGGGGGTGGGGGGAGGAAGCAAGGGAGAAAATCCCACAGACTTCTTTGTCCACAAATCCAATTTTCCTACAGAGGGACTATCGAAAGAAAGGAAGGACAGCACTTTCCCTTTCTTCAAGGCATAGCACTGCATAGCAATCTAAGACCAGGATTCCATGCCTGGGATCACCCCCGCCCCAAAGTATTCTAAGGCTGCTTTACTGGGAAAAACTAAAGATAAAAACAGTACAAAATATAATAATTATTTTACTATATTAATATTAAAGGTCTTTCCCAAGAGTGGCTTGGCTTGCTTTGTGCTAGAATCTCTTAATGTGTATCCTTTAGCGGTGATGATGAGATATCAAAGTATCCAATTTTCTGCCAAGTGGTGGCATATCTACACAATTTCAGATTTCCAGCTAGATTAGAAGTGCCATATCCTTTTTTAGGGTGCACACTAGACCCCCGTTTCCAGCTGGGAGATATATTTTTGCACATTTTTAGAGACCAAGGAATCTGAGATGGCACATATAAAAAATTTTCACTTTGCCAAGGGCAAGGAAACACCCTAATAATTTTGGTATCTATGTGAACAGGTCATTCCATATCAAGCATATTTACACATCTTATCATTGGTTTCCTTAGTCACTGTTAATACTTTTAAAAGCAGTGTAGGTATTAGGTGTACTGTTCATACCATTGAGCAATAATTTTACAACATACCTGTATAGAATGTATTGTTATTCTCCTCCTGATCAAAAATATCTTTTGTCTGTTTATCAAATCGAAGCCATAGTCCAATTGCAAGGACTGCCGTTCCTGCAAGCTATGGAGAAAGGGATAGGGGACAAAAAAAGAGAATATTTTAATTATGCATTTTTACCATTTTAGGTGTATAACAAGTCAATTTTGGACAGTCCTCAGATATTATTGACTTTTTAAATACCCATATGCATTAGACTAATTGGTTTTTAAACTTGTGGTCCTTTGGAAGCTGATATCATGAAAAGGGGTTACCAGAAAGATTGCTTGTCGTGGCTACAGTGTTGCCTGGGGAGTTTGGAGAGCACTTGGGGTGAAAACACATGTGTCACCAATTAATATAGTCCTGTGCCCACAGGTTTCACAAAAGCAGCGAAGAGTGAAACTGCATTTTTGTTTAAATGGCTGAAACCATCTGCCAAATCATATTGATCCTTGAGCATGCCAATACGTTTACACCTTTCGCAATAAACATGTAGTTTATGTAGAAACAAGAGTTTGTAATGTTACGGAAATTACAGGGGGGACGGGGGGGGCACATCTTTAAAGTTAAATATTACAAATATTATGCCTGAATATATCATTCCAACTTGACAGCTCAGGGAAGTCACCTAGCTTTAAAAAATAATATAAAATCATCTCCTTTCCCAGTTCCCCCCATTCCAAAGCTTTTTTCCCCTTGCAAAAGGACTCCAGGAAGTTCCCAGAGTTGACAATTGCTGGGCTCATTGTTAGCCAAAGGAAGCCAAATCTCATCACCTGACTCGCCTCAGGCTCCAGACATGCAAAGGAACTTCTATTGTACTTTTGGGTGGTGGGTACTTAAGACATATTTGTCTATGCTAATCTTATACCTGAGTCTTGCTCTGCCATGTCTGCTTATGCTAATCTTGTACCAAGGACTTGTCTGGACATGTTTGCCAAGGTTAACCCCTCCCCTTCGAACTGTATTCTGGGATGTGGTGGGAAAGTTTTAAAAGTCTTTGTCACCCCATCCTCGGGGTTCAAATTTGCTTTTGAACCTATTGCGCAATAAGCTTTGGTCTACAGCTATTTGCTCCGGTTGGCTGGACTCCTTCCTTTATTCCGCAGGGACCCGCGGGCTCTGCCTGACAAGCTGGGTGACTGAGCAGCCTCACACCTAGATTTTTCCCTAACAGTAAGAATGTTAAGTAGAATTCTGCTGGGGTAACAGATAAAAGATGTAAGAATTGCCTGTTCTGATTCAGAACAAGAGAGGCCCATCTACTACCATCTACTGTTTTCAAGAGCTGCCAACCAAATGCCCTTGGAAACTCTCCAACAGGCCATGATCATTTGCTGCAAGCACCAGTACTTGGTCATTATGGCAGAACAGGAATTCTAGAAATCTTGGGTGGCAAATACAGGATCCCGGGATGGTTCTCTTTTAAAAAAGAGGGTTGGAGACGAAGAAGAGAGAAGAGAAAAAGCTTGAAGGGGAGCTGCTCACGTATCTTTTGCCTCTCCCCATCCCAAACTCTGAAAAGTTACTGGTTTCTTAAGAGTGTCCTCAAGCTTTCCTAATTCACTGCAAAGTTGTACAATTTGTGTTATGAAGGAGATTATTAAATTCTGGACACAAGACTGCCATTCATTATATTAATAATAACAATAAACAACAATAACTCAACTACTACTACTAAATGTTTTAATATTCATTTCTCCCAAACTGGGATTCTACGAAAGAATGCCAGCACTTTACAGCTTTCTAAGGTGAGCTTTCGAAGATGCGCATTCTGCTGTTGTGGAATGTCTGGCTGAGCTGGTTGGGCCTCATTGCCACACTGTGATCTGCAAATGCGCTCTAGAACGCACAGCCAGCACAATGTACATTGCAGAAGATTGGTAGAATTCCTTCTTTTTGAAGGAAGCTTGTCACTAATCTTGTCATTGAGAAAGCCCTTAAGTTTTCCAGATGGCAGTTTGAAACCCGCAGACCCATCTAGGGTATGGAAGCACCAGTGCCTGTTCACGGAAGATCCAATTCAAGGACACACTGTTTCATTTCTGAAAGCACAATTATTCTTGGGTACAAGGCGTTCCCAGGAGAAGACCATTAAACCACTGCATAAATGGTTTTAAGAGAAGAATTTACAATAATGTGTCCTTGCAACATTTCAGAAATTTATTTTTTTTATTAAAAAAAAATCAATTTGCAAATGTGTGTTAATCCATTTTAAAGTCTTAGATATATAAAATAGATGTTCATAAATGTACCAAGCAAACACATACAAATATGTGGTATATCTGAAGAAGTGTGCATGCACACGTAAGCTTATACCAAGAACAAACTTAGTTGGTCTCTAAGGTGCTACTGGACAATTTATTCTTTTATATATTTCAACATACAAATATGTAAACCACATGTCTGAAACCCACAGAAAAATCCTGAAACCATTTTCTCTCTTCCAAATTGACCTCAAATATTTCTCTGCCTCCCCATTGTCTCTTTGCTCACAAATCCTGTCTCAAGGGCACATTTAAGATATGAATAGGCTGAGCCTGTGACCTGGATTCAGGAGTTGAGTAGTTATCATAACAAAAGAGTGGCCAGGATGCCCAGGTAATCCAATCAGGTAACCTAGCAGACAGGATAAAAACAAAGCACTCAGATTTCTGTTGTAGTCCGCCCCTTCTCTGATGTATTAAGGGGGATGTCTTGGGCTACACCCCTTCTGTGCTGTAGGTATGATGTATCTGGGGTGGTGGTCTTGAGCTACAGGGTGGGCAATTTCAAAGTCTATATAAGGGCTTGTCTCTCCCCCCCTCCTGTGTGTGTATGTGGGGAGTACCCTGTAGCAATAGCTTTAATAAAGATCAGGCTTTGCTTCTCAATATTCTCTGGTTGGCCTCTGTTATTTTATCCTACCAATAGAGAACCTACAAAAGGACCTCTATATGGGCTCTTGGGTACCCCAGAAGGGAAAAGGAGCAGTTTTTTCTCATAACACCTCCAAATTTAGGAACACAGGGAACTACTTTCTGCAAGAGACCATTGACACATCTAGAAGTACAAAGCAATTGAAAGTGAAAGAAAGAGAAATGTGTTTATGAGAAATGGTGGGTCCTGCAACTCTGGGCTGGGTGGAATGTAAGGTCTGCATAAACTGAAAGCAACAGGCATCCTTCACCAGACCACGTAGGCTCTGGTAGTTTATCTCAAGACGTGATTATCTCCTAGGGGCAAACACACAAACAAGAGGGAGGAAGAGCAGAAGATCTTGTTTTGTGAGTGGAAAATTCCTACTATTCCCATGTGTATCTCTTTGGGTTATGTCACGCTTAGTAGAAATAGGAGTGTGTTTTAGCTGCTGGGTGTCCCATTTGCCTCATTCACATGGTGAGAGCAAGTTGGGAAGCACTGCAAAGTTCTCACAAATGTGTCATTTTACTGACAACGGTTTCTGGAGTTCCATCAGGCACTGCAAACATCCTGGGTTGGGGGCTTGAATCCTGACACTTCCATAACAGTGACCTGCTACATGTAAAGCAGATTTATACCTGAGCCACAGCCCTTCCCTTTGCAATGGCTTGCTAGACGAGAAAGGAAGCATCACAAATCCATCAAGAAGGTGAAAATGTAACATTTGATATCTCCTCAAACGCTAGTCTTTTCCCAACGGAGGCAGTTCACCCTAGAAAAACCTGTACAGTGGCACCTTGCTTTACAATCATAATCTGTTCCGGAAGTTCATTTGTAAACCAAAACAGGTTGTAACCCAAGACGCGCTTTCGCCAATGGGACCTCCCAAAAAAATTTGTTCGTAATCCAAAAAAAAAAAGGGGGGTGTAACCCAAAAAAAGGTTGCAAACCAGGACATGCACTTCCGGGTTTGACGTGTTTGTAATCCAAAACGTATGCAAACCAAGGAACCACTGTACAATGAAAGGAAGGCTGTACCCTAGTGTACAGAGAAGGTGTCAGGTTCAAGCCAGTGTTTGAAATTTGTCAGGCGCATTTTGCTCCTGGCTACCAAGTGAAGTTGCCGGGCCTCAGGATGGTGCCTGACACCATCTCAAGATGCAAGCCTGGGGATCCTTTAATCTCAACTGTTTTCACACGCTAGCAACACATCCTGTAGAATTCTGTTATATTTTATCTGCACAATCAGAATATTTCAGGAACCAAAAAGTCGTACAGTAGTACCTCGTTTTGCGACCGGGATCCCTTCCAGAGCCCCAGTCGCTGGCCGAAAAGGATGTTGGACAAAGGGCCGTGTCTGCGCGCGCACACAGAGAAGTTTGCGCTTCTGCACATGTGTGATTTAGTGCTTCTGCGCATGCGCGAACGGCGAACCCGGAAGTAACCCGTTCCGGTTATTCCAGGTTTGCAGCGGACGTTCGACGGAACGGGCGCTTGACGAGGCGGACGCTAGATGTGGTACCACTGTATTGAAAAATATGACTTTCGTCTATTTCTTTTATCTTGCATTTAATTGCATTATGATACAAAAGTATCTTTGGTTGAATTTCAATTTTTATGACTCTAGGTACTAATTCGCTGGATGTCCAAACATAGTCTACTCTTGCAGCTGATTGATTTGGTTCTGAAAAATGAGTAAATTGTTTTTCTAATATGACTTGCAAGCCATCTGCCCCTCTAATGGCAGTGGCAACCCTGATTTAAGGAGCCATTTGACATCTAGCTTATTTATCTAAGTTTCTAACATTGACTCAATCCCTGGCATTACCAGTTCAAGAGGGATATCAGTAGCAGGGCTGGGAAAGGCCTGTGCCTGAGATTTTGACTGGCAGAATCCGAGACCAGGGGGAAGAGTCGGTGGAAGAAGATTGGAAGAAATTTAAAGACTATTTACAGAAATATTGCAAAATTAATGAATGTTAGAATGATGTTGGATTGAAGTTAAGTGGTTTCTAGCTGTAATGGTACAAAAGAACATGGAAAAATTGGTTTTTAATATGTAAAAATTTAATGTTATAATATCAAGATTAAAGATTAGGACTAAAAAGGAGGGAAAGAAAGTGTTGGATTAACAAATTGAATTGGAATACAAAAGAGGGAGGTATGAGGAGGTCCGGGAAACAAGTAAACGTAAAAGAAGTGAAGAAAAGATGGAATTGTTTTTAACTGTTTTTTGTTTTTTCTACTTTGTATTTTTCCTTATTATTGTTAATTTTTTTCTTTTTAATGTGATTTTTCTTCTTTTGAAACTTTAATAAATATTATTTTTTTAAAAAAAGAGATTTTGGTGAACCACTGCCAACTGGAACGGATGGCGTAAGTCTTAAGTTGAACTTAAGATATTGCTAGAGGGGAGAGACTGATGGAACATCAAGGGCAAACCTTTTCCACCTGCCTCATGTCACCCCTTGCCTCAGACCTTTCTAAGGAGCAGCTGCCACCTAAGTATTTATTCTTGCTCTCTCCAGCATTTGTTGTGAGGGACCGCACTTCGCCTTTTTTTTGGAGGAACATGGCTGCATTGGGTTTTAAATATTTCTGAAATGTTTAAGATTTTGTTACCTTAATTTTATATATTTTTTATTTTGTATTCTTTTTTGTGCACAGCCTTGGGGGGCTCTCCCCCTTTTTGGGCCACATCTTATAAATAAACAGTAATGTAACATTTTGGATGAGAGTTATCCAGCGCTTTATCATTACGTGGTGAAATATCACATGTTACGGTTCCATGTGTGAGCTGACCCAGAGAATGCAGTGGTTGAATAGCCAGCAGCCTGTGAGGCAGGTCTAACAAAAGCAACACAACACACAAACAGAGCCAATCCTTTAATTCTGTCAAGGTTTCTTTTGTAGCTTGAAAACACCTCTGATTACGATTACGATATCTTTATTGTCATTGTCCCTTGCAGAACAATGAAATTGAAAAACTACATAAAACTACATTAAAACTACATAAAACTACCACAAAACTACATAAAACTACATAAAACTACTACAAAACTACATAAAACATTCAAAAACCCCTAAAAACTCTAAAACCCCATTTTAAAATACACTATACTACAGAGACCCCTTATGTTGCGTTTAGAACCAGAATTGCATTTACGTAGAAACTGTTTCTCAGGCGGCTAGTCCTGGCCTTTATAACCCTATACCTTCTTCCAGAAGGCAGAAGTTGAAAGAGATCGTTTCCGGGGTGCGCACTATCCTGCGCTATCTTCCGCTTTCTTATGGCTCCTAGCAGCATAGATTTGATCCAAGGTGGGAAGAGTGCACCCAATTATTCTCTCTGCAGTCTTTACAACCCTGGATAGCATTGTTTTTTCCCTGGCCGTGCAGCTCCCAAACCACACGCACAGACCATAAGTTAGTACGCTCTCCACAGTGCAATGGTAGAATGCCATCAACAGGTCCTTTGAGAGATTGTTTTTCCGGAGGATTCTCAGAAAATGTAACCTCTGCTGTTGTGGATCTCACTGAACGCTGAAGAGTCACTGCAATATTCTTACACAAGTATCCGCTGTGAACAGTGCTATATAAACCAGTTTCTCATATTTAAAGTCTCACATGCATCCTCTGCACTTGTCAGCCTTCATAAAAAGAAGGGCATCAAAAATGTACCAACGTCCTGATATGGAGGTGGTGATTAGCATCTCTTAAAGGAGATCTCAGCAGTTACATCGAGAGACGTTTCAAACATTGCCAGTGTAACAAACAAATTTTTCCTTCCCTCTTCTGGTTGTTTGGGAGTACATAGCTCCCCTCTCCCTCACAGTTGCTAGGATAAATGGATGGTTCTATCAGACCAACACAAAGAGATGCTGCAAGGTATCAAGTAGCTCAATGGCCACATTCCAGTCTAACATCCTCAGGTTCCTGAGAGCTACCCAATCATCTGGGCACAGGGCCACAAGGAGGAGGAAAGTGGAATCATCTGCTTCCATTTGCAAACTGGAATCATCTGCTTCCATTTGTAACCACTGAATGAATGCCATTTCATTCAAATTCAGCACAAACTTAGTTCAAAACAAATGCTCTAGTATAAGGAAAGTGTGAAGCAGCTTTCACATGCCCCAGTGTGACATCTGAACCAGGTCAGGGTGCTGTGGCATGAAGTTTTCATTGACAACACTTTATTGTATTATATATATATTTTTAAATGATATTTATTCCAAGTTTAAAATTACAAAAAAAGGAAAAAAACAATACAAAATACAAAGAAAAATTTAACCATAACAAAGCGAAAAATAACAAGAAAAAAGTGAACAATAAAAAAGAATAAAAAAGAAGATGAAACAAAAAATATAAAAATGCATTGAGTTAAAATAGAACAAAAACAGATTAAACCTTTACATAACCTTTTCCCTTTACTTATTTCCATGACCTCCTCTCACCTCCCAATTTTGTATTCTAGTTCAGATCGTATTTCCAGCAAATCCTTCTAACCTTATTTTCATTTGCGTATTTTAATTTAAAATAATGTAGTTAAACATCCTCTATTTCATCAATTTCATCAACTCATTTTTGCTTAATCCTTTATATCATATCTACCAAAACGACCTAATTTTCTAACACTTTATTGTATTATAAACACTTCTTAAGAAGCGATCCACAGCTATCTTGGTGGGGCGGGTAAGGTTCCTGGTGTGTTTAACCACAACTTGGCAATTAGGAAAGCAGGATAACATCTTCCCTGTAGACAACACCCTCTCTCCTGAAGCACACATTTCTCCTACTGCTTCTGGCTACAACTAACCTGGTGTAGACAGTGATATATCACGTAGAATTACTGCATTTCTGAAGAACTGTGGGCTGCCTTGTTTGCTATTGAAGTTACTTTTTAATGTCCATTGGCTACAAACAGTAAAACCGAAGGTGGCAGTAGGAGAGGAGAGAGAAAAAGGGGTGCAGTGTTGTGGAGCCTAAGGTCTTAGATGAGACAAGAATCAGAAGATATCATCTGAACTTCTTCTGCAGCGCACTTTGTGCATCTGTCTACACAGGAGAGCCATAAGAGGGGAGCCAGAGTGGAGTAGCTTAGCCCTTGCTTTTCTTCCTTTCTTTGCAAAGCCAAGCTGGCTCAGCAGCCAGGATGAGTATCAACTTAGCAAATTTCTAGCTCTTGTGATTTAGCATGACAAAGTAACCCAAAGAACAAACATACGTAATTGTCCTTCAATACAGAATCACACTTCCAGTTCAACATGGCTACTGCACACATGTGAAATGGAAGGCTGAATGCATTTTGGCACTCCATGTGCACTTTAGACAAAAGTTATCCACTCCTGGGAAAGAAAGTTAACTCTCAGTGCGAGGAAAGGGGCTGCAACCTCAGGATGGCAAAACTGTGCACAACAGAACAAACAAGGCACCCCAAGAATATTCCTAAGAGGCAGAACAGAGATGGCATGTAAGAATAGATGGTGCATGAAAACCCTCCACACGACTCTGCAGATATCATCCAGCAGATCTGCCTGCCACCCCAAGCCTTAACTTGCACCCACAGTGCAAGTCTAAGCAGGGGAAGAATTGGTTTCTGGCACAGTATGAGAAAAGCTGGCCATGCCTCACAAAGGATAGATGGTGCAATTTATGGTTGCAGAGGGTGGAAATAACCTTTTCAGTCACAAAGGAGAGAAAAACCACGTGGTGCCACAGAATTCCTAGGAATGGGCTGGGACTGGATTAGAGTTATGCTAGGATATCCGGGCACACAGTAATTTGATGATTGTGTATTGATTTCATAGTTGTAAACTATTTAGGAGCCATTTTGGCATATACCTATAAAATAAATAGATGGTGATGGCACCTAGAGCTTTTTGAACTATATATTTCAGACCTGTGCTGCCCAAAAATGTATATTTTTCAAATCCTAGAGCAGGGAAGATTCCTCCATAGCCAGTGGTTAAGGTCCTAAGTAAAAGGCAATTACCAGCTTCCAGTTAAAGCTGAGAAAGAGAAACGAGGGCAAAATAATCACAGAGAGGGATCTGAGTGCAAATGTCAATATAGCTCAATACATCCCTTAAATGAAGTGGGGGGGGGCATAAGAAGAGTTACGCAACAGCTACCAAGACCCTAGCACTGCACTTAAATAGGGCAAGTGGTATTTTCCCTTAGCAACAAAAACTCAGCTCCAGATTAGTCTCCTCGTGTAATTTTGCCCTAAATAGCCAAACATTGCTAGAGGTTAATTAGGCAATTTCCAGAAACTTGGGTAATATTCTTTCTGTGTATGCACCACTAAGCAACTTTTACAGCTAAATGATGTTTGATGAATTTCACTGACACCTATTTGCCTTTCCAATATGTAAAAGGGAGCCTTTTTCTAGACAGAATCACCCTTCAGGCTTAACCGGGACATCCCTTGTCTCTGCTGAACAAACATGGACACTAAGGCATCGGGGAAGATTTCCTCTAACGTGTAATTTAATCCAGAGAATAAACACTTGCAGGATAGGCCACTGCAAAATGCAAACAGAAGTCTGAGAATCACTTTGGGGCCTCGTGGAGGCGGGATGTTGCTCAGGCAACAATCTTTGGCATAAATGCCCCTATTCAGACAAATATAGAAAAAATGTCCCTGTTTTCATCAGAGACATGTTAGGCATGCAGTTTTCCATGCAAGTTCTAACCTTGGACATAACTTCACTTGGTGTTTGGAAAACTTGCACAGGATTGTGTTGTACACATAATTTGGCGAAAATAAGGACAATATATTTTTATCACATTTTGTATTAAACCGTGTAAATATATGGCATATAAACAACTTTGCTGATCTGCAAGCACTTTCGTAATTGATAAATTTCAATTTCCCACACCCAGCTTGGAGGAGACTTAGTTTCTCAATCCATTTCAGTTGGGTTTTAGACCTAGTTTTTGTACAGAAACTGCCCTGATCATCCTGTGGTAGTACCCATGCCAGAAGAGAGATGGGGAGTAGGAGCGTGTTGGTTCTCCTAGACCAGTGGTGTCCAAACTTTTCTCAAAGAGGGCCAGATTTGATGAAGTGAAGGGCTGTGAGGGCCGACCAAAGGGCCAACCTTTAGGATTGAAGTTCTTGAGCTTTTTTATGATTTTACCCCAAAGTTGTTGAGGTTTTTTTTTAGTATTTTTATTTTACCCCATTACCCCCAGAAATAAACTGCCACAGGGGCTGGATTAAACTGACCAATGGGCCAAATTAGGCCCCCTGAAACAAACTTTGGACATGCCTGTCCTAGACCTTTCAGGGCTTTCCATACCACTGATCATAGTACCCTTCTAGATTTTGATCATTGGGATTTAAAGGCACCGCTTTTATGGTAGTTGCCTTCTGATGACCGGTGCTACAGGACAACTCTCCCATTCCTTAGTACGGGGCAGGGTTTAATCTTGCTACCTATGCTTTTTGACATATACTGTATATATGGAATTGATTGAGATGCAATAAATATGTGGACATCAACTTCATTTCTATTTCTCATCTAATTTAGGTAAGTGGTAGTGACAAATGGGAGCTGAAGCACGCTAATAGACTGGATGAGAGCCTACACACTGAGGCTTAATCCCGCTAAAACAGAGATGCTGTTGCTGGGTGTTTCATCCTGTTTTGGAAGTGGTTGTATTCCCTGGGTTAACATGCCTGGGGGTGCTCCTTGAACAATTTGGAGATACCATTAACACCTTTGGCTGGTTCACATGCTATGTCCTGATGTGGCCAGAGATGGTAGTCTATTTTGCACTGGACCACAGGCTATTGTTATAGTACAGGCATGGAAACAATTCACTGTCTTGATCGAAGCATTCCTGTGAAATCCATAATTACCAGTTCATACTTGGGGGTGGGGACTGCGACAAGCAAATCTACTTCCTGAATACATGCACCTCACAGAATCTCCCACTATCTCCCATCTAAGGCTAGAGGCTACAGCAGGGACACAGGTGGCGCTGTGGTCTAAACCACTGAGCCTAGGGCTTGCCGATCGGAAGGTGGGCAGTTCGAATCCCGTTGTGAGCTCCCATTGTTCGGTCCCAGCTCCTTCTCACCCAGCAGTTCGAAAGCACGTCAAAGTGCAAGTAGATAAATAGGTACCGCTCTGGCAGGAAGGTAATCAGTGTTTTCGTGCGCTGCTCTGGTTCGCCAGCAGTGGCTTAGTCATGCTGGCCACATGACCCGGAAGCTGTCTCCCTCGGCTTGTAAAGCGAGATGAGCGTGCAACCCCAGAGTCGTCCGCGACTGGACCTAACAGTCAGCGATACCTTTACCTTTTTTAGAAGCTATATCAGGCTTCCTCAGCCTCGGCCCTCCAGATGCTTTTGGCCTACAACTCCCATGATCCCTAGCTGGCAAGACCAGTGGTCAGGGATGATGGGAATTGTAGTCTCAAAACATCTGGAGGGCCGAGGTTGAGGAAGGCTGGGCTACAGAGCCAAGCCTCTTAGGGTCCAAGCTTTATAGAAACGGACAGACTGTGGACATATTCATGACTATTCTATACAGGATCTACACTTCTCAAGAGGTCCAGGGTCTACTGCATGAACTTTTCTTGATGAAGTAGAGATTATAGTTTAAAACAAATCACATCCATATCCTACAAGTGAACATTTCCACATTTCTAGAGGCAGCTTCCTCTGTGCAAGAGAAGAGGAAGACATGACCTCATAGGCATTTCTTTCCACATAGACAGTAAACAGGGATGTTTGTGACAGCAGACTGACCACCCGCTCATGTCCCATGTGCAGATTATGCTTTACTTATGTGTGTTCACTGTGACACAACCACAACAGGTTTCAACATGGAAGAACCACGCAAAGCCGCCTTTCCGTAGCAACCAGTTCTGCTGAATCACAAGAGCCCATGCTTAAATGAACCGGGACTTCTGGTGGGTGCATCATGCCCCAGCATGTTCGATGCAGTTCACAGTACATACTCAGTAATCCTTTACAAACAGCCTTATTGGAGATGCATTGTGCATGTTCTGGAGATAAATGAATGGCTACTCAAGAAAATCTGCATTTAAAGGTTTTTACGTTGCTGTACTCCACCCTGACGGGTGAGAGCAAAACAGAAATACTGTACAAACAAATATAATTAAGAGATTACTGGTGAAACGAAGTGGTAAGCCTCATGCCGCTTAACATTTATACAGCATTTCAGATTTGTCATAGCTCGTCTGTCATAAATGTATAATGTACTATTAAGTTAAAATGTGAGCTGGAAGTAGAAGTACTGGTGAAATTATCAGAACCTTTAAATAATGGTGCACCTGAAACCTCTGAAATGCTGTATTTGTGTGTGTGTTTTAATATTATACTGAATTTTGCATTTATGGAACTACAGTGGTACCTCTGGATGCGAACAGGATCTGCTTCAGAGCCCCGTTCGCATCCTGAAGTGAACGCAACCTGCGTCCACGCATCGCTGCTTCCACACATGATGTCATTTTGAGCGTCTGCGCATGTGGCGAAACCCGGAAGTAACACGCTTTGTTACTTCTGGGTCGCTGCGGAGCGCAACCCGAAAATGTTTAACCTGAAGCTACTTCAACCCGAGGTATGACTGTAATAAAAATAATTCATCAAAAAAGGGGTTAAGGTTGCAAGATGTAGTAGGTGGGAAACCTGCTGGGAGACAGAGAAGAGACACTTATGAAACCCAAGAAAATCAAAATTTGGTTAGGATTCTGACAATTACACTACTTTAAGAATATAGTGCCTCAAAGTACGGCATTTCTGTTCATTGTACATCAAAGATAATTCATCGTATCTTTCTGAAGCTTAGGATGGATATCTACCTCTTGTTGAATCAAACTTCAGTAAAGTTGCTTGTTGTTGTTTATTTTAAAAAATGGCTGCCTTATAGTACTTTTAACATTTTTGCACTGAAGCACCGCTTTCCCACACTTGTGAAATGTTTAAATGTCTTTTCCCACTTTTATATTCCACTTTTCTTCCAAGGGGCTAAAAGGGGTTATACAGTCATACCTTGGGTTGCGAATGTGATCTGTGGGGGGGGGGGCACATTCACAACCCACAGCGTTCGCAGTCTGAAGTGCTGTGTCTGCGCACACGCATGACGTGATTCGGTTCATCTGCGCATGACATCATTTTGCGCTTCTGCGCATGCGCGAGCTCCAAAACCCGGAAGTAGCCCGTTCCGGTACTTCCGGGTTCGTTGCGGTCCGCAACCCGAATACACGCAACCCACAGCATTCGTAACCCAAGGTATGACTGTACATGGTTCTTCCTCCTTTGGATTTTATTATCACAACAACCCCATGAGGTACATTAGGCTGAGGGTATGTGACCTAGCTTTATGGCCGACTGTGGGTTTGAATCCTGGCCTCCCAGGTTTTACTCAAACAACCTAACCACTGCACCACACTGCCAAACAGGGCCAGATTTAGGTTTGATGAGGCCCTAAGCTACTGAAGGTAACAGAACCCTTTTTATGTCCAGCAGTCCTTTGTCAACAACAAATTGTCGCTGTTTTTTGTGTTGAGTTTATGCTATATGGTAATTTATGGACCTAATAGGTATCTAAAGCCATTTGCACATAACAAATAGGAGCCTATACAACACAAAACACTGTTGCTGTATGTAGGTTTTACTTTATTTGTTTTGTAATCTTATATTTTGGAAATGTACATCCAGGTGTTTTTTCCTTTAATTTTTTGGGGGGCCCCTAAGACAGTGGGGCCCTAAGCTATAGCTTGTTTAGCTTATACGTAAATCTGGCACTGCTGCCAAACATTGTGCAGTGACATATGGTAAGGTAAAGCATGTAAAGGGTATCTTTTGCAATGGGTTAGCCTTAATGTTCTGATAAACTGAATAAACATGAATCATGGCTTTTCTGGTTTCATCCCGGACGTGTGGAAGAATTACTCTGCAGTTTTTAGCTTGGCAACCAGCAATTATGGAGAAGTTTACTAAAAGAAGACAAATATTCCACTGAACCATTTAAGACATGTATTGTAAAATGATTTACAACTATTTGAAACCAATAATGATTGCCAAATAAAGGTTTGAAGATAAAATTATATGGTTGTCTATCCCCCCCCCCCAATTACGTAGTTTAGTTCAAAGATTTGCACTGTTAGAAAGCCTTTGATATCTCATTGCCTTTTTTCTGGGGGGATGCAGGGGGACGCATACCCCTAAACGTTTTGTGAATCTAATGGGAGAAGAAACTTAAATTTTTTAGTTTCTCCTCTAGCACGGTGAATTGTCAGTTCCGTTGCTACCCCCGATGGCAGCCTCATTTCCTTTCCCAGTATTTTCTGAGTCTCAGACAGAAGCGGGCGTTTAATGTGTGAAGCAGTGTGGAATGTGGATGTGTGGTGTTTTACTGGTGCAAGTTTGGCCTCACTGAGGGGCTGTATTTCAATACGAGTAGGAAAATTACTGACTATTTTTCATCAACACAGCCAGCAAACAAGTGTAAAGTTAATGATGACTCTGTGTAATATGAGGTAATGCATGTTCTTTGTACTTTTGTCCATTTACTGTATTTATTTTCCCGGATTTGAATTATAAAATGGAGATTTTCTTGAGTCACAATGAGAGTACCCCTAAACATTTTTTAAGGGGGGGAAAAAGCACTGGATATACTTATGCAGTACATAAAATTTACACAGCATACTTTTTGGGGTTTCCTTACAACACATAGCTCAAAAAAATGATAAATCAGGTAGCAATAAATTTTGGTGCACATGAACACTGGGTGCCAGCACTGTGGCAGAAAGCATGGGTGCACAAAGGCCCAGTTCTAAGCCAGCACATCACATGAGGTGAGAAATGTGTTTACTGTGCCATGACTCCTCATAGTTTCCTTGCTTTTTTGGTGTCTAAACTCTTCAATTAAAGTGAAGGGTGTTTTTTTTCCCCCAATTAAAAAGTATCTTAGAATAGTTCCTATGTTGTTTGGGGGAGGCAGCTGGGGCTGGATTGAGGAAGGACATGTATTTATGCATACAGGCAAGTGGAGATTCTTCTAACTTCACTTTAAAACAAGCCACCTCCTTGAGCTTTTGCACCTTCAAAGCCAAGTCCCTCCCCCCCTTCCTGTGCAACCAAGACATTTCACAGCTTCAGGGGAGGGACTGCTGGAAAGCAGCTTTCGCAGCAAAAAAAGGAAGCCACCCAGCTACCTCTTTAAGCTGTGCTGGAATGTCTGGTTTTACGGCACCATCACTTTTCACAGACAAGAACAGAGTAAGTGCCACTTCTTCCTGGGGTTCCTTGGTAGCTTATCAGAAATGCCTCCGTCAGTAAAAAGAGGCAAGATTCCACAAAACACACCTTGTGCGCCACTTTCTTCCATCATGTGTGCATGTGTGTGTACTGGATATGACATTTTAATGTATTTTTAATCTTTTGTTGGAAGCTGCCCAGAGTGGCTGGGAAAACCCAGCCAAATGGGCGGGGCACAAATAATAAATTATTATTATTATTATTATTATTATTAGTCATAGGATTGCTCTGTTTGGAAACAGGCCCCAAGAAAGAGCTCTGCCTGGTCCTGCCATTGTTATCTTTAGAAGGGCAGCAAAAACTTATTTCAATGAACTTCCGCAGGTTGCTTTCTTGAAACTGGTTTTATGTTCCAACTGCTTTTTAAGATGCTCGCTGCCTTTCAGCGCTCTTTCTTTCTTATCGTGTGCTTTCTTTTTGACTTCAGCTGCCTTAAAAAACTTCATACTAAAGCGAACCATAAGCATCAAAGAACAATCTGAACTATGCAAACACAAGCCTCTCCACTCCCTAGCAACAACAAAACGCCGAACAAGGAGAAATGAAATTTCTCTCCCTACTTCAATCAACTGCTCGCCACACACAGAACCAACAACAGCAGACAAGCCAATTTGAAACTGGTCAAGCATGTTTGAAGCAGGGCTGTCTTAAGGATACCCAGCACTGTGGTGCAAAGCTCCCTCCGGCGCCCCCCTTTCCCAGAGTTTTTTGGGAGGACGGTGCTGCCGGTGGGGCTGGAGGAGGCAGGCAGCAGCTGAAGAGTGTCTCCTCTGGCGGGGAAGAGGTGGAGGCTGGACGTGGCCCCTCCTGGCCCAGCTGGCCGCTTTGTGACGCGGTGGCCACAGCAGACGGAGGCTCCAGGCGCGACGCTGCTTTAGAGTGTCATGGCAGAGGCAGGCAAGGGCAGCGAGCTGATGCTGGGAGGCGCCACATTCAACCTCCGCCTCTTCCTGGCGCCCTCCAGAACATGGCGCCCTGGTGCCACTAGCCTCTATGGGTAAGACGGCCCTGGTTTGAAGTGCTCCAGAACAGCTTGTCTCTGCCACAGAGGCCTCCGAAGAGCATTAGGTAAAGGTAAAGGGATCCCTGACCATTAGGTCCAATCATGGCCAACTCTGGGGTTGAGGCGCTCATCTCGCTTTATTGGCCGAGGGAGCCGGCGTGGAGCTTCCGGGTCATGTGGCCAGCACGTCTAAGCCGCTTCTGGCAAACCAGAGCAGCGCACAGAAACACCGTTTACCTTCCCGCCAGAGCGGTACCTATTTATCTACTTGCACTTTGTGCTTTCGAACTGCTAGGTTGGCAGGAGCAGGGACGGAGCAACGGGAGCTCACCCCGTCGCGGGGATTCGAACCGCCGACCTTCTGATCGGCAAGTCCTAGGCTCTGTGGTTTAACCCACAGTGCCACCCGCGTCCCATCCAAAGAGCATTAGGTGCCAGCACTTCTCTTCAGCTGCTTACTGTGAGATGCAGGTGCGCAGCTTGGATACTACATGGCTAGAACACGCTAACAGCAAATTATACAAAGTATCCAAGAGCCAAGAGTGCACATTCACCCACATACCTAGCCCCACATCCAATATCTGAGCAGACTCAGATTTTGTTATTGGGCTTCTTTTACAAAAATAAAATACAATTAGGGCCCCTTTAAGACGGTGGTTTTTCAGAGCGCTTTGCAGATTCTGCCACAAGTTCTTGACAGTGTAACAGTGGATTATCATTCTGCTTCCTTAGATGTTCTGTGATGTTTGCCCAATGCGACCACATTGCTGCTTTCTGAAGGGGCTACAGCATCGCAAAAGCAGGACAACAAAACCCAACTGGGAACAGGATACGATATTTCTAGAACACCGTTCATCCGAAGATCACCCTATGGAGGTGTCACCAGATGTCACCCACTCACTTTCCATCTTCTGCATCATTGCAGAAAGGTGCTTTGTTGCAATAGGGGTGGGGGTGGGGAAAGAGAAGGGCAATATACATAAATATACCTGCACACACTCTCTGAACTTGTATGGCATCCATGCCCACTTCGATGTTCTCCTCTTTCCACCTGAAGGGAAATTCCTTGTACTGGAAAATCCCTTTACACATATGCGATACTGCAACAACCTCCCAAGCAGGTTAGACCTGAAGTTGCACAATGGTGGGGGAGGCAGGCAGAAAGGGAGAAAGTATTGAATTTTAGTCTCCTGGTGGGCACAATAATTCTTGGAGAAACTAGCTGATTACTCAGCTAAGCTTTCTCAGAAGACGAAGCCCCCACTTCATCACAGCCTGAAACACAGGGCCCTTGCTAAAATCCACCATCAGTGGTTTGGCTCCTTCCCCATCTCAGTCCCAGGCCTCCTCTGGAACTTACTGAATGCCAAGTCACTTCACAAGCTGAGATGGCATAGCACTCCTATGGGACTCTATCAGCTTTGCATCACTGTGAATTAACATTTGTATAGCACTTTCTGGTGTTCCTGGGGACTTGATTCACATGCACCAGCTAGATCCATTCCAGTTTTATTGTTATTCCCCATACTGTAGATAAGTGGACTGAGGCAGAGAGGGCAGGTTTCTCAAGGTCACCTAATGAGTTCAAAGCGAAAGGCAAGATCTGAAGGGGAGGGGGGTTGTTCCTGGTTCATTATTAGTCATTATGCTACACCAGCCTTTGAAGGCCCTTTGGGAGAGTTTCGCATATTTTAATAAATGCATTTTGGCACGAGGCGCTTTTCACAGGTAGGCAATTTCAAGCAAGCAACACTGGTGTGCATTCTGGGGGGGAGCAGAGTATTGGATTACACCAATGTTAACTCCTGTGGAGGAGTTTATTTACTTCAAAGAGACAGATTCCAGATAAAGCCAAGATAAAAGATGGCACTAGGGCAGAAGAAGAATGTAATTCAAACACGGATTGGAATACCTTCCCCCAGCCTGACGCTCTCCCATAATCCCTGACCATTGGTCCTGCTGGTTGAGATGATGGGAGTTTCAGTCTGGAGGACACCAGATTGGGGAAGGCTGGTCTACAACTCATTCTGCCATCTAGAATAGAAAGCAGGGAAATGATACCATTCCTAAGGAAGCACCTTCAGAATGTAACTTCTTTACAAAGAGCGTAACAATTTGAAAAACCTTCCAGGAGTCTCCTGCAACCTATTAAGAGAACTTCAGTCAATGATATGGAAAACAACTACATACCTTGGTTTACAATCATAATCCGTTCCGGAGGTCTGGTTGTAAACCAAAACAGGTTGTAATTCCAAGGCGTGCTTTCGCCAATGGGGCCTCCCAAAAAATGGGTTGTAATCCAAAAAAAATGGGTTGTAATCCAAAACGGTTGCAAACCAAAGTACCACTGTACATCCAATTATTTTTCTGGCTACTGAAGATCTTACAAGTATGTACTGGAAAGGGCCTTTCAAGTTACAATTTAAAAACCATACCATCTTTCCCAGAAGCTATTCTAATCTGGGTGCCCTGTGGTTATACCTTTTTACATGAAATGCCCTCTGCGCATGATCAGGGACCCTAGTGTTACATGTCGTCGTGACCTGATCTAGTAAGACAAATCCTGGCTTAGTGAAAACAAGCAAATGTGGGGGCTCCTGGAGAGGCCCTCCAGCTACTGTGAGCCAAGTCATGGCTTGCCTTCAAGTGTTGTCTGAACCCAGGCCTATGGTTTGCCTCCAGAAAAACCACAACCCAAGAAAAGCTCACGGAGCAAAGGCAAACCATGAGCCTGGGTTCAGACCACGCACACCAAGCCAAACGGTGGCTTAGCTCACAGCAGACGCAAGCCAGAAAAGGAGCCAAGCGGCTGCGATCTCCTCTCCCGGGAGGTCCCACTAAGCCAGAGAGCTTGGGTTTAGCAATGCTTCCGGGCCAGGTCTGTGTTTATGTTCTTAGAACGGAGCTCCTGGGAGTGGAAAACAGTTTCAGACTTGAATCCTAGAGAATCCCCAGCTCAAATCGACTTTGAGAGCTACAGTGTGACACTGGAGGGGGCACAGATTGAGGCAGCCCCCCCCCTCCCACTGCTCAGTGACCCTCCCAGCAGAGGAAACAGAAGAGAAACCCTCAAGGTACATGATGGGGGGCTGTGCCAAGAAACCACGTGCTCTGCCAGATTCACCGGTGGCGCAGACCACTCCTCTTACCATGAGTCCTGATAACTCACACCTCTCTTGTGCGGGGGATCAACTTAATTATATACTCTCCACCAATTACCAGCTCTCTGGAACTCTTCCCACTAGCTCCCAAGATGTTCTCTGTGGTTTCTCAGCCCAAAGGGAAATGCACTCTGCAGCTGCCCAGGGGTAGGTTATCTTTTACGCACAAGCTGCCGGCTGAAATCCTGCACCTGGGCAGGTGTGCTATCTCCCTCCGCTCCCCTGCTCCCCCGATTCCGGCGCTGGGTTGCCACTCCCCGCTCGGCCTCAGCTTCAGGGCCTGCCGGGAGACACTTCCCGGGGGAGCGGGATGAAACCAAGGTCCCTAAACTCCCAAGGGCCTGTTTATGGAGCGCTTGCCCGGCGACTGGGGGCGCAATCCTGCGCGGCACCAAGCAAGCGTCACCCCGCAACTCCCCGGGCGTCTCCCCGCCCAGGGGGGCCAACTTGAATAAAATATTGGGGGGTGCAGGTAAGCCCCACCCTGCATAATCGACCACACACCAAACTTTTAAATGGCAGTGCCAATAAACTTGGAAGGGGGCCAGCCCTATCAAATATTGTTTAAAAGAGGAAAGGGACCCCGGCCCCTCGGAGTCGGCTCCTACGTTTCCACTACTTGCCTTGCCGCAAAGTTTTTTTGGAGGGTGGGAGCGGGCGGCTAGACTGCGCGAGGGGTCCTAAGTCCCTTTAATTAACCGCACCCACCCCAAACAAAGGCGCGGCCTCGGAGAGGTTAGGGAGCCCCGGCCTGGCCGGGACGCGCCACACCTGGCCCGCCCGGGAAGCTCAACTCCGGCCGGCCGCGGCTACACGGCGCTCCGCAACACGTGGCCGGGGTCGTCTCAGGTCTCGGGGCTTGGGGAAAGCAACGAAACGGCCCCCCCAAGCCTCTCAACATGTCGGGGGGCCACGAAGAGCCGGCCGAGGAGAGCAGGAGCGCCGCCAAGTCTGCGCTCCCCGGCCGCGCCCTAGCGGGCGGGCGCTCCGACGACGCGCCAACTTACCCAGAAGAAGAAGTTGAACGTGAAGAGCAAGTACTTGATGCACTTGGTGCCTCCCTTGACGGGCATCTTGGAGGGTTAGACGGGCGCGTTTCACTCTCGGGCGACTTGGCTCCGGCGGCGCTCCTGAGCTGCTGGGCTTTGCTCGACGACGCGGCTCCGTCTTCCGCTGCCAGGCGTCTGCCCGCCCCGCTTTCTCCTTGCCGCTGCAAGCCCCACCTCAGACCTGGCGGCCTCGCCCTGCCGCTGCGCGCCGCCTCCTCCTCCTCCTCCTCCTCCAGCGCTGCGCCCGCCTCGCCGACGCCCTTCCCGGAGCTGCCCAGCGGCGACGCCCCCTCGCCGGCGGCGCAGACTTGCAGGCTGGGGCGGAAAGAAGCCCCGGGCTTCCCTGGGGCTGAGTCACCGTCGCAGGCGAGCGGGGAGGGTCGCCGCCCCGCCCTGGCGCGCCCACCCACCCCGCCGGGGCTGGCCTGTTTTCCAGCGAAGAGTCCGGTGGACCCCGAAAGCTTGCAGAGTTGCCGGAATCGCTTGTTGTTTTTCGCCCAGCTTGTTTGGCATTATGACTTGCCCGGCGTCATCGGTGTTTGCTTTACACAACAAAAGAGGGCAGGCCCTTGCCCTAAAGATCTTGCCACCTGAAACTCGGTGGAGGCATAGCGAAACTAGCGGAAGGGATTCTTTCCTCCTCTTGTTTTGCGCTCCACCCTCGTTCTCTTTGAGCAGCAGCCCCAAACACAGAGACGTTTAGGAGGTGGTGCTTTCCCTTCCTTTATCCACACTTGCTAAGGCACAGGTCTGGGGTTTCCAGGTGAATCCCGGCTGAATCCGAGCAAACAACGGACCACAGAAACCCCAGCTCCCGTTTCCTCAGATCCAGGGCTAAAACGCAGATTTTCCCAGGGAAAGCTGCTGAAAAGAGAAAGAAAGCACTCAGATGTGGAGCTGGAAACCCCATCCCGGTGCCGAGAAACACAACACAAAAGGAAGAGGGGATGGGCCCTTAGACTTGGCATTTTGTGTGTGTGTGAACACAAATGTTTTCAATCCTAAGGTAAACAGTTTCGGGAAGCTTTTAATGTTTGATGTATTATAGTATTTTAATATTCTTTTGGAAGCCGCCCAGAGTGGCCGGGGAAGCCCAGCCAGATGGGCGGGGTATAAATAATAAATTATTATTATTATTATTATTATAAACAGTTCAGAGCATGGAAATGTTGTTGTTGTTTAGTCGTTTAGTCATGTCCGACTCTTTGTGACCCCATGGACCAGAGCACGCCAGGCACTCCTGTCTTCCACTGCCTCCCTCTGCCAATTTGGTCAGACTCATATTAGTAGCTTTGAGAACACTGTCCAACCATCTCGTCCTCTGCCGTCCCCTTCTCCTTGTGCCCTCCATCTTTCCCAACATCAGGGTCTTTTCCAGGGAGTCTTCTCTTCTCAGGAGGTGGCCAAAGTATTGGAGCCTCAGCTTCAGGATCTGTCCTTCCAGTGAGCACTCAGGGCTGATTTCCTTCAGAATGGAGAGGTTTGATCTTCTTGCAGTCCATGGGACTCTCAAGAGTCTCCTCCAGCACCAGAATTCAAAAGCATCAATTCTTCGGCAATCAGCCTTCTTGATGGTCCAGCTCTCACTTCCATACATCACTACTGGGAAAACCATAGCTTTAACTATACAGACCTTTGTTGGCAAGGTGATGTCTCTGCTTTTTAAGATGCTGTCTAGGTTTGTCTCTTTTTTTCTCCCAAGAAGCAGGCGTCTCTTAATTTCGTGGCTGCTGTCACCATCTGCAGAGATCATGGAGCCCAAGAAATTAAAATCTCTCACTGCCTCCATTTCTTCCCCTTCTATTTGCCAGGAGGTGATGGGACCAGTGGCCATGATCTTCGTTTTTTTGATGTTGAGCTTCAGACCATATTTTGCGCTCTCCTCTTTCACCTTCATTAAAAGGTTCTTTAATTCCTCCTCACTTTCTGCCATCAAGGTTGTGTCATCTGCATATCTGAGGTTGTTGATATTTCTTCCTGCAATCTTAATTCCGGTTAGAGAGTCATGGAAAGGAGTCCTGCTGAATCTCATCCAAGACCCACCTATTCCAGCATCCTACTCTTACATTGGCTAACTATGGGTAGCCCACAAGCAAGACACGAGTGCAATAGCAACTGATATTCAGAAGAATATATGCAGTGCTTTGGGGGAGGTACGCATACCCCTAAACATTTTGTGAATCTATAATTTATAAGAATTCATAAGAGTAGGAAAATGAGAGTATCCCTGAACATTTTTTTTTTTGTGTGGAAAAAAAGCACTGAATATATGCCTCCAAGATGGGAAGAGGGTACATAGTGATTATGGCCAGTAGCCATCTATAAATGCCCATCCTCCATAAATTTGCCCGACCCTCTTTTAAAAGGCTCTCTCCACACTTCCACTTGTCCTGCCCCTCCCCCGCTGGAAAACTTGTTCCTTACCACTGAATTGGAGCGCAGGGGGGAACTTGGCTTTAATCCAGGTCAAAGCCTCAGACTGGGGGCCCTGCCACACCCACACACCCCTCAGCACATTTGTTCTTAAAGGGCATAAAAAGTGGGCAGTGTATTATTTGAATACAAAGTTTTATTTTTTATATAATATTTTTATTGATTTCCAACGTCATTTACGCAACAAAATGTCCAACGTAACAAGTAAAAAAAAAGATTTTTTTTTTTACAGTATTAGGAGATATAGGTAAGGGTAAAGGGACCCCTGACCATTAGGTCCAGTCGTGACCGACTCTGGGGTTGTGGAGCTCATCTCGCTTTAATGGCCGAGGGAGCTGGCATACAGCTTCCGGGTTGTGTGACTAAGCCGCTTCTGGCGAACCAGAGCAGCGCACGGAAATGCCGTTTACCTTCCCGCCAGAGCGGTACCTATTTATCTACTTGCACTTTGACGTGCTTTCGGACTGCTAGGTTGGCAGGAGATATAATGTATATCAATTTACAGCATTATAATTTTAAAGCTGGTATCGCGGAGAAGGTGGGCCAGAAAGCAGCTTTCATATTGCTATGGAGGGCACTCTGTGTGGGGGAGCTCAGGCTGCGTAATTAAGCTGCCCCAGCAATTAAGAGTTTCAATAGATGACTTTCTCTTCCGATTGCCACATCTCTTTATTCCTGTCCCTCTCCAGTGTGACGTCACATCCCGCTTGTGGTATCATTGCCATAAGTGTACTGGTTGACCTCGCTCCTTTCCTCCCACTCGTCTCTCTCTCTCCTTTTAACTACATCTTTTAACCTTATACTCTCTGGAAGTATGGGTACATGATTTGGGGGTGGCCCACAGCTTTATTTATTTATTTCAAAAAAAATTATACACCATTTGATTGCAAAAAGCCTCAAAGAGGTTTACAAAGCATAATATAGCAAAATCAAGGGGGGGAAATTACAACCCTATTTTAAAACATACAAAAGTTAAAATACTGAAAAAGAATAAAATTGCCTCAGCTTTCGAAGCATCTGGGTAGCCGTATCTAAAGAAGAATGTTTTTAGCAGGTCCCTAAAAGAGTACAGGTGGGACATGGGTGGCGCTGTGGGTTAAACCACAGAGCCTAGGACTTGCCGATCAGAAGGTCGGTGGTTCTAATCCCTGTGACGGGGTGAGCTCCCATTGCTCGGTCCCTGCTCCTGCCAATCTAGCAGTTCGAAAGCATGTCAAAGTGCAAGTAGATAAATAGGTACCTCTCCAGTGGAAAGGTAAACGGCATTTCTGTGCGCTGCTCTGGTTCACCAGAAGCGGCTTAGTCATGCTGGCCACATGACCCGGAAGCTGTACGTCAGCTCCCTCGGCCAATATAGTGAGATGAGCACCGCAACCCCAGAGTCGGTCACGACTGGACCTAATGGACAAGGGTCCCTTTACCTTTACCTTAAAAGAGTACAGTGAGGGCACCTGCTTGATTTCAATAGGCAGGGAGTTCCACTGCCTCATTAAATGATTGATATCTTACAAAAGGGGAATGGGGATTATGTGGCACCTGTCATAGTGCCAATTCCACCTATCAAAATGGTTGGGTGGGCACATGTCAGGAAAGGTGATCTCATAGGTAAACTGGCCCTAGGTTGCTAAGGGCTTTGTATGCTAATAGTAACACCTTGAACTTAGTAGCAAATCAGCAACCACTGCTGATCACTGAGCACAGGTGTTATATGTCAATAAGGCCTCACTCCTGTTACTTTGGGATGTGGGTGGCGCTGTGGGTTAAACCACAGAGCTTAGGACTTGCCGATCAGAAGGTCGGCAGTTTGAATCCCCGTGACGGAGTGAGCTCCCGTTGCTCGGTCCCTGCTCCTGCCAACCTAGCAGTTCAAAAGCATGTCAAAGTGCAAGTAGATAAATAGGTACCGCTCCGGCAGGAAGGTAAACATCGTTTCCGTGCACTATTCTGGTTCGCCAGAAGCGACTTAGTCATGCTGACCACATGACCCGGAAGCTGCCAAGGAGTGTGGTGGAGTCTCCTTCTTTGGAGGTCTTTAAGCAGAGGCTTGACAACCATATGTCAGGAGTGCTCTGATGGTGTTTCCTGCTTGGCAGGGGGTTGGACTCGATGGCCCTTGTGGTCTCTTCCAACTCTATGATTCTATGATTCTATGAGAAGCGGCTTAGTCATGCTGGCCACATGACCTGGAAGCTATACGCCGGCTCCCTTGGCCAATAAAGCGAGATGAGTGCCACAACCCCAGAGTCGGCCACGACTGGACCTAATGGTCAGGGGCCCCTTTACCTTTTACCTGTTACTTTGGGGCTGACAACTCCAGTTCCTCATTTATACCTATATTGCGTGTGTGTATTGGCAATCATTGGCAATGTGAAGAGCAACGGGTAAAATCTTTCACCAAAACATGAATGAAAACTCCTCAGTTCCCTATTCATAAGCACGGCCTGAGGTCATCATGTGTTAATGTGTGTTACATAAGACAGTTTCATTCCAGAGAAGAGGACAGTCTCCTGGTCTTTTTTGCGTGGGTATCAGTTCCTGATTCAGGCTATTCAGACACTATTTCCAATAAGGAACTGGAAACTAGACACCAACGTCATCCCTGTGAAATGCAGGCAAGAAGCTTGTGTAGACAGCAGCATACATAGACTGAGGGCAGTTTAGGAGCAGATCCACACTATGCAGCCAACACACATTTAAAGCACATGACTTCATAGAGTCATGGGATTGTAGAGTTGAAGGGACCTTGAGGGCCATCTAGTTCAACCCCCTGTGAT